CCAGTTTTCTCCCAATAAGTTAATATACAGCCTATTACAATATATATTTCAACGTTTAATGCTGTAAATAAACATGGAAAAAGAATAAAACTTTCAATAATCGACTATCCATCGACTACGGGCAGTACTTGACGATTCTGATTCAACTATGTAAATCCTTAGTCAGGGACAGCCCTACTGATTACCAAAACTCTCCTTTTGTACCAGGTGCAACAACAACAAGAAGCTGTTGAAAGAACAATCAGAAATGGAAGTCTCAAACCCCTTGTTGAGCCGACATTCACACCTAAATCAATGCCTCGGGTAAGACTTGTCTGTGGTTAATTTGTTCTATTCTCCCTGTTGTTCTGTATTTATTTTTGTTTCATTTGTAATGAGAAATGCACCATGTGTGAATCTGTTTGTTATTTCTTTATTTGTCTGTTTCTTAAGACGCCCTGCACTCCAGGAAGCTTCAGCAGGGACCTGACCCAGGTGCTGGAGAGCCAGGAGAGGGAGCTGGAGAATCGACGCTCCTCTATGATGACCATGGAGATTCTTTTAACTGAGCTGAACTCCGAGAGGGCTGCCAAGAACGAGGAGATCCGAAGGCTTAAGGTAAAAGTTAAATTAATCTATAGCCTTTCATCATTGGACTGAAATATTCATTTATTATGGTTTATAGCAGACTCTTCTGCTTAGTGTCTCTCTTTTCTACTCTAGACTAGACTAAAAGATTTCAGGTTAAATCACTGTATTAAGAATCATTTTTTATATGACATGTTCTAACGATCTTAAGCTCTTAATTAGCTTTGAAGTCTGTCTGTATTCTGTTTGTAATTTCACTGTGTTCAGATGCAGCTGACCGAGAAAGAGATGGTCCGAATGGAGATCCAGGCTTTACTTGACCAGTTTTACACCAAGCAGAGGCAGAATGGAAATAATAACGCGTTGAGTATATTCATCCAGTCATTCATCCATCCACTGCACTAATATACAGGTGCTGGTCATATAATTAGAATATCATCAAAAAGTTGATTTATTTCAGTAATTCCATTCAAAAAGTGAAACTTGGATATTATATTCATTCATTACACACAGACTGATATATTTCAAATGTTTAGTTAATTTAATTGTGATGATTAAAACTGACAACTAATGAAAATCCCAAATTCAGTATCTCTGAAAATTAGAATATTACTTAAGAAAAAGGATTTTTAGAAATGTTGGGCAACTGAAAAGTATGAACATGAAAAGTATGAGCATGTACAGCACTCAATACTTAGCTGGGGCTCCTTTTGCCTGAATTACTGCAGCAATGCGGCGTGGCATGGCAATGATCAGTCTGTGGCACTGCTCAGGTGTTATGAGAGCCCAGGTTGCTCTGATAGTGGCCTTCAGCTCTTCTGCATTGTTGGGTCTGGCGTATCGCATCTTCCTCTTCACAATACCCCATAGATTTCCTATAGGGTTAAGGTCAGGCGAGTTTGCTGGCCAATTAAGAACAGGGATACCATGGTCCTTAAACCAGGTACTGGTAGCTTTGGCACTGTGTACAGGTGCCAAGTCCTGTTGGAAAATGAAATCTGCATTTCCATAAAGTTGGTCAGCAGCAGGAAGCATGAAGTGCTCTAAAACTTCCTGGTAGACGGCTGCGTTGACCTTGGACCTCAGAGAACACAGTGGACCAACACCAGCAGATGACATGGCTGAGTGATGGCCATCACTGACTGTGGCAACTTTACACTGGACTTCAAGCAACGTGGATTCTGTGCCTCTCCTCTCTTCCTCCAGACTCTGGGACCTTGATTTCCAAAGGAAATGCAAAATTTACTTTCATCAGAGAACATCATTTTGGACCACTCAGCAGCAGTCCAGTCCTTTTTGTCTTTAGCCCAGGCGAGACGCTTCTGACGCTGTGTCTTGTTCAAGAGTGGCTGAAACCCATGTCTTGCATACGTCTGTGCGTGGTGGTTCTTGAAGCACTGACTCCAGCTGCAGTCCACTCTTTTTGAATCTCCCCCACATTTTTGAATGGGTTTTGTTTCACAATCCTCTCCAGGGTGCGGTTATCCCTATTGCTTGTATACTTTTTTTCTACCACATCTTTTCCTTCCCTTTGCCTCTCTATTAATGTGCTTGGACACAGAGCTCTGTGAACAGCCAGCCTCTTTAGCAATGACCTTTTGTGTCTTGCCCTCCTTGTGCAAGGTGTCAATGGTCATCTTTTGGACAGCTGTCAAGTCAGCAGTCTTCCCCATGATTGTGTAGCCTACAGAACTAGACTGAGAGACCATTTAAAGGCCTTGGCAGGTGTTTTGAGTTAATTAGCTGATTAGAGTGTGGCACCAGGTGTCTTCAATATTGAACCTTTTCACAATATTCAAATTTTCTGAGAATTTTGGGGTTTTCATTAGTTGTCAGTTATAATCATCAAAATTAAAAGGAATGAACACTTGAAATAGATCAGTCTGTGTGGAATGAATGTATACATTATACAAGTTTCACTTTTTGAATGGAACTACTGAAATAAATCAACTTTTTGATGATATTCTAATTATATGACCAGCACCTGTATACCTGATCCTCCTTTGCTGATGGTTTAAGAAAAATTTATTATGTTCTCTTATAATTTTCAGTGAGGAGTTGAATGACGCCATCAAGCAGTCAATGCTTGCAGAACTACAGGAGGAGAGGGCAGAGAAGGTTTGTTTTGTTTATCTGCTGGTTTTATTTTTTCTCTTTATTGAATAATTAATGTAATATTTGTTCCTCTCTCGTTTATTAACAGAGCAAAATCATGCAGAAGCTGTCTGACACTCTAAAAAGGTAAGCCCCTGTGGTTTAGTAAACTGATCAGTGGTTTGTTATAACATGTTATTATGATCCTTTATTAATGCTTGACAATCACAAGCTCTGTCTTTGTTTTGTTTTTGTTTGTGTTTTTGTGCTGTGGATTAGGATGCAGGAGCAGGAGTCGATGTTGGCCCAGTCTCAAACCTGCGTTCAGGAGCTGACCACCGAGCTGAGAAACCGCTGTCTAGAGTTGCGAGAGCTGAACCACAGGATACAGGATGAGGAGAAACTAATCCAGGTCGGAGCTCTACTCAGTGGATGAGGATACCTTTTTATTAAAGAAAGCATTTTGGGGTTATGTTGTGTTCAACTTTGGCTAATTGGAATTCAGCCATCATTAATTTCATTATTTACACCACCTACTGTGACATGGCAAAATGTCTTCAGTGAAAAAGGCGTATTAGAATATCTTGCAGCATTTGAGCAACAGTACAAAACCTAAAGAGATTGCGTTTACACAATATGAAAACAAAGAGAAGCTGCAAATCCTCACACTGGAGAGGCTGGAACCAGATACTTTTTTTACTTGAAAAATGAACAATTGATCCATAATCAAACTTGTTGCCTTTTCAATTCTTAGTTGTTTGACCAATCAAAAAATCTTCTGTTTTTACAGGAGAACGAGGTTCTCCGAAAGCAGAATGTTCTGCTATCCGAGGAGAACGGAAAACTTGTGGGGCATAAGAACCACAAACAGAGGATTGAGTATCTGGTGAAGCTGAAAAAGGACAACACCAAACTTCAAGAGGTAACCAAAATTTCTGCTATCGTCAAAGGATGATTCTCTTTGATCATGTGAATTCCATTACCACATCATGTCAATCAACTTTGTGCGTTTCTTTTGTTTTAAAGGAAAATGAAAAGCTCAGAACGGAGATAACTTTATTGCGAGACAACACTACATGTCCGCCACTGGAGATGCTGTAAAGCCCTGATTTTTAATTGTTTGAATGGAGGTGAAAAGACGTTGGTTTTTAAATTTCTTATTGTTTTTTTTTTTTTTACTTTATGGACTTGGTCAACTCTTAAGTACAAAAACATTGTGATTCATGATTTCTGTTCTTTTTTTCATTCAGGGAATGTGCAGTAATGATTTTACTTATGACGTGTGTTCATATTATTTACGGATCTTACAAAGTGTTGCCTAGAAGGGATACTGTATCTTTACATTGATCTGCTACAAAACTTGTTGGGTTGCTTTGGAAGGGGATAAGTTAGTTTTCGGACTATGTTGAAGTTCCAACAATATAGAGCAGAATAACATCTTAATGTGAAAACTGAACATTTTTATGTTCAGAATCTTTTAGGTGCTTATATCTGGTGCTGTGACTGACCACCGAGTTGTACCCATGGTAATGTGTTTGTATTTCCCCCATCATACTGAGGTGTATAGTAAATGTCTTTTAAGCATAATGAACATTTCTCTTTTTTAAACTGTAATTAAAAATATTTTTTGTACCTCTAGTAAGCCTCAAGGTCTTGCTTCATGTTTTGTGATGTTTTTCCCCTGAACAGTTAGTTTCTCAGTACTTTATCTCATCACAAAAACTTGAGAAATGTGATCCAGGTCTTTGGATAGTTACACGTGGTAAATCAAAAGTTGGTTTACCTTTAACGCACTAATAGTAGATATGACATTTGTTACATGCATGTGCTATCAGTGATGGAAAGTACATTAATATATTCAAGGACTGTACTTTATTTCTACTTCACATCAACAATGACTGGATTTGACATACAAATATGATCCGTTTATAACATTTAATGTATTTTTATAGGTTAAATTGTTACATAGTTAAACATTGCTCCACCTCGACCAACTGCAATAGTAAAGTACTGCTTACATAATGCATGATCAAATGATATAAGGTATAGGGGCCATTTAGCATAATGAGCACATTTACATCATCTTGCTATTACTTCTATATGACCATTTATATATAACATTTTTAATGTGTATGTTTATAGTGTGGAATTGCTACTTTTTCCTAAGCAAGTAATTACAATTATTTTTTCCACGAATATATAGCAGAATAAAAAAATAAATGAAATTTCTCCTCGTCTTCGAACCGCCAGGGGGCAATGTACAACATATTCCTCACGTGCCTCCATAGACTGTATATAAAGAGCGTGCCTCACGCGCTTCAATAACCTGGTGACGCGAGTGAAAAATGTAGATATTGTTAGCACCTGCATCATGAAGAAAGTCTTCACCGCAGAAGAAATTTCTGAGTGGTTCACCTCGGGGACGACGTTTGCTAACATTAAACTCACAGAAGAGGTGGTTGAGAGACATTTGGATGAGTCGTCGAAAGAGACCAGGTGAGGTAACGTTAGCTTAAAGTTGGCTAACCTCATGCTAACTTAGCATCCTTGGATCTTACCTGACCCGTTAAATTAAAGGAAATTGTTTCCAGCTACAGGTAACACCGTTTTTATCTTGGGTAAGTTGGCTAATAAATTGCATGTATTCACAGTCTGGGGGACGACGGTCATTGGTCTGTCAGCTAACTAAATGGTAGTGTTGAGATGCGCCCAGAATTTTATATGGCTGCCACTACCTAGTGTTAGTGGGTCAAAGTAATAGACTTAACGTTACAATTATTAACTTTACGTAGTTAACTTCTTTCCAATAAGCTTTAAATATCAACTGAGGTAAGTTTTGTGTGTATTTGTATTTTCAATTATGTTATTTTTGGATACTGCCTTCAATCTAAAAACTCTAAGGAAGTGTTCAGTTATTGCCACCAAAATTAACACAGGATAAAAGGTTTTAGAGCTTTAGCCAGGATTTTAGAAGCACTGACATCATGAGTCCTCTCCTCCTCACTCATAAAGCCAGGAGTTAAAAAAAAACAAAAAACTGCACAGATTTAAATACAAATACCCTCCTTGTATAAATTTTATAACTAAAATGTACAATTTCCCATTAAATAAATGACAGTGACATAACCTCAGTGCAGCTATGGTTTGTTTAAACTTTCACAATTTGCTATAAATTTGGGAAATTGTTGTACTTGGCTACCAAAGCAAATCAGTGGCTCCAAAACTAGGCCTTGTTCATACTGCCAGCCCAAATTCCTTTTTGGCACATCCAGATTGTGTCAAGATTTAAAAAGTCAAGGCAGAAATTAAAAACAGTCCCCTGTAAAATGCGATTTCTGCAAATCAGATTCAAGCCACATTTTACGGTGATCTGAAATGCGATTCCAATCAGTTTTCTACAAATGTGTCTCTGTCTGGACCCTTTGGCTGCTCAAATCGGATTTCAAAGTGTCCATTGCATCACTTGCACTTCAACGCAACGACCATGTCAAATCCAGGGTGACGACATGCATAATCACGAGCAGAATCCAATGCTGCGCGCTGTCAAGTCTCGTTGCAGAACTCCTCTGTCTGGTGTGATAGTTGGAGCCTCAACTTGACAGTACGATTGGTTGGAGGGTGAGATGATGGATTAGGGTTGGGCCGATAGATGATGCCATTGTTCATGGCAAAGTCCTTATAGGCAAGTCGTGCCACTCGGCAGCCATCTTGGCAACGCCTCCGGGCAGCTATTTCGGACTAGAACAGGCTCCTATCTGAATATGGTGAGATAGCCAGGACATAAAAACAACATGACTAGAATCAGCAATAAAATCTGATAAAAATCGCTGACAAAGTTTGACGACTTTACCTCAAAATAAGGTTTAAAAAGCATTTTTCCCAACCAGTTATATTTCTACTTTCTACAGCTATTAAAAGAAGACTATTGACTTTCTAGCCATCCTTGGCATTAAGGGTTTTCCCTATAGATAGTTATACTGAGGATTCTTAAAGTGGCATGTCTCCTCTATATAAGGTCTCTGGCGATGGCTGACAGACATCACAATGTTTAGCTGGCATCGTGATTGTAATGACACAGCCTATGAAACAACTGAAACCAACATCTATACTCGGTGTTCACTGTTGCTTTACCTGGTTTGAGACTTGTAATGTAATAGGGTTCCAAGTTTTTAACCGAGTGAAGTCCCTGCAAGTCAACATATGCAACATAAGACAACACCCCCTGCGCCCTCCACACGATCCATCATCATCCATCCTGATGTTTCATTATAGAAATCGTCCGATGGAAAATTTGTCGACATTGCCCATCCCTAGTCTGCTCCTCTGACTTTATCCATCAGCAGTATGTTTTATAAAGTCGCTGAAAAAATACAGAACAACCATGATCTATATTCACGGCGGCAGGTGCGCCGCATGCCAGCTTGTTAATGACATAGCCCATCAAAGGATAGAAACCAACGTGGTACCGAGTGACATCTGCACTTGTTTGTTCACTGTTGCTTTAACTGGTTCGTGCTTGTAAGATGTCCACGTGGCCGCGTCTTGTAGCTATGGCAAGCCATTAGTGCCAAAAAACGTCACTCTTGTAGCATGTTTTGCCAACAAAACGGTGTTTAAAACGCCGTTTTGTTAACTAAACAAACGGCGTAAAAAACGGCGTTTTGTAAAATGATAATGAGCTCCGCCCTGTGGATTTTACAGCCACTAAATTTGAAGTGTTGTCACCCAATCAGTACAGAAGAAGAACAGACCACACTAATTCAGCACTGATCTACTTTACTGTGATCGTAGGCACCTAAAGGCAGGAAGTAACCACAGACAAGCATCTTATTATGCATCTTATTATTTAGCTTAGCATCAGAAGGTATGCTTTCACAGAGACTTCAGGTAACCTTTCTCAAATATGTCCATTTCGGGGGAAAGAAATGCAGCGTTTTTTCAAAAACCAAGTATCTTAATAGCCTGCAGATGCCTTTTCAGAATCAGAATGAGCTTTATTGTCAAGTAGTGTTTTACACATACGAGGAATTTGCTGTGGTGATAAGGTGCTACATGTAGACAAACGTACAGTCAACATAAATAAATGTGGAAATATATAAATATGGAATAAGATAAGTTTTTGTAGCAACTTGTATAGTGTAGTGTTTTGGGGTAACATAAATATTATCGCAGGAGTCCGGAAGGATAGCTTTGGATAAATAAATAAAAGCCAGGGAATAAATGACAAGCTGTGTTTTCCCTGAATCGACTGAAACACACGTTTGTGTCAGGTTGCCTTTGGCCTGGATTTAGGATGACATGGTAAAACAAAGCTTTGTAGAAACAAGGGTAGGCTCGCTATCAATACTGCACAGACTGAAGGGCTCATAAAAAGACAAATGAGGCTTAAACTGTTCACTGATGACCATGTAAAGATAGTTGTTCCACTTATGGTGATTTCTTACTTTCTTTGTGTTTGTATGTTCTATTTTAGGAGAAACTTTAATCTGACAGTGATGATAAATAAAAAGCCAATTAATTATTTATGTCAAATTTGATCTAAAATCATCAATCAATAGATGTTACAAGCTATAACCTAGAGTAGCTAAATATTTTTAGTAAATGTAGTCAATTTACTTGATCAGTCTGGGACTTGTGTTGAGTTTTTCATGCTTGTCTGTGGTTACTTTCTGCCTTTAGGTGGCTACGATCACAGTAAAGTAGATCAGTGCTGAATTAGTGTGGTCTGTTCTTCTTCTGTACTGATTGGGTGACAACACTTCAAATTTAGTGGCTGTAAAATCCACAGGGCGGAGCTCATTATCATTTTACAAAACGCAGTTTTTTACGCCGTTTGTTTAGTTAACAAAACGGCGTTTAAAATGGCGTGTCAAAATAAAACGGCGTTTTTCGCGCCGTTTTATACACAAAACGCCGTTTTAAATGCCGTTTTGTTAGCAAAACATGCCACAAGAGTGACGTTTTTTGGCACTAATGGCTTGCCATATGTAGCCCCCAAACTGACGCGTCTTCTAGGGGTGGGAGAAAAAATTGATTCTTAGATGCAACGCGATGTAGACAAGGAAGATTCTGAATTGACTAATGTCAAAAATTTATTATTTAAATCTTAACTGATAACGTAATGTTGATGGGACGCAAAAGGCGGAACTCGTGAAATGCACTAGGGCTGAACGATTAATCATTTTCAAATTGAAATTGGGAATTGAAAGAACGCGATTAGCTAATTGTGAAGGTGGCGATTAAAATGTAGGTAAATTATACAGCGCATCTGACCCGTTTTGAACAGTCATTAACTCACACTGAAGTGTTTCAGCTGCGGAGCGTTTAGCCTACATGTTGTTAATTTGATATTTTGTGTGCTTCAACTATGGATAACCGCTCTCTGTGAGCCTGTTCAGTTCCGCTCTCTGCAGGCTAACGTTACATATCCACATGGAGCATTTCAGAATAAGAGCGTATTGCCTGTCTGATTTTTGCTGACTTGTTCAGATTTTGCTTAATTGTTCAGTTGTCCTTGATTTTTGTGCTTCTACTGTGGTTAAGTAGACTATGTAGATAAATTGTCTTTTTTTTGGTCTGTTTTAACTGTGTTTATTGTTGATGTATGATTGGGTGATGTCTGCAAAGGGTGTTTTATTTTGAAAATCGACCAGATTCTCTATGCCGTTCTGTGTCTTACTTCCTGTCTGGTTTATCTGCTCTGTGCTGCTTGACGCGGCTTCAGTCAAAAATAGACTGGAAGTGAATATTGAACTTTAGCAAAACTTCAATAAAATCGCCAATCGCTTGTCGCAATATCTGGCATAAAAATCGCAATTAGTTTTTTTTCCCCCCAAATTGTTCAGCCCTAGTGTGTACATAACAGAGACCAGTGTTCCCCCTATAGTTGGCACACCACCGCTGCGGAATGACTAACCACCTTACAAAAATTTTACACAATCAATATCAATGCGTAAGTAATGATTTTAACTCGCACACTGTGTGAGCATGGTGACACAATGCTTGGCTAGCTCCCTGTGTGGAGAGAGAGAGAGAGAGAGTTAGCTGTAAGTTTAAGTCTGGTAGTAAACGTGGAGTGTAGGTCACAGTGCGTCCGTAAATAAGTCTGTAATGTTGATTTCCCCAACTGCTGTAAATGTGAAGGCGGTAAGCGCTAGCTAACCTCTTCCCTGTGCAGCACGTTTATTGGCTGTTATGTAACCTTAGCTAAATTAGTAACGAAGTAATGTTAATTAGCTCAGCTGTATGTCATTACTAACATATCTACTTGTCAAGGGTTGAGAACATCAGGTACAAGCTTAGACTAAACTGGTGTACAGTTCTGTCCTGTATACATACTGTACATCCTGCTAGTTATATTTCAGTTTTCTGAGGAGTCAGACAGCTGGTTGTTAAAGAAATAAAGGTGGTGACCATTTAACTGAAGTTAATGAAGTAGGGATGCAAACTAGTCCTTTTAAGCTAATTAGGAGATATTTCTTTTTGATTTTAATGCACAAATGTTTAGTAATTATCCAGAGATCCTGTATAGAAAAAAAAAGATGCGTCAAGATGCATTGATAATCGTTTTATAATCGCATCACAGCCCTCTGAATTGTAATTGAATCAAATTGTGAGGTGCCAAGAGATTCCTACCCCTAATGTCTTCACTACTTGACAGTATATCTTTTGAAATACATGCCCAACTGTACAAAGTCTATCTGAGGTTTGTAATCAGGACTACAGAACCAGGGATTTAAACGATCAGGTGCTGAACTAGTTCTTGTAATGTAACAGTTCAGTACATTGTCCACCTAGCCTAATGTTATCTTCACATTTTTGGTCACAAGCTATGATGTATCTACAACTACTACAAATAACCAAGTTAACTTGTCTACGGGTGTGAATTCTGTTTTTCCCTGTGTTAAACACAAGGCCATGGATGTTTTGAGCAGTGTGTCCCCTCACAGTGTTGTGCTGTACACCTCTGTGGGCCTGAGAGGAACTGGATAGTAAAATGGAAGGTCCCAGTCCCTGTTGGACCCTGTGAAAGAACTGGATCGCCGCATGGCCCGGTCCACATACCCGGAGATTGTTGGGATCTCCTGCCTTGGGTGGCCTCCACAGTTGGGTACAGTGGGTACGACAAAGCCCTGTTTCATTTTGTAGTGGCTGGTCCAAGCCTCCATTTGTCGTGCCTTTGCTGACTGCACTAAGAGGTCGTCCTCTTCTTCGTACTCCTTTTGGCTCAGGAAGTCCTTCAACACCTGCTTGAAGACAGACGCCAGCTCCCAGGGCCTTATGTTGTTAGTGGCAAGCACCTCACGAAACCTGTGAAGGATGCAACCCATAGAGTTAAACACTTGTTGAAGTAACAAGGATTTGCAAAGCAGTGATATTTTCATTTGGCACTAATATATATTTCAGCCATCGCAAAATGTAAGACCTGTATGGTCTTTCAGCTGTTGAGATATAGTTTCAAGTAGGGATGAAACGATGGTACCACGGTAAAAAAGGGTGAGTTAGCTTTGGTTTGTCTCTCTGACTTGCTAACAGCGTGTAAACTGAAGCTCTCAGTGTTGCTGTGTGCGTCGTGTGTTGGCAGAGTCTATTCGTCCACTGCACATGATAACTTGTTGCGCAGTTTAGTCAACCAACCAGCATCATCTAGAAACGCTACAGACTCCTCTGTATTCATGTCAGTTTTAGGGCTCATTAGTTACTATCACTGTCTTCTAAAGATCTTATTTGTTTTCATGTAATTGTCCACGGGGTTCTTGTATTACCTATATAATATAAAATCTTGATAATGCACACTTTAGATGATTTTTAAATATTCACCAAAGGTATTTCATGTTAATTTATTTTTTTATGCAAACAAAATGGCAATAGTATTGTTTTATATAAAGTTTTCAATATAAAACCTTTTCAGTATAAACCTTCCACACATACAACAACCAAAAACCCTGGTTCCCAGCAAAACTCAGGCAGCTTCGTCAGACCAAAGTGGAGGCCTTCAGCGGTAGAGCCCGATCGATACGTTTTTTTTGGGGGCCGATGCTGATATTAAAGTAAAAAGGAGATGATTTTGACTTTTAAGAATGATTTGGATAGTAGACCCCTTTTACTGTATAAACTACACTGGTATGTATGTAGGCTAGAAAACCTTTTCCTAAATGATTATGTTAATAAAATAGATTACAGTCTCAAAAAGTGAACATGTAAACAATTGCACATCAATAAATATTTGCTACTGGAAGGTGCAACTTTTTCAGCCATCTGTAAACAGAGAGAGAATAAGCATGTGTATTTCACTTTACACATAATCTGCCATAATTTCAATGTAGCACATTCACATCTGGTTCATCCCTTTACCAGCACTCTTTAATTCTAACCAAAGCTACGTGAAACCATCAGTATAAATCATGGCGTCTATGATACAGTGAGCTGCTGTTGAATGCATCTAATATAACATGACTCTACAAACGAGGACCTGCAACTTTGAGATGTCATTTAACTAACGTTATAACTACAACCAGAGCCATTACGGCTCTGACTACAGCGTTTCACATCTACTACGTCACAAATAGAGGAGTTACAGGAAGCCGTGTTAGATTCTTGTTCAGCTCATGTTTATTTACATGTCCGCTCTGGTTTAATAATTTCAGACACGCTGACTAACTGCAGACAGGCAGCTGGCAGCTATATTTAGAATATGTCAGAAACTATAGTTTAACGGCTTATTAACATTAGCGCTCCTCCAATGATAAACACAGCATTAGCTTTGTGGCTAATTTAGCAACGGGCAGCGTTAGCTGGTGTAACGTTATGTGATTTTAGAGAATAATTAGAAGTGATGAACTAGGGAGACCGTTTGCTAGAACTGCCACACTGTTTGAAATAAATGTACAGTTGCGTCTGTCCAGCAGCGTAGTTCTCAACACCCAACTACCGTAACATTAAACTGCTGTGAGCTGGTAGGAAGCGGGGAGATGGCAGTGAAAAACGGAAGGGTTAGCAAGTCATGAATGTTTTCAGGAGAGGAGACGTGACTGGGTCTGTTTTAATTATAATTATTAAAGTCATGTAATTAACTTGACAAAAGACAGACTCACCGCTCACACAGCCCTCTGCGTGTTTCTAAATGCTGCGTGTAAGCTCCGGTAAACTCAGCTGATCAGCTGATTGTTGTCTTCTGTGGTTTTTGTGGTGAGGCAGTGTAGTTAACAGGGGAGCTGCGGCTGGTCGCCCTCGGGTGGGAAACTGTGCAACACCCATGACACGAGTGAAGGATTTGACTCTAGGTTTCTTTTTTAATAGTCATATATCTGCTGTTATAAACGGCCGATGCCGATTAAATGCAATTAGGTCATATCGGCTGGGCTCTTTTCAGCAGTGGGGGCAGAGTCCTGTATAACCAGGCCAGGAAGACACTGACTTAAGAGATCAAAGCAGCAAAGAGGAGCTACGCTTGAAAGCTAGAAAACGGCTTCACAACCAGCGACCCTGTGTCAGTGTGGAGACACTCACGAACTTCAGGAGACCATCCCCCAACACTGCTAGTACTCAACGACTTGCGGGCGAGCTGAATGGTTTTTACTGTAGGTTTGAGAAGCCCACAGTCACACCTCTCCCCCCACTCAAATAATCACCTTCACCCACTGCCACGCTGTCAGCCCCCACCCTCTCTGACCCCTCACCTGCACTCATAATCTGTGAAGAGGAGGTGATCCAACTCTTCTAAAGGCAAAAGATCAGGAAGGCTCCAGATGGTGTGTCTCCATCGTGGCTGAAAATCTGTGCAGACCGGCTGGCCCCCATCTTCACACGGATGTTCAACAGATCACTGGAGCTGTGTGAAGTTCCCTCCTGCTTCAAACGCTTCACAATCATCCCGGTGTTGTGACGATCTACGCTGCCTTGTAGAAATGCTACCGTAGCACAAATCGATAGCAGAGTCTATCGAGTCGCTCTAAACCTGCCCTCCATTGAGGACTTGTACATTTCCAGAGTCAGGAAACATCATTTCAGATTCATCTCACCCCGGACACAACCTGTTCCAGCTTCTCCCCCTCTGGTAGGCGCTTCAGACCACTGTACACCAAAACCAACAGACTCAGGAACAGTTTCTTCCCACAGGCCATCACTCTGATGAACAGCTGATTTCTGCCTCACAGTGTCAGGAACAATTCCTGTGCAATAACCCAGTAACTCTGTCTCTAATCAGCCACCTGTTTATTGGTTACCACTTATTAATTATTCATCAGTTTCTATTTCAGAGCTCTTCATACTGTTGTTCTTATTGTCATTTTGTATATTGTGTAATCCACCTACCGCATGTACACAACACCTGCACATAATGTCTGGGGTGGTGATGGTGCAGTGGATAAGACTCATGCCTTTGGTGTGAGAGACCTGTGTTCAAGTCCACTGTGACAGATCAGTGTGTCTATTCCTGCATCCTTTGCACTCTGCTCATTGAACTATTGTCTCAATATGTCTATATATGTTTTTGTTTAGTGTGTGTGTGTGTGTGTTGTTTATACTGTAGCCTGTGTGGGATTTTAATAGTGTATTATTGTAAGTAGGGCTGGACAATATGGCCAAAAATGTTATCACGATAAAAACATTTCATATCATTCGATATCGATAATTATCACGATATATGTCAAATCTTTATTTCTTTCAAGTTTAAAGGCAGATTTTTGCTCCTGAGTGAGAATGGTTAATTATGTGGTTAAACTTTTCTTTATGGTCAGAATGTGACAAACACTTGATGCCAAACAGTGGATCACTTCACAAGTCTGATGTAGAACATTCAAAACTATTATCTTTTTCACAAATATGATTAGTTGATATTTTTTCAGGTCTCTTTTTTTTTTTTTTTTTTTTTTTTCCAACAAAATAAATATTTTAATATAAAAATTAAGTGCTAATTTGTGATTCAAATGAATTAAAGCAAATATTTATCGACGATATATTGAAGATTTATATATTGTTATTGAGGAAAATTATATTGTGATAATTATCATTGTTTTATTGCCCAGGCCTAATTGTAAGTAAGCACATTGTGAGCAATGTACAATCAAGAGACAAATTCCTCGTATGCGTACACATACCTGGCAAATAATGCCACATTTCTTACTAGTAGGTCATAGTGCTCAACTCCTCTTTTTTTGTTGTTGTAGTTTTTTTTTAAATATCATCATTATGCCTAACATACAGAAGGTGAGTGGAAACCCCGGCAGTCTGGCTTCATTCAGTCTTACTGGGCATCCTTCACCTTCACATGTTCGCACCCTAAGTCGCCTGCCTCTGTGATGGTAACACATAATGGCTTTCTTGGCAGCTCGCCCAGCCTCCCTTCCCCTTTGGGCCTTCTCTGCTTTGCCTGCTGTCAGGCTTTGTGTTGATGCAGTAACAGCTAGCCACTGCTGACAGCATACTAATGTGAGGACATAAGAATGCGATGGCCACTACCAAACACCTGGAGAGCACGGTGGCTGCATGGATGGGTGGGATCTGGGCACACAGGAACTCAAGCTCGTGTAGCTCTGATGTGGGGATGAGGGTTCGTAACCTGGGGTACTTCTGAAACCAGCGGAGACCCAGGGTGCTGTGGGCCAACCTGTGCTCCTGCTCCAGCTCCCTTGCCAGCCGCTCGCGTTCCTCCACGTGCCACAGGAGCTCTCTGATCAACATGCGACTGGGTACGACCTCTGAGGTCTTTAGATGTGTCACTTCATCCGGAGCCTGCACGCTTGTTTCATGGGACCATTTCATCCAGCTGAACAGGGGCATGGCAGTCACAGCAGACAGTCCTGCAAAACTGTAGAAACAAGAATTATTTGTTATTCTGGATCGTGAAGTCTTCTCCCCACAGCACTATTTTAATATGCTGGAGTATCTGTTCAAACCATAGACTGTATATAAGAAATGGACGTAGTCATCGTGACGTCACCCGTTGGTTTGTGGACTGCCGTTTTGAAGCCTCGAGTTTGGCCGATAGGGCGCTGCCATGTCGAGTTTTTGCAACCAGGAAGTCCCGGAAGTGACGATACGACGGAGCTAACGGCCGTATGCGGAGCTAGCTAGCTTGCTTAGCTAGGTGCAACTGTAATTCACGTTAACTGTCATTTTAACTGGGCTGATAACTTTGTCTAGAGAACAACAGTCTTAAAACTAAATGTACTCACCAGAGAAAGTGAACAGCCGACTCCTAATAAGCTTTTTCAGCGGCGCTGGTTAAATTTACACAGTACCGAGGGTACGAGTCGGCCCTAGCCTGATTGGCAGGTCGTTACCATGGCGACATGCCAATCATAGATAATCCCACCCTGAAACATACTCTGCTTTGTGGTGTATTTTATAATAAATGGGACCATAATTTACTAAATGAACATCATTTTGTATTGAAGACTTGAAACTAGCGACTGAGACCATAAACTCATCAGGAAAGTGTTTACTGGGGTAATTATTCAGCTGAGAAGTAGGGTAATTTTCCCATTATTTCTAATGGAGCCGGACTTCTTTTTGCAACCAGAAGAGTCGCCCCCTGCTGGATTTTCAATAGAATGCAGGTTTAAGGGACTTCCGCATTCGCTTCATATTGTAGACTGGAAGCTTCCTGCTCGGTTCAAACTGAGAGTTACTTTCTTTCAAGACAGCCTTCAGTGTGATGAAGGGCAGATTAAGCAGAAACAAAACAATCTAACATAAGAAAGAGAAATGGAAAAGTACAAAATCTTGGGCTTGTACCGAACATTGGGTCACATTTTCAGCTTCAAGGACCACAATGAGAAATAAGTGAGACCTCAAGGAACTGTTGATTCTCATGTTATCCATGACTGTATAGATAAAACTTTAGGGTTGACAGTGAAAGATGATCACCCCATAACCAAGCTGACCGCTGGTCCCTGCATGATGGGTGCTCTGATTGCCTTCAGTTCAAGTCCAACTAGGTGAAGGACCACGTCCCAGCTGCACGTATTTAGCTTTTTATCCCAGACTGATGATTCAACGCAGCTTCCACCTGAGATTCAGATGGATTACACAGCCTGCAGGGTCAGAGGTCAGCCTCACAGAACACAAGTTGTATGTGTGGCTTCGCACATCGTAAGATTTCTAAACAGGGCTTTTCAGGTATCTGATTTGATTCCTGCTCAAGGAACAACTGTCAGTCTTCCAGCATGTGCAAGATGAAGTGATCACAAACCTGGCTAAAAATTTAAAAGAAAGATCAGTACTTACAGGTGAAAACTGCACCGCTGATGCTTTTGTGAGATATTCAGAAATTGTGCAGAGATGCGCTTTTCACAGAGTATAGCCTCCAGCTCCTTGTCTCCATGGATCAGTCCACGTAAAGTTAATTACTTTACTTGCTGTTGACTCTGTCCCGTAGTACCAAATGCCATCAAAGGTGTAAATCACTTGTCGGTAGCAGTCCTCCAATGTCTTTTTTTTTGTTGGATGCGGTTCTCCTCTTTGTGCTGTAGTTATTGTCTTTGCCTTTTCATCCCTCCCACTGCTCCTGTCATGACGACTTTTTCCAGGAGAGTTAGTCACACACTGCTAACTGACTAAGAGCTGTCACCTCTGCTCTCCTTTCACCCCACTCTCCTCTGCGCAGTGTGCAGCTTTGTTGTAAGGTCAGCTGCTTTGTAGCTTGCACGAAATGTGTGCATTGGAGAGAAAGAAAGAGGGCGAGAGTGCATGTGTGCGCACGAGCCGTGGGTTGTGTTGTATTTGAGCTCCTCTTAATACTGTCAGGGTTTGAGCCTGCTGTTGCGATAAAATCCACCCCTCACTAAGAGAGAGCGAGAGGCCAGAGACAACTGGGAATGCTCTCCCGGGTACTGTGCTGTGGGCCTGGTTGAGCTGACCAGAGGGAAAAATGAGAGGAAAGTTTCAAATGGTAGCAGAGCTGCTGGTATGTTCACCCACTGTGAACTCTCATTTGAAGTTACTTTTAATGAGATAACTTCAGTGTTTTTACAAGTGATTATAAAACCACCTTCATTTCTGAGAGTTTCAATATTCTCACGTGTCTGCTAAGTGGAATAGCATTAAATACAACAGATGCAACTAGGGAGAGGATACCAGCACAGCGCCACAGTTGCTGCATGAATCAAAAATGATCGAGAATCGGAATTGCACTTGATTAAAGCTGCTTTAAAGTTCAGCCTCTAACTTGCCTGCCTGAGAAGCTGAAATCAGAGAATTCAGATGTTTGTACTTTAAATAAAAAGACTCATGATTAATGGATTATCAAAATTGTTGGCGATTAATGTAATGGTTGACAACTAATTGATTAATTGTTGGACGTCGAGTTGTTAGTTGTTAGACACCTACTTACCAGTACATGCAACAGAATCTTTATTTGGTGATTGTATCTTAATTACCACAACACTCCTCTTATAATTCTATAAATTGATTAATGGTCTGTTTTTTTTTGTTTTTTTTTTGTTGTTTTTTTAATGTGAGGGGAATCGGGGCAAAAAGGCAATTCTTACTCATTTTTAGTAAAGTAATTTGTATTTATATAGCCCAAAGTCACAGCTTTGCCTCAGAGGGCTTTTTGTCCCTAACAGGTTACTGCGGCTTTATTGCAGTTTGTTGGTTATTATTATTATAAACCGCGTAATCGCTTTAATTTTGTTTCAGCCCATCAGAGGTTCCTGATATAGGCAGCCTGAAAAATGTCAAGTCTGATGGAGGACGTTTCCAAAAACCAGACCCTGCAGGAAGTGAGTATTCAATTTTGTGTTAGCTTATCTTGTCCTGCATCATACTTGCCTACATAGATATACAGGACTTTTCTGCCCATAATGCTTTAACACGGTTTCTTATGCAATTGATCCTGAATCCTTAGGTACTGCTCCTCCTCCACTTGCCACCTACGAGTACCCCAGTTTGCCCATAACCAAAAACAGACAGGAGGTACAATGAACCATCCATTCACCACATACACCCAACCACCAGGGCTCGAGACTAACGGCGTCCTGTCGTCCTGGGGACGATAGAAAATGTGTTTGGGACAAAGAGAAATATTCTGTTGGACGCCTCTAGGACGAAAGGGATTGTGTAGGCCTATGTATTTATTTATTACGATCACTTAGCAAATGACAAACTGAACTGACGGAGCGCTGACTACAACGGAGGCCGTCTTCTCACGCTGTTAGTACAGTCACGCCAGACTCACACAGGAGGCTGGCTGCTCACTTGTTCCCGCGGTACATGTCCATTGATTCTGTCAGTCACGAACAACTTGTTGACCTCTCAATCGCGCTGTGTAGGCTAGTGTCAAGCGCCACACATCAATCTTGTCACGCAGTGAAAAACAAATCTATATTGTGACAACGTCGACTAGCAACGAGAATCATCTCCACCCAGCTGATGCAACTCTGCATACGCCGTGATCCTAAAGAAACCCGCACGTGCTGAGGCGCAAGCAGGAGACTCGCTGGTAGAGTTTTGCATTATAAACATCTAAAACCTGAAGCACAATCTGGCTCTGTTTGGAACTGTGAGCTGTACTTTATCGGAGCTGCAGAAATTAACATGAGGATTTGCGCTGAGATGTCTGCCTGATCACAAGTGTTGGTTTCAGTTTCTACCCCGGCGAAGTGCAATGCACTTGTTTCATTCAGTACAGTCTGAAGTGGAGCACAGCAGAGTATAGGACAGGTAGACTTTTAAAAAATATTATGAATTCTCATTAAATAACGATGTTAGTCTCAATATTATATTAATATTTTCTTCTGGACATGTCAGAGAACAAAGATATGTGAGATTCTGAATGTGCAGAAAATCTGCTGTAACAAAGTCCAGGAGTTTATAACTGAAGTAAATAATTTATCATCAAGAAAAAAGGTGCTCCAACGGATAACTTTCCAGTTTCGTTTATAAATCTTTTTGTTTGATCAAGCAAAATATATTTTGTAAATATTTATTTTATCAATTTATAATCATTTATTGTATCACTAACAACTATAGAGGATAATTTTTTGGGACGCTTTACATTAATTTCAGGACTGTTCAAATGGTTTTTCAGGACGGTTACAGGATGGAGGTGAAAAAAGTTAGTCTGGAGCCCTGCCAACCACACAGCTTGATGGTCTCAAAGTGCACTCTTCTGAAATACTTTTTCTTTTGGTCATGTTGGGAGTTTTACTGCAATTACCATTATGTCCTCAGGACACTGGTGCACTTAAGCTTTATGGTTTGCTCAAGATGACCTCAGTGTTTTTTTTATTGTGCAGAACAAACGCTAACTTTAAATTCACTTGTCTAAAATTTTCTGTTGACTAATAAAGAGTAGTGTGTGTATATTTTAGGAGCTCATGGTGTCATTTAAGCTGCACTTTCTTAACGCAGATTATAATGTGTGAACTTTCGGTTACAAATCAGCTTAGCACATCCATCTGCTCTACAATTTCACAATTATTTTTTGTATTTCTTTAATATTTCATTGATATGGTACCAGTGGGCAAATGTTGTTTTAACTGTGTGTGTGTGTGTGTGTGTGTGTGTGTGTGTGTGTGTGCGCGCGCCTGCTTCCAGCTGATTTCTCTTGTAGAAAACAACTCTGTAGTGATCATTCGAGGAGCCACAGGCAGTGGCAAGACCACCCAGCTGCCACAGTTCATTCTGGACCACTACAGTGAGAAAAATGCCTTATGCAACATTGTGGTCACCCAACCACGCAAAATTGGTGCCACCAGTATTGCACGATGGGTTGCCACACAGCGGAAGTGTACCCTGGGTAGTCTGGTGGGATATCAGGTTAGTGCAACATTTAGAAAGAATCTGATTTACTTAAACTGTGCAATTCAGATACATATGTGAGTCTGTACAAACGTTCTTAGCTCCTACCAAAATTCAATTTTTGTTTTTTTAATAAAAAGGACAGAAAAAAAAAGAGTAACGTGTGCGGACATCACATAGCATTGGTGACTCTGAGCTGACTGAGTATTGACCTGTATGGATTCACCTTTGTTAAGACTATGCACAAAAAGCACTCACTGCATCTCTCTCACAACTTAAAAAGTGTTTGTATGCATGTATTAACAAGCCCTGTGTGTGTTTTTGCTGGGATGTCAGGCTGTGTGGTGCAAAATTCAGAAACAACACATCTAATAATAACTGTTGTCTCCTCCGCTTGGTGCAGACCTCTGGAGTTAAGGATGATATCACTGACAGTGGGAGCAGTAATAAACAGTTGATGCTTGTAAGAGATATAATGCTCAAGTTATGTAGCAGAACCTGAACAGTGTGTGTTCTTTATTTGTGTACCTCGAATGTGCTTTTTAATTTTGGTCTGGATTTGCTGTAAGATGGAGGCTCTTTACTTGTTCCCTTTGTGATTTTTTATATATATATATTTTTTTTTCTTGGATTGACAAAGTCGTGCAGTCAGTAAATGGAAAGTTCTTTTTTGCTCAGAGTTGAATCGGTGAACCAAAAAGTATTTCCCTGAGGTTGGACACAGGGTAGCAATAGATTTTTATTACAGGTCACTGGTATTTTCTCCAAGACCAACCAGCCATGTTGTCAGTGCAGACATTTTAAGAGAAAATAGATGCCTAGGGCTACCTTTGAAGAATTGTCGTCTCCTATTATTCTTTTGAAGCAGTAGAATAACAATATTTTGTATTAATGAACAGGAAGCAATGGCTTAATTTGCCACATTAAAATTGTACAAAATGCAGAGTTTTTATTGTATGACCATAGAAAGGACACTAAAACATAGATGGTCTGGCACTGCAGTGAGCTGATGTTTTCAGATGACAGAAATTTTGGATTATGATCCTCTTGTAGAGTAAAACCATAAAAGGATGTCCTCTACAAATGTCAAGCAGGTGCCTTATATAGACTAGCCAATTCCTACAGTGAGAGTGCTCAAAAGAGAAAAATATCATGTTTAGTGCCAAGTAAAAAGTATGTGTGTTATTGTCCAGATTTATGAATACAACAAGGCATATTCGTGTTTCAGGTTGGACTGGAGAAGATGGCTACTGAGCATACCAGGCTTATCTACATGACTACAGGAGTGCTGCTGCAAAAACTGGTTTCATCCAAGTGCCTCACAGAGTTCTCCCACATTTTTGTAGATGAGGTGCATAAACACTAGGGAGATCATTTTAATGTACATTTCACTGTTAACTGGTTAACTGTTGGCTTTTTTTTTGCAAATTTTTGGTTAATGGCAAAAAAATACAGTTCCCTCACATGATCTTGGTTAATTGAAGTTTATCATTTTATTTAGTTGTTGTTGATTGTTGAATTGCGTGTTAAAAGTGTTTTTGGTTTCATCAGTATTATGCTGCGGTTCACAATTTCATTTGAGTTTCAGGTTTCATTAAGTCCTGTGTCCAAGTTTAGCCATTTAACTACTCTGCCTTTGCCCAAGGTTCATGAGCGCACTGAGGAGATGGACTTTCTCCTGCTGGTTTTGAGAAAACTTCTTCAGTCCAACTCTCCTTATGTCAAGGTAATCGCAAGATCCCGTAGAAATCCGTCCTACGGAATCAGTTGAACTCTCAATCATAGGATCAATGTTTTTTCAGATCATTCTTATGTCAGCCACCATTAACTGCAGACAGTTTGCTGAGTACTTCAGCACCACAATTCGGGGCAAGATTAACCCAGCCTACGTGTTTGAAGTGGAGGGGGCGCCCTATGCCATTGAAGAGTTCTATCTGGATGACCTCCGCAAACTGTTTCCATACAAGGTAAGAAGATTTTAAATGTTTGCTGATGCTACACCTCAGTATTGAAGCCAAATAGTAATTATGTGAATTTTGTGTTTGTGTTAGGTTGAGATGCCTCATTTAGATGACCCACACATTTCAGTGGAGGTATACAATCTTGCCATCAGTCTCATTCAGGGCTTTGATGAGATGGAGGGCAAAGATTCCAGGTGAGGCCTCAGTATTTTTAACACACTTGCTTTAACTTATAGGCAAATAAATAATCAAACAAGTAATTATCATGTGTGTTGATGTTTGAGCAGCAATACAGAGAAAGGAGGTGGCATGACTTCATCAGAGCGGGGCAGTGTGCTGGTTTTCCTTCCTGGTATACATGAGATCAGCTATATGCAGGAGGCCTTAGCCAAGCTGGTCCACAAAAGGTGAGCTATTGAGTTTACATCTTTGTGTTGAATCTTTCTCTGTAGCTAATACCGATTGTCTTTGTTGTCTGTTTTGCTGGCTTCCTTTTTTGTCCCGTTTTGTGTAACAACAGTAATTAGAAGCGTCTCTGAAATCAATATTTCTTGTTAACTTGTGCTACTTTTTACTTGACTGACTTGATGAATGTTTAAATTTACCGTTTACTGGTGAATGTGCTTCTGTTGTTCAGATTGCAGGTTTATCCTCTCCACTCCACTGTAACTCTGGAGGAGCAGAACGGTGTGTTTCTGTACCCTGTCCCTGGATACAGGAAGGTAAAAGACATTTATCTTTCTCTGTCTCACATGTGTTCCTACTACCTGCTGTACTGATCATCTCCTTATTTTAACAGGTCATCCTTTCCACCAATATTGCTGAGAGTTCGGTGACCGTTCCAGATGTCAAATATGGTGGGGTTTTCTTTTTTGTCCTCAGCTTGGTTTTATCTGTTGTCTTAATGTGTATTTTGTGATGAAGTTTTATTCAGTCTTAATTCTTTTTTTTGTCAATCACAGTGATTGACTTCTGTCTGGCCCGTCACTTGGTCTGTGACCAAGATACAAATTATCAGTCTCTGCGTCTCACCTGGGCGTCCAAAACCAGCTGCAACCAGCGTCGAGGTACAATACTTGCAGCACACAACTTGACCTAAAAAGTGCAAGTATCTGTACACTTATTTCCTCTCTCTGTCAGGTAGAGCAGGTCGAGTGTCTAAGGGCTACTGTTACCGTCTTATTACCAGAGAGTTCTGGGAGAATGAAATCCCAGACTACATGATCCCTGAGATGCTGGTAAGAGACTGTGCAGATGACCATATATGTTTTATCTTTTTTTATTCATGCTACAATGACCCTAATTCGATAATCAATCTGTGTAATACTGTTTGCTTTTTTTTTCAGCTTGCCCCGTTGGCCACCATCATGCTGAAGGTGAAGCTGCTGGACATGGGAGATCCCCATTCCCTCCTTTCCAAAGCCCTCTCACCCCCCAACCTTGATGACATTGTGAGGACAGTGCTCCAACTCAAAGAGGTAAGTAATTGCAGATTGATATTCTCCTCTGAGAGCCATTAACGTCTAGTCAGGCACTTATGAAAGCGTGGCTGTAATGATGTATTTGGGTAGGCAGCTGACCTAGAGCTCTGTCACAGTATTAGACCAGGAGTTCTCTGACAGGAGCTTTGCGTCAACGAGTGTTAGCATTGTCAAGTCTGTGAGGGTAATGAAGGTCAGTGCAGTATGGTTATGTTTGTGTAAGGAGAAGAAAAGTGGAAGAAGTTTGTGTTAATTTTGGTTTATTTATATTACTGACAAAATATATACAGTGAGGAAAATAAGTATTTGAACACCCTGCTATTTTGCAAGTTCTCCCACTTCAATCATGGAGGGGTCTGAAATTGTCATCGTAGGTGCATGTCCACTGTGAGAGACATAATCTAAAAAAGAAAATCCAGAAATCACAATGTATGATTTTTTTAACTATTTATTTGTATGATACAGCTGCAAATAAGTATTTGAACACCTGTCTATCAGCTAGAATTCTGACTCTCAAAGACCTGTTAGTCTGCCTTCAAAATGTCCACCTCCACTCCATTTATTATCCTAAATTAGATGGACCTGTTTGAGGTCGTTAGCTGCATAAAGACACCTGTCCACCCCATACAATCAGTAAGAATCCAACTACTAACATGGCCGAGACCAAAGAGCTGTCCAAAGACACTAGAGACAAAATTGTACACCTCCACAAGGCTGGAAAGGGCTACGGGGAAATTGCCTAGCAGCTTGGTGAAAAAAGGTCCACTGTTGGAGCAATCATTAGAAAATGGAAGAAGCTAAACATGACTGTCAATCTCCCTCGGACTGGGGCTCCATGCAAGATCTCACCTCGTGGGGTCTCAATGATCCTAAGAAAGGTGAGAAATCAGCCCTGAACTACACGGGAGGAGCTGGTCAATGACCTGAAAAGAGCTGGGACCACCGTTTCCAAGGTTACTGTTGGTAATACACTAAGACGTCATGGTTTGAAATCATGCATGGCACGGAAGGTTCCCCTGCTTAAACCAGCACATGTCAAGGCCCGTCTTCAGTTTGCCAATGACCATTTGGATGATCCAGAGGAGTCATGGGAGAAAGTCATGTGGTCAGATGAGACCAAAATAGAACTTTTTGGTCATAATTCCACTAACCGTGTTTGGAGGAAGAAGAATGATGAGTACCATCCCAAGAACACCATCCCTACTGTGAAGCATGGGGGTGGTAGCATCATGCTTTGGGGGTGTTTTTCTGCACATGGGACAGGGCGACTGCACTGTATTAAGGAGAGGATGACCGGGGCCATGTATTGGGAGATTTTGGGGAACAACCTCCTCCCCTCAGTTAGAGCATTGAAGATGGGTCGAGGCTGGGTCTTCCAACATGACAATGACCCGAAGCACACAGCCAGGATAACCAAGGAGTGGCTCTGTAAGAAGCATATCAAGGTTCTGGCGTGGCCTAGCCAGTCTCCAGACCTAAACCCAATAGAGAATCTTTGGAGGGAGCTCAAACTCCGTGTTTCTCAGCGACAGCCCAGAAACCTGACTGATCTAGAGAAGATCTGTGTGGAGGAGTGGGCCAAAATCCCTCCTGCAGTGTGTGCAAACCTGGTGAAAAACTACAGGAAACGTTTGACCTCTGCAACTGCAAATAAAGGCTACTGTACCAAATATTAACATTGATTTTCTCAGGTGTTCAAATACTTATTTGCAGCTGTATCATACAAATAAATAGTTAAAAAATCATGCATTGTGATTTCTGGATTTTCTTTTTTAGATTATGTCTCTCACAGTGGACATGCACCTACGATGACAATTTCAGACCCCTCCATGATTTCTAAGTGGGAGAACTTGCAAAATAGCAGGGTGTTCAAATACTTATTTTCCTCACTGTACATTTGATTTCATATCTTTCAAAACTAGGACACGAAGTGCTTCACAGTTGAAATAGAGCAAATATTTGTAAAATCTGGGAATTTGAAATCCTAGATAAAACCGACAACAAGACAAAGGCAGTAAAGCCTCATAAGCAAAGTCCAATCCAGCTTTAGTCCTGGGGTTTTAAAATCAGTGGAACGATTTCTGGCTGAGGATCTCAGGCAAGCCTCTTGCTCATAGGCAACCAGCAATTCAGCAGTGTGACCAGAAAGTGTGATAAATATAAATAAATAGTCAATAGGAAAAATTCATCCATCGTCAACCGCTTATCCTGCGTACAGGGTCGCGGGGGGGCTGGAGCCAATCCCAGCTGACATCGGGCGCAAGGCGGGGTACAGCCTGGACAGGTCACCAGTCCATCGCAGGGCCACACATAGACGAACAACCACTCACGCTCACACTCACACCTAAGGACAATTTAGGGGAACCAATCAACCTAGCCTGCATGTCTTTGAATGGTGGGAGGAAGCCGGAGCACCCGGAGAGAACATGCAAACTCCACACAGAAAGGCCGGGGCCATGTTTATGTTAATATAAAAATTCAAACTGTTGTTTTTGAGGGAAGGTTTTATGGGTTGATTGGAGGTATAAATAAAGCCTGTTGTTTTGACCCTAGTTGGATGTTTTATTCTGTAGATGGGTGCGCTATCTGCAAAAAGTGACGGCAGGGGTCAAAATGCAGATGGCGAACTAACGTTCCTGGGCCAAGTGCTGGCCCACTTGCCTGTGGACCTGTATCTTGGGAAGATGATCGCCCTGGGCCACGTCTTTGGCTGCCTGGATGAGTGCCTCATCATAGGTCAGTCTATCATTGTGGTACTGGAATGGACCTCAGTTACTGCATACGCATGTCATTATGGTTGTGAGGACATAGCTTGAACAACAAATCTGTCATGACTGCACTTTTGTGCATTTGTTTATGTGCATGTAATGTGTTTTTTCGTGGGCTGTTTACACAAAGTACAATAACATTTCTTATCCTCAGCTGCCTCGCACTCTCTGAAGAGTTTCTTTGCCATACCATCCATGCAGCAGCTTGCTGGCCACAGGTGAGTCACATCCAGCAGCTGCACTGACTCACAGACTGCCAAGCTGTCAGTGTAGATAATTTTTGACATTATTTGGGACATTTTGTCATGTAACTCCATCGAGTTCAGACGTCTCTGTAGACTATTGACTAATTTTAACATCTTTAGTCCCATCACAGTTTTGTGGCTAATGAGATGCTTTGCAGTAGCTGAGATGCTTATAGTCCAAACATACAAAAGAATGACAAACAAAGTGTGTTGTCATTACAAAGGCTCTGTCATAGCATGTCTACCTATTCATGCAATGTGCTCATTAAATCTGTTCTTTCCTTTTAGGATATATGTTTTAGCATGTTGAGCGCAAATAGTTTTTCTGGCAGTGCCAATATATATAGGCCTACAAAGCCCAGATTGCAAACCTGCAACATGTTTTTTCACTATCACTATAGAGTACTAGCAGGCCAGAAACAGAAATTGGTTCAGTGTATTGTGTGTTTTTTCTTTGTGCACTGAATAATATTTGTTATTCCAGGAGCAAGTTGGCCTTTGCCCGCGGCACACCAAGTGATTCCATAGCTTTTGTCAATGCCTTCAAGGTAATGTGTTTGATGTAAGTTGTGGTGTTTGATGGACATACATATATGCCCGCAGTTGTTTTTAAAGCCCTTCCCCTCTGTCTCTTACTGTTAGGCATGGCAATCCTCCAAAAAGAAAGGACAGCTGAGACACCCAAAGGTGAACCAAACAACCAAACATGAGCTCACTGAAAAAAAGCACACATTTTATTATTATTACTATTTTTTTTACAGGTTGAGAAAAAGAACAGTCTGCTACTGTTGTTATACAGCTCTTGACAAGATCAGCATTGAAGTACACACAATTGTTCAGTCCCACTGGTAAAGAATTAAAATAGCGTTGTTAATAACATTTAGCACAACACTATGGTTTACAGGGCATTTCCCAAGGGGAAGGAGATGAGGGGGTGTGTGTGTGTATGTATATGTATGTGTATATATATATATATATATATATATATATATATATATATATATATATATATATATATATATATATATATATATATATATATATATATATATATATATATATATATATATATTCTCTCATCTATTCAGATGGTTTATTAAATTTAAAGTTTATTAAATTTCTCTTCAGTTGGAGAAAAGTCTCTCTTCCTAGGTTAACTATTTATTAGAGCTTTTGTTTTGGGCATTACTAATGTGTTTTTTTGTAGTGTCATGTTTTTTTGCCTTTGTTGCTTTCTGCTCTTAGGACGAGTTAGACTGGGGAAAGGAGAACTTCATTCAGATCAAGAGGATCAAAGAGGTACAGAGATGAAGCCCCACACTAAGGGATGTCTTTGTCATCATCCATTCTAGTGTAGCATTAGTGAAGTCTAGGGCATTAATCCTGCAGTTTGTGGTCTTGTGTTTTCTGGACCTGAAAGTTTTAATGGAAAGAACTGAGTTTGTAAAAAAAGTTATGTTTATAAACTCAGTTCTTCATTCAACGTTTTACATAGTTAAAGGGACTATATAAGTTTTTCAATAAAATTAATAAAATTTCTTTTATTGTCAATGGGCTCAAAACTCACTTAGAAATGAAGGACACGCCTGTTTTCTCCGTTGCTTGCATCACCCACTATTCTGCTTTTAATGTGGGGACTCCGGGTTGGATTCAGCCCTGTGCGCGCTCCCGAGCCTCTCTCAGACTACAGCGACAACAAGGTAGCTAACGACACGCAGTCCACTAACACCATAAAACAACCGGCTCACAGCAAAACACAGACTCCACGCAAGGATACAGAAAAACAATAAAGTTTTATGTGCTGAAACCCATCAGACCAAACAGGTTCAGATGATGTTGAGTAAGAACAAAGTGAGCATTAGTAAAGCTGGAGAAACACCGAGAAAGTCACATTAGCTCGCCAGCTAATGCTGAGCAGCTGCTAATGTTATCCGGTGCAAAGTTATATTGCTTTCCACATTACTCCACCAACTAACCTGACCCATGTTACTGTCTGGTGTACCACTGTTGATTTAGCCTGCAAGAAAGGATGCAACGGTAAAAAGCAAATGTGGAGCGAATTGTTTACTAACGTTAGCCTATAGTGATGCAGCCAGCTAACGCTACAGTAAAGTTACTTAGTTACTGCGGTCTTGTATAAGTCACACAATGTCATTATAATATTCAGCCCAGCTCACTGCCCGTTTCGTTATCATCCAATACATTTAGCTGTGTTGACATTGCTGAGCCTCCAGTGAAAGATACACAGATAGTAAAGATAGTTGCTGAAAGCAGCAGGCGAGCTAACGCTGTAGCACGTCGGCAAAATGCAGTAAATGTACCGTGATCATATAACGACAATGGATTAGTTCAACCTGCATCTGATAAATCAGTATATTGGACACTCGGGTAAACTCCAACTGCAACCTTAAAGTAATAGTGTGAAGCTGTCTCCCTGTCTATCTATAGCCGCTGTCACTCTGCCTTTTTTCCTGGGAGGATTGTGTCGATACGCACTCGCTGCGCTTAATGAAGTAACGTTACTGAGCCGGTGTTGATCTGCCTCTGAGACGGGAACGTTGAAGTAACAGAGCCTGAACATGTCTGAGTGAAAAGCCAGAGCCTGCATGCTGGTGTTCCTGCATTTATTGTATGAAAATGGTTGTGCTTCGAATAATGCTCGCTCATGAGTTCAAGCGAGCACGCGGACGAGCATACGCCTGGTAGCACTCTTAAAACCGCACCGCTAGTGGCCGCTGGAAACTCCATAATGCCCCTTTAAATCAGGAAGTAGATATTATTAACAATTAAGTTTAAACTTGAGCTGTGTACACTATGTTCTTAGTTTTGTAGTGCGTGAATTTCAACAGGGTAGTGTTGTCTCAAATCAAACACAATCACAAAGTTTGAGTGATTCTTCTTTTTGGCCAATTGTAACCGAGCAGATCAGTATGGCCAGCATTTGACTGTGATTGTCATCCGCCCAAATATCTGTTGGTTTGTTTGTTTACATTACTTTAATTAAATATTAATAAAAATTAACATACGTGTGTGTGAAATCGCAACAGCTGCAGCTTTCTCAGCCGCTATTTTCACTAGTTGAAAATAGATTGGTGGTCCCTCCCCAAAATAGTACGACAAATATTAAATAAAGTATAAATAATTTTTGATAAATAAGAGCCAAATGTATAAAACTAGAAAATATTTTTTTAAATATCTGATTATTATAAATTATAGAGTACTACTACTAATGAACATTAATTTAAATAGTGTATGTATTGTGGGGGCCAGCGAAAAAGAAAATACCAATATAGTACTACTTCTAAAAATAATAATAATACCATATATCATCTCTCATGTCATTTTTATCATGATACTGATAAACAGGGCTCTCCTACATAGGCAAATGATTTAGGGCTGTCCCCGACGAAGGATTTACATAGCCGAATCAGAATCATTAAGTCCTGCCTGTAGTTAAAATATTCTTTATGTGGTTCATCAACGGTGATATGCGTGTAAATACAGTCATGGACAAAAGTGTTGGCACCCCTGAAATTTTTCCAGAAAATCAAGTATTTTTGACAGAAAAGTATTGCATTAACACATGTTTTGCTATACACTTGTTTATTCCCCTTGTGTGTATTGGAACCAAACAAAAAAAAAGACGGCAAAAAAGCACATTGGACATAATTGCACACAAAACTCCAAAAATGTGCTGGACAAAATTATTGGCACCCTTAACTTAATATTTGGTTGCACACCCTTTGGAAAAAATAACTGAAATCAATCGCTTCCTATAACCATCAATAAGCTTCTTACACCTCTCACCCGGAATTTTGGACCACTCTTCCTTTGCAAACTGCTCCAGGTCTCTCATATTGGAAGGGCGCCTTTTCCCAACAGCAATTTTAAGATCTAAGGTGTTCAATGGGATTTAGATCTGGACTCATTGTTAGCCACTTCAGCACTCTCCAGTGCTTTGTTGCCATCCATTTCTGTGTGCTTTTTAAAGTATGTTTGGGGTCATTGTCCTTCTGGAAGACCCACGATCTCGGACGCAAACCCAGCTTTTTGACACTGGGCCCTACATTGCGACCCAAAATCCTTTGGTAATCCTCAGATTTCATGATGCCTTACATACAGTCAAGGCACCCAGTGCCAGAGGCAGCAAAACAACCCTAAAACATCTTTGAACCTCCACCATATTTGACTGTAGGTACTGTGTTCTTTTCTTTGTAGGCCTCATTCTGTTTTTGGTAAACAGTAGAATGATGTGCTTTACCAAAAAGCTCTATCTTGATCTCATCTGTCCACAAGACGATTTCCCAGAAGTATTTTGGCTTACTCAAGTACATTTTGGCAAACTGTAGTCTTGCTTTTTTATGTCTCTGTGTCAGCAGTGGGGTCCTCCGGATAGTTCGTGCTGACACTGATGCACCCTGAGCCTGCAGGACAGCTTGAATTTCTTTGGAACTTGTTTGTGGCTGCTTATCCACCATCCGGGCTATCCTGCGTTGCAACCTTTCCTCACTTTTTCTCTTCCGTCCACGTCCAGGGAGATTAGCTACAGTGCCATGGGTTGCAAACTTCTTGATAATGCTGGGTACTGTGGACAAAGGAACATCTAGATCTCTGGTGATGGACTTGTAACCTTGAGATTGTTGATATTTTTCCACAATTTTGGTTCCTCAGACAGTTCTCTTCTCCTCTTTCTGTTGTCCATGCTTAGTGTGGTACACACAGACACACAATGCAAAGACTAAGTCAAATACTCTCCTTTTTATCTGCTTTCAGGTGTGATTTTTATATTGCCCACACCTGTTACTTTCTCCAGGTGAGTTTAAAGGAGCATCACATGCTTGAAACAATCTTATTTGTCCACAATTTTGAAAGGGTGCCAATAATTTTGTCCAGCCCATTTTTGGGGTTTTGTGTGCAATTATGTTTAATATGCTTTTTTTCCTTTTTTTTTTTGTTTTGTTCCAATACACATAAGGGGAATAAACGTGTATAGCAAAACATGTGTTAATGCAATACTTTTCTGTGAGAAATACTTGATTTTCTGGAAAAATTTCAGGGGTGCCAACACTTTTGGCTGTGTATGTATATATATATATATATATATATATATATATATATATATATATATATAAAATAAATAAATAAATAAATATAAAAAAATTAGGTCCATTCCAGTACCACAATGATATAGGAAGCTCTTCCCATGAATTATTTAATACTACATAACTGTGTACAACAAGGACATGCAACTGTGTGTTAGATACTTGTTCAGCTCACGTTTATTCGAAAGTCCCCTCTGGTTTATTCATTTCTGACACACCGACTGTGACTAGAGACACTACAGTTTAATCGCTTTTATTATTTTATAATTAATGTTAGCCTCCTCCACTGATAAACACGGCATTAGCTTTGTGGCTAATTTAGCAACAGTTATGTTGTACACTGCTGTGAGCCTGGAGAGGGCAGTGAAAAACGGGAGGGTTATCAAGTCTGGTCTCTGAAGAGGAAAACTGACTGTTTGAAGAAAAGTGGACTATTTTATTATTATTTATTCAATTACATTGACGTAACAAATGACCAACTCACCGGGAACACTAAGTGTGAGATCAGAGACCAGTACACTGCGGTCTGCTGATGTTTTGTTCTATGGTGCTGCAGTGTTTTGAACAGAGGAGTTGCAGCGCACCATGTGCTGGTAAAACTATGCAACACTCATAACATCAGGGAATGATCAGACTCTCTGTTTATCTTTTTTAATAGTCATATATCAGCTGTTATAAACACTGATGCAGATATATCTGCAGGTAACTTATGTTGGCTGATAATATCTGCAACAATAAATAGGTCGGGCTCTATTGATGATTATAGCCTTTTGATGCACAGTTTACTGTTTTGTCATGTATGGCTAAACATTTCAACTTCCTCTCTTAATGAGCTAATATTTTGAAATTGAGCTGTTTGTTAAATATTGTGGCTCAGACTTTCTCAGCAGTTACTCACTGTTCAGGTTGCAGAGCTGTATAATGACCTGAAGAAGCGTGTGTCCCAGTTCAACATGCATGTCCCGGAGAACACTCAACCCATGGATTACACCAGCACAAACAGGCAGAAGTTCATTCTTCAGGTTAGACTCACTGCTGCACATTGTGGGATGTACATTGTATATCAAGTGAAGCTTTACAGTGTACACTTCCATCCAGTCATCACTGTGAATGAATATTCAGCTACCGAATATAAGCACCTAAATATTGGTTTGTTTGAGGTTGCACCTCTCTCTGTCTTAGGTGGTCATTGCTGGTGCATACTACCCCAACTACTTTCTCCAGGGGGAAATAGATGAGGACTTGGCCTCCAGAGAGTTGAGTGGCTTCAACCCCAGAACAACAGTGATGGTATGACCGATAGTGTTGGGAGACGAGAATCGATTGCTGTTGGATGTTTTTTATTGATTGATACTTTTCCGTTAGTATTACCGTCTAAACCCTGACGTGGCCTCTAGTATGGATATAGTCTTTTACTTAAGAAATAACAGACCGCATGTTGTTTTCAGATGAGGAACATCCCCCCATACAGTTTCCTGTATTACAAGCAGCTGCAGTCTCTGTTCCGCCTATGTGGACAGGTCAAAGCCATTTCCTTTGACAGCTCCAGGTACTGAAGGCAACTGTAGCAAATCCGATCTCTTTTTTTAATCTACTGTAAGCATTTTATTTAAAGAGCACTCAAATGGACATGTTCATAATTGTCTGACTCTGTGTGCGTTTTCTCAGAGCATATGTGGAGTTCTACAGGACATCTCAAGACGCAGGGGTGCTGCCTGAGGTGTCCCTTGCCCTCCTCCTGGCACAGCAGAATGCTCCCATGGAGCTTTCTGTCTACCCCATTGAACAAATAGAAGTGTCTGCTGGGAACAGAAACATAGCTCACATGAAATATGCACGGTACGGCTCTACTCACACATTATGTAAACCAACGGTCTTTCCATATCTGAGTGAAATCAGTTGTTGCATAAAATAGAATTTGTTTCAGTGACCAAAAAAATAACAATAGTACGAAGGTTCAACTGTGTCTGTCTTTTGGGGTCTGAAAAGTCCCATTCTTGATCATCTTTTTGGAAAGTAGAACCCCATGCACCACAGGCTGCACTGGTCAGTGCCTCTGCACTGAGCCTTAATGTAATCTGACATCCTAGCACTCTGCATGACTGCTATCGCTTGGACTTAGAGGGGGGAGGTTTTAGGCAGAGGCAGCTTCTTCCTATCTCCCTCTGGGAGGTGGGAGATGGGATGACTTTGGGCATTATTAGCTATCCAACAAGAATATAGCTCACCAACTATTCGCTCTGATTACTTTCCTTCAACAGTGATATTTCCAAGTGCATAAAACTTAAAAAATGTTTGATAACCTCACATAGATTTTATATTGTGTGTATTTGGTCTAATTTTTAAAGCTATGCCCAAACCAAAGGAACAGGAGTGTAGTGTAATAGAAATGCTAAAGCACACTATAGCATTCTGTTAGCAAGACACAGGCACTATCCTAATACTGATTCTTGCAGTCTTGTTTCATAAACAGTGCTTGGAAACATTGCATAGATAACTGTGATCTGTAGTAATGTTTGTTGGTTTTTATTTTTTTAATCTAGGATACCTTCTAAATACTTGCCAAGCACCTCTGTTAGAGTCTTTGTAGTCTCATTAGAATAAGGTGATGTTGTGACAGAGCAGCAATAAATACAGTTTCCCCCCGCGCACAGTGAGTACAGTGAGAGTAAACGTGCACACAACATTTAAGTTAATTTCTTGCAGGGTGAATGTAGACTTCCAGAGCCAGTCTGTCTGCCCGGTGGGAGTGGTGAGCAGCACCATTGACCCAGACAAGCTACCCCCCAACCGCTTGTTTGTGGTCAACATCACCGAGGTCAGTCCATTACTTTTAACAAAATGATACTAAAAATGTAATCAACTTTAAAACACAGAATATTGTGGAGTCTGCAAAAATGTATACAATTGGGGTTTTCCCTAGCATTGTAAGTTTTTTGTTTTTGTTTTTTTCTGTGCATTTAAGCCAAATGCACAGAAAAAACTATACGGCTGTGTTTTAAGGTCATTCACGGCGTTGCTTCTGTCCTCTGCTCTGAGTTTGAGATGGGGCTCAGCGCCTCCTGTGCACACAAACACACACCCTCACATGAAAGTTGCCATGCTAGCAAGAGCTATTCACTTCAATAAACTCTCAAGTGCAACCACATCGTCAAGGCGCAAGCTTATTGAAGACTTCATGGCTGTATGGGCGCAGTCAGATATTCCGCTCGAAAAATTTAAAAAGCTAGTCCGGTCAAGCTTTGTAAAGAAGGAGCGCTGCCCACGTGAGAAAAGCCTCCGTCAGACGCACTTATCGTCCATGTGTGAGAGCATATGTAGGCTCCGTGGGAGGAAATTGTCAGTAGTCAAGTAATCTATTTAACAGAGGACAATTCACAATACATGTATTGCAACAATGTATTCACTGTGAATTGTAGTAGTATTTTAAAGAGGTGGTATTATGCTCATTTTCAGGTTCAAAATCTTTTGGGGGGGTTGTACCAGAACAGGTTTGCATGGTTTAATTTTCAAAAAACACCATATTTTTCTAATACTGCACATTGCTGCAGCTCCTCTTTTCACCATGTGTGTTGTACGCTCCGCTCTTGAGCTACAGAGTGATGCATCTTACTTGTACAAAATCTTTGTTGGGAGTTGCACATGGGCAGTTCCCAGGTAAGGACTACTAGCCAATCAGAAGCAGAGAAGGGCGGGTTGTAAGAAAGAAGACGCTTCAGACTTCAGACCATAACCTAGCAGCTGGTATAAGTTACTCGTCCACAACCACACAACATCATTGTTCCACATCTTACCATAAACCACTACAAAAATCACCATATTTCAACTCAATTTTACATAAAAATTGGCCAAACAATTTGAATGTGTTATCTAACGTTTACAACAACTCCGCACTTGAACAGTCTGTGACGTTACATTGCTGCATTTATTTTAAATATAATTCACAACCAATAAAGCATACTTACAGGTTGTAATTGTGAATTTCCAGGCCGTCACAGTTGCATCGTCTTTTAGGACTAAACGTTGAACTGTTGCCGGTGTTCTGACGATCTCTGCTGACTTGCCAAAAAATGCTACCATAGCGCAAATTTATAGACTGGACTCTACTCGGCCCTGCTCCGTTTTCCATTGCAGATGGTACCCAGAGATGGTATATAGCTTGTCGTCATAGCGACGCCACACACAACTGCCGCGACGTAATGTTCAATGCGACACACACACCAGCGATCCACACAGCTTTCTCTTTTTTAAGTTAAAACGTTTCAACATTCCTCAGATTGTAAAGACAGATATGATACGGTATGAAAACCTTCCAGCTGTGTTTTCCTCTGCCGTTGTTGCTGCAGCAGTCTGTGTGACGGTGGGAGCAGAGGGCTCTGTGAGCGGGCGGCTGGCCGGCCTCACACGCTCCTCCCGTGGGCTGGCACAGGCATCCGCCGCAGCCACTTGCAGAGCTCCTCAACTCCGACAATATTCAAGCACATTTTTGTACTGCCATCACTTCTCGTAAAACTGTCAATATTCAAAATCTACACAGTTCTCACCTCAAAACTGCTCAGAAGTGGATTTAGTTATGAAATTCCATACGAAAACTGTAAAATATAAAACTTTCTGTTGCTTGCCTGTCTGGCGCACACAATGATGATGCAGTGAATAGTGGATATTCTCTCTGACCAATCAGCAGTCTGTCGTCTTTTCATGTTACATTTTAGTATCCCTCAGCTCGCTTGGAAGCAGGTACAGGTACAACATTTCTACAATGGAAACCCAAACAAAGGCGAGTCGAGCCAAAGGGCCTCCGCTCATACTAGCTTGGTTTGAGGGAGTGCCTGACCCTGCTAGCCGCTTGGCAAGCTTTATGACGCGTTTTCATTGTGACGTCACAAGTAAAGGAAGTGAAGGACTGGACTACAAACGAGCTGTTTTCAAACCGTTCAGAGCAGAGCTTTCTGTGGGAGATGGGAACTCCCTTTGGGCTGGACTTTGGGCTTTTTCAGGTTGCAAACCTGTTACATGCACAAAAAAGATATGTAACTCAATAAAGGAGAGGGAAAAGGCCAAAAAGCATAATACCACCTCTTTAATACTGTTGCAATGAATTTATTGTGAATTGTCCCCATAAATATTGCACATACATTTGAATATTTCTAGATGTATATTTGCATGAAACAAAACAATTATTGATTACATTTTTTATATTTTCTTATTGAATTGTTGAAATTGTATTCATCCACCACATTATTTCATACTTTCTGATGACAAACTGCTTAAATAAAAAATGTAAAACACAGAATTCAGAAAAATTAAAACAAATCACGGAATTTGGGGGGCAATTTAAACAAATTTAATATTACCTATTAGACATGGTCTATCGAGCTATATTTCAAAAGCAACATGTGTTTCTGACAAAATGTCTGAATCTTCATTAGGTGTTTCCTTTCTTAACTCTGCTGCAGGTGGTGGATGTGGGTCATTTCTGGGGCTTCCAGGCAGATGAAGCTAGCTTGGAGAGGCAGCGTCATTTGACAGCAGAGATAAACCAACGTACGCTGTGTGCTTTAACTATGTCACTCTATCCCAACCTGCTGTGTCTGGCTCCTTACTCGGAGATCAATGACTCGAGCTTGTTCTACCGTGCCAAGATCCTGCACATGCGTGGCAACACAGTAGAGGTGAATATTGCTTACACTGCAGTGCTCTGGTGAACATGTGATTTTTCTTGGAAAAAAAACAAATTTGCTAAAATGTCTAAAATCCTGTTTTCACTTTCTGTCATTGCCTGGGAACCAGACATATCTGCAGAGCTCATATTTATTTGCCCTGACAGATGCGTCTGGTCCCTCTCCCATTCAGACAGATTTCCACCTGCGTCCGTTCCGGCCAATAACTAATATTTATCGAATATAGAGTGGGTTTGATACGATGACTGACAGGAGCGTCACTGGTTCACATTTGAAAAGTTGCTCTGGTTGGTTGGTTGGTCTGGACCCACCTCAAATGTTTTCAGAAACATATTGTAGTGTACTGTTTAGCTGTAATTTGAGAATGTTTGTGACCAAGAGCCATTAATTAATTTTTTGCTTGAAAAGGGACCAAGCAGCACCCCAACTTGCATGTGTCGCTATGTCACAGGTTTTATTGCTGATAAGTTGTAGGTCTATCCAATTTCCTCCAGAGGCATTTTGATCCAAACCCGTTGATAACCCTCCTTGGAAATCTAAAATCAATTATGGTGCATTAGCGTCACGATTTGTGTGGTGAGGCAGGTTGATGGACCCAAATGCAGACACGGGAAGCTGGCAGGAACAGTTCAAAAGGTTTATTAAACCAAAAGCGAGCACAGTTACATTTGAGTGGCTAACAAACACAGTCCAAAAACAAGGTGATCCAACAGAAATCCAAAATCCAGGGAAACGGGGTGACACAACTAGTAAGACAGGCTGGCCGGACAACACACAGCAACATGGGACAGAGTGTGTGTGTGTGTGTGTGTGTGTATATGTGTATGTATGTGTGTGTATATATATATATATATATATATATATATATATATATATATATATATATATATATATATATATATATATATATATATATATATATATATATATATATATATATATATATATATATATATGCATGCATGCAAAAATATCATTAATAGGCCTACTGAGTCGGACTGTCACTTTACAATCACAGGTCCATGAGGAGCCTAAACTACAGATTCAGATTAGAATCTGGTCGATTTTAATATTTTCATCTTCAGTTATTGCCACCAGCATTTAGTCCTGTCAGGTTCCTGCTGAATAAACAGGCCTGTAGCTATTTAAAATCAATAACAGGCTATAGGAGAATTCCAGCACTTTTTCATTCATTAAGGAAATTCCAGTCTGGTAAATAATGAATGAGCAACGCTTTATAAAATTTAATATTGTTAACGTATCAATCTTCGTTTTGGAGCCAATCATGGTCCGCGTTGGCACGCATTCATATTTCTAGCTCCACCCGATTTAAAATGGAGGCCCTGCCTTTATTTACCCGTTGCCATGGTGAATCGTAGTATCGGAGCTCCACTGATGATGGCTTTTTTTCCATTCCCACGCACGCACTTCCATCAGGCTCAACATACTCAGAGTTGACTGAACTTATTCTGATTGGAACCCAGAGTTTGACAGCTCAGAGTTCGTCAACCCAGAGTTCAGGTTTACACTCAGTTTGTTGAACCTGCTTTCTGAAACAGGACCCAGGAACCGAACCTCAAAACAGGAAACATGACAACTGACTGACGGAATGGAGTAGGGAACAGAGACGGAACTGACTGGGAACAGGACAACAATAAACATGGAACAGAACAGCAAATAAGGGAAATACCAAAACACAACAGACTACATAACAGATACTGGATAAAGGACAACAGACAGAACCGAATCCAAAACTCAACAACTCTAAGACAGATACTGAACAGATCAAAATAACAAACACTAAAGTACACGGACCAGGAGTAGATACTAAGACATTAACTGGCAGACTGGGAACTAAGACATGGAACCAAAACACAGACTAAATAACAGATGCCTAACTGATAAACTCAGAACTAAACGGAACAGATAACAGGACTAACATGCAGATACAAAACCAAACCATCAGAATCAAAACCATGCAGTGAATGCAGTGTAAAGTCTGCAAAAAGTATCATAGGCCAGAACTAGTGAGATCACGTGTTTTGTATCTTGTTTTCATGCAAACAAGTGAGCATTTTTATATTTAAAAGAAATCAAAGTATCAAAATGCACTGATATACCAAAGAGGTTACCTTAATGTCAACCTCTGACAGCAATATGTGATAGCAATTTCTGATGTTATGTCATGTACCAGAGACTAGGATATGTTGTTGTTCTCCAGGTGTTCTTCTTGGACTTTGGCAACACAGCAGTTGTTGCCTGCAGCAGCCTCAGAGAGCTCCCTTCGGACCTCCTGTCTCACCCATTCCAGGTAGCAAAGTGGCACCATTGGTCAAAATATTAATGCACACTTATCTGTTCCACTGTTGAACTGTGAACAAACAGTAACCCACAACACTTGCTTGTGATCTTAGGCTCAGGAGTTCCAAGTCACTGGAATGCGTCCTTCAGCTGAGTCAATCATCCTGGGGAACCAGTGGAGCAGTCGAGCCCGCGACCGCTTTATCACACTGGTGAAAGGCCGTTCACTCATTGTGTCCCTGTACTCCATCCTCCATGGTGTCATGCATGTGCAGCTGCTCATCAACACGCAGACAACAAACACCAGCATGGTAGACATCTTGGTGCAAGAAGGACATGCTGTGACGGCTGAAGAGAGCTTCGATTCCAAGGTGACACAACGGCTGTGAGCTTAGGTTGTCACACATGAAATGTATTGTGTGCAATATAGAAATAAATCATTCATAACATATCCCTTTTAAGCTTAACCTCACCTAAATATGTCCTTTTTAAATGCTTGATTAAAGTTTTAGTTCTCTTCTTCAGAGAGAGCAGTGGCTATGGCCTGCTTGAATTCATATCATATATAGTGCACTCTTTACGTTTTCATGACAGCATCGCAACATCCATTGAAACTCCTCTAACCAGACCTGCAACCTATTCAACTTAATCACTGTCAATCCAAACGCTTGAAGCTTTCAATGGTACCTTTTGTACTTGCAGTACTGATTTTTACCAGCAGATGTTGTGGTTGGTTGCTGTGAGCAAAATTGCTTTGGTTTCACTGAGAATAAAAGCACAAATCATAGTGTTGATTGGGTTTTTTTTGTGCCCAAGGTGACAACCATACCAGCCCTGATTCAGAAAGATCCATACCAAACCTGTGTGCCCTTCTGAGTCTGGATACTTTACTTTTGTTTGCAGCAAAACCATGACGCACTGATGTCCATGTACAAGGACAAGGAAATGGGTACATACATTGCCAACGCTGCCAGCAGCTCCTGGAATGATCGCAAGAGAGAGGAGAAGCAGCTCATTGACAACCTGCTCGCCCACTTTTCCAAGAGCCGCCTCTCTTACTCCAAGACAAAGGCAAGATACACTGCAGCTTACACAATACTTTTTATATTATATTCATACTAACATCTTAAAAATAGTAAGATTGTATAGTATTTTTATAAAACAATGTTATAAAGTGCTTTACAAATAAAATAAAAAGCAGTAAGAAGGATTAAAAACAGCAACAGAACTACAATCAGTTAAGAGAAAGCCTTCAGATTGAACTGGATCTTGAGGAGGAATTTAAAATAGGACACAGACTCGAGTGTGAGAGATGCTGATATATTGGTATTGGGGGGATGATGGCATCACCTCCACATTGTCTGTTGCTCTCACTTTGTCCAGGAGATGGAGCCGTTTCAGTGGCTCAGTTTATGTGTTGGTGTTCATTTAGAGGCACACCCATTCTGTCTGAAACAATGACAACTACAGCTGTGAAGCACTAGTCTGGATGCATGAGCACATCATGTGAAGTGTCTGACTGCAGCCTTCCTTCTAACATCATAGGTACATCTGCATGGACCAAACAGTCCTAATAAGATAAAGTTCCACAGCTTGAGCAACAAGACACACTACAAGTAAGCATTGTGTTCACTAAGACCAAATTTAAACTTTCAGGCTGCAAATGCACCTCCACTCCCCCCCACCCCTCCATTGCTAATGAGTTTGTCCTCTTGCAGGACTGTGTGTATAGAGAGAAGCAGCATCAACTCCTTGGCCCTGAATGAAAACCCTCACTACAAACATCAGAGGATGCTGGTGGCAGGGACTGTGTCAGTCAACCCCACAGGTACCAGATACAATATCTCCTCCATAAATGCAGATATTATATATTAACAAGGAATCAAAATGATTCTATGCAATGTGAAAGTGGTTGCTTGAATTTACAAACAAACTGTCAACCAACTCTGCAGTCCCTTTATAAGGCTGTAAAATGTGAGGGAAACATGTTTTTCACATTGTTCTTCTAAATGTCCAATTTGATGATTGCGGGTTTAAACATGAGGCTGTGTTGCAGGGACACGGATTCTACTGAGAGATACCACCCTCATGCCCGACATCCCGGGACTGCCTGCACTCATTACCATGCTGTTCACGCCCATCATGGAGTTGCGGTTAGTCAGACTATCACTGTGCACCTTAAAGGCAGCATAATCAAAAAACCCATGTTAATATTTTTTCCCCCTCAATTTTTTGTAGCACTGATGAAGAGAGGACGTGCTACACTGGCGCCCTCTGTGGCTTGGGCTGGAACAGTCGAACACAGGAGGGCATCCTACCTGAGCATGACATCGAACTTGCCTTTGACGTCAAATTTGATATTGAAGACATCACTGAGGTAACAGCTGTCAGCAGAGAGACGGATGTGTTGTGATGATCGCGGTGATGAAGTAGGCAAAAATTCAGATTGGTTTTCCCAGAGCCCTTGTCATTCATTGATTTGATCTTGAGATTTGACAGGTGATTCGTACCGCTTCTCCTCAAGATTTAAAGAGTAAACTTTTTTCACCTCATGCTCTGTGATAAAAGTTGCAACACCTCCTTGAATGCTGATAGTGATTGAGATATATGGAGTTAATGTGTTGCTTCAAAGTTTTACTGACATCGAGCTATATTGATCTTTTAATGGATTTTACAAATTTTTGATGAACAATTGTCTTCAGGAAATCTGAATAAGATTTCTAGGATATCTTTAAAGATCATGATGTGTGCTAATGATCTACAGCACTGGCCTTTGGCTATTGTTGCAATACTTTAATGCCAGTATTACATGATATAGCATTCTTTTTTGTGTATTACTGATTAGTTCTGTGTTTTTCAGATAAATGCTTTGCGAGTGGCTATAAACCGCCTGGTGTGTGGAGGGCCCTGTGGCACTCTGCATTTGGGGCCTGACAGGATCAGCCACCTGCAGGAGGACTGCCAGGACCGCCTCATAAGGTCACTTCCATACACCCACAGAAATCAGTAACAAGTTTAAAGACTGGTCTATGTGTATGCAGCCATTGATCGGTTTGTCATTATGTAATGCAGACTGTTCACCAAGTCACCGCCAAGGGAAGCTGTCACTCCAGTATACTACGAGAAACTCGAGAAATGGAATCAGGTATGGTACAAGATTGTGTTCCTGCAACGATTATTTGATACTTTTTGTTTTATCATTAGCCCTGTTACGTGCTGTTTTGTGAGCACATTTTAGCTTTGTGTTTTTTAAAGTGTTTGTATTGAACCTGCAGGTGGATCCTGCTCTGAAGATGGGTATTGTTGAGCCCAGAAGTGGAAAGACCACAGGTGTTCTCTTCCAGCTGCATCCGGTCACTCTCCTCAACACTTAAAAAGCCACTGGAAATGCATTTGTGTTGAAATGAAACTGATTCTAGTGTTTTACTATGAGCAGTTGCCTGGAATTTTAATTTCATTATGTTCAGAGGAGTATTTTTTTTAAGTTCAAATGTAGCTTTCAGCAGCCGAAAAATCCTCAATTCTTTCTTTGTCGTTTGCAGCCACCAGTGGAGTAGTTATTCCCTTTAAATAAGTCGCTGCTCATAAGAAATGTAAATGTTCTGAGATTTGTCCTGTATAGCTCTTTCTAACAGCACTTCAGCAGTGGGCCATTAAAAATAGTGCGCAACAGATGAGGCTTGTCAGTCAGTCTTCATTCAAACACAGTCTCATTGTGACCCAGGAGTCAAGTTAAATTTGTCACCACAGCACACACACATACGCTAAACTCCTACTACGAGATGAGAGGTGCATCTGTGCCAGAATTCACTGGCTGATATTTATAGCTCATCATTCCGGGTCTCCTATCCAAAGTTTGTCACCTCAAACTTAGCTGTGGTGTCATACACAAGCTCATCTTCACTGACCTGAAGATGTCTTATGAATGTGAACTCATCAGTAAAGTGGCTGAGGAGATGTTATACATCAAGGTACATTTATTTTTCTTATTCTTGTAATTAAATACATAGTGTAAGTGCAAATAGTTAAAGAGTCCAGGGTCTAAAGAACTACAGAGTATAGTTGAACATAGTACAAAGTTGGACAGTTATTCAAACAAGCTAAATATCACCAGATACTCCTTGTCTTCATAGTAGTTGTACAACAGTACCTAAAACATGAGCATGTGTATTGTTGCTTATGGTTATACAAAAGCAAAAACCCTACAATTACCACATCTAAGACGCATATTGTTAAATTATTTTGTGCTTGAAAACACCAAAAGGAGATCATTTTTGATATTTATATATATTGACATTGACTGAGAGAAGCCCTGTCTGCTAACTCAGAAACATGAAGCAGTATTCAACATTGGCAGCAGAGCACGTCTGTGGGCATTTAGCTTTTTTGTGCCAAACCATACAGTTTGTGGTAAGCACTGCAAAGCAAAAATGATTTAAAAACTGCACAGAAGATATCAAATATTATTTACCCAAGGCTCGACTTCATGCACTTTATAATAAGCAACACAAAAAAAGTCAGTTTCCTTTTTTGTTTTTCGAGTTGTGTACTTATCTACCTAGAAACAGGATTATGTATTTGTGACTGTGTGTTAGTGTTTAGACTGCTATAGACAGGGTGAAGGCTTCTCCAGTGGATGCTTTTAGAGAACACCAAGATGACACAGCACTACGCCCCACAGATGACGACCAGGCTCTTCAACGGTGAGCGAGCTGCCTGGCTCTGAGCTGGACTGGACTGTCAGCTGCATGGTGAGACAGACAGGTCTACTCCTCCTTCCTCTTGGCCCCGGGGATCTTTGCTTGGATCCTGTACAAGAGAAACACACTTAAATACCACAAGCCATTCATTCTAGATTAACTTGTGCTTATTTTAACTTCCTGCTGTTTTTGTACTCGCTCTTTTTATGGCAGTCTGTAAAACCAACAGGTCAAGTTTTACTAAAGTTGGAAAACTGATGATCAGTCCAAAAACTGCAGGCAGACATTTTGGCATCATCTGACCCTTGAGACACCTACAGACAAACTTCACTCTTGAATTTTCTGGGTTACCACAGAGCTGATGAATATAGACTATTCGGTTTCAGTCTGTTAAATTGAGTAGTTTGTCATTTTTCAAGGTCTCAGGCAAGGAAACACATTTCTACAATGCTTTCTACTCTGTGCAACATGTTTTAATATTTTTAATAGACTTGATTTTCCAAACTGTTTCATTTGTGAATTAATCTTGCAAATTGGATGATTTGCTGACCACAAATGCTCATTTTAACAGCGCCCTGCTTTACACCTTCACAGTTGCACACATAAATACCTGAAAGCTGCCCAGTACAACTGCAGTCTCATCAGCTGGCCACTGAGCAGCTCCAGTTGAGATGTAAAGGTTAAGTGCCTTGCACAAAGGCACTTCAGTGCTTCTAATCAAGGAAAAGCAAATGCTGCTCTTTCAGTTGTTTGCCTCCGACAGCAAGACGCAAAAATGTGTGACCATGATGAAAACTGATCTGTAACAACTCCTCATTGTATTTTTACATTTTTATTTAATATTGAACAGGGAGCACTGCTTGATTTCCTCTGGTGTGGCTTGTGCTTCAACAAGGTGCTTGAAGCTGCGTTTCCTCGTAAATCGTAAGTGAACAAAAATGGCAAACACTCACTTCCCCACCACAGAGTTGACCTGGGTCCGTATTAGTCCCACATATTGATCAATCTGTGCCTGAAAACAGAAGGAAAATGATGGGTGTAAATAGTAATACTGGACAACATTTCTTTAACCAGGGTTGACTTGACTTATGAAGCTGAAATTCCTACCTGATGTTTCTCGTACACCACGGGCATGGTGAACATGGAGACCACAGCTGTAGAGGCACGGAGAGAGTAATTATTCTAAGTATTCTGCTCAAACAGTAACACACTTGTGTCAGCAGGGCCGCCGACACTTATCTAATGTACACTGGAAAAGTAAACATAGTGTTCACGTTCGACAGTAAAGTAAACCTGTCTAGTGAATTTAATTCTGGCATAGTGATAAGGACATGCTGTACTTTTACATATGTATAATATAGCTTTGCTATATGTATCCTGTTCATCAAGTCTTCTGAAGATTACTGAATCTTTGACACACAAAAGGACTGAAATGCTGCAGTGGTGTGTGAGTCAACAGCAGTGCTGGGAAGTTTGTAGTCGTCGATAAAATGGAGCTGAGCGAGAGCTCTTGAGTCAGGAAAGCTTCACCTAGGATGAGCAGTGTCAGGCCGTTGAAGAGAGCACCCACGTAGGTCAGCAGCCACATCAGAACCGCAAACTGAAACACACGCAGACGTGACATGTTTTAATCTTTCTAACCTGCACGCCTGACTGTATATATTCATCTATTACCTGATTACTTAATAATTGGCCAAGCTGATCTCACACTTTACCTGAAGTAACTGACAGATATTGTCATCCCTTGCTAGTGATGCTAAAAAGGCAACGAGTGAGTTTGAGGCAAACCTTCAAGGAGTCGACCAGATCTTGTACGAGGAACAACCTGCGGAGCTCCTTCATACAGGTGTTGGTGTACAGCAGGATTTTGTCAGCATATTTACTAATCTGGTCCTGGGATAGGGCGAGATCAATCTCCAGGTAGGCTCTGAAAACAAACACAGGGACAGAAACACAGACAAGACCCTTCAGTATGCAGACCTTTTAATGAAATCCACAAAGCGCCTCATTCAACAATCTTCCGTTTTACCCACTTGAAAGGATGTCCTTCATCGGTCTTCTGCACAGCCTGCAGTACAGACTTGTAGATCCTGAAGCTGATGGTGGCAGAGAGGGCTGCCAGGGCTAAGTAGGCTCCGACACTGACCACGCTGAACTGGGTCAGGGAGAAGAGGAGCAGAAGCACGCTGCTGAACACGGCCCCCGACTGCTTCACATTCCTCCAGTAGAGCAAGTCAATCGCTGTGGGGAGGACAGAAGAAGGACAAACGGGATAAGAAGACACAACCAGCATGACCTGACCTCTCACTCTGCATCATGCAGGCCTGGGCATCTATGGCTGTATCAAAGTTGGACTAGGCTGCTGCACACTACACACCATACATTTGGGTCAAATATCTGGAAGCTGTTCACAACCCAATGTCCTCAGAGAGCTTTGGCTGTCACGTGATCCTGTTTTAACCCAGCTTCCTAACCTAGCTTTTCACTAGGTTAGGGGGAGCTGTGGAGCTGTAAGGTGCCGTGAAGGTGTCTGAGTTTCTTTACTCCTATATATAGAGTGACCTTTGCAGAAGATAATAGCTTACTCTTACTTGTCGAACGAATGCCTCAGTCTGTGTGTGTTGCCACACTCTGGACCAGTGGGACTTCGTATTTACATCTGATGTGTACTTGCACCTGGTCTGGTCTCACACGTATACAGACATGCATACAAACCGGCAAGTGAAACCGCATTACACTGAAGGTACAATTGCACTGCCTGCTCTCAGAACAGAATTAATGATTGACCTATAGCTCGGCGAAGGCAGTAGCAGAAATAGAAGTATTATCAGCAGTTCACAGATAACACTTCAATGTGACCTGGCCAAACAAGCAGCTCTGTGGTCAGTGATGAAGGATGACGATGCTTTCAATGCAGTGTCTCGTCAATGCAGTGAAACATCCGGATTCCTCCAAACCATCCCGATCACACAGGAATAAACAGTTGAAATATGCAACGCCATCATGCCTGCAGGCACTTGTACATCTTGCTGCACTATTTTCCTTCCATCCTTACTTTTTCCTCAGTTCTTTGGGTGGTGGGGCCTGTAATTCAAAGCCACTAGCAAAGATGAGAGACAAGCGATAAGTGAGGATTAGACCAGTGTACCATTACAGCTCCAGAGGCCGACACGGTCTTCCTCTGGCAGTCGTCTGTGTCGGCTGGAAACATGGGCCCGTTTCCATGAGAACTGTCGCTTGCTTGTTTCACCTCTGCTGAACCAGCTGCCTCCCCCACCACCTCTGCAAGTCTTACTAGTACTACTAGGGTTTACCGATACAGGCACCTGGAAATCATTCATGTCATGTAGGGAGGAAAGCAGAACCAGTGTGTTTAATATAAAGTTAAGAAGAGAGAATCGCTGCGGTGGTCTCTTGGGTGTTTTACTCTTCCTCTCTGAGTTGCCCGCCAGCCTGCCTGCTCTAATTTTAGCTGTGGAGCTGTGAGCAGCATAGTGATGACGGCCATCTTTACTCTCCACTAAAAGGTATCTTTGGATGCCAAAAAGGCAGGCTAAACCTGGGAAGCTGAATAACTGTCATTGTGGCATTGTGTGCAGAGTTAATCTCTGCTACACACGCTAACTGTTCCTATACTGTAAAATAACACATGCACCATCTGTCTTTTCTCTCCAGTATCCAAGAGTGACATACAAATCAGACACTACCCATTCAGAAACAGTGGGAACAGGATCCACAGGCCCTAGCAGCTGTACACGCACCACTCCCCACAGAAGACATTGTTGATGCCACCACTGACAAACTGTCTATATGGCTACCGATTTGAATGGAGATGCTCTGACAGACAGGCAGACAGACAGGCAGGCGCAGGTTGCACATATAGCAGCTGTAACAACACACAGGTAAATCAACAACAGACAGCTCTGCTAGAGACATGGGTTGACCGGCGACAGCGACTGTGCCTTGTGATGTGCTGCACTGGCTGCACGCAGACTGAAAAGCTTTAATTAGTGCAGTAGAAACTTGTACTGACCTGCGGCTCCCATGGCTGAACAGGGAAAGAGGCAGCTGCTTTATCCACAGACAAAAGGAGAGCACTGAAGGGGAAGTCCCCCCTGCACAGGAGGGGAGGGGCCATAGCCACACCAGCAAATCAGCATCCGCCTGTGCATGGGGACTGAGGGAGGGAGGGGGGACGTCTATGGGGTGCGGTTGCCAAAGAATCACATTGCAATCCAACACACACACACTAACACACATATACCGTTCTCTCTTTCTCTGTGAGCTCTTTTATGCTTTTAAGCGCAGCCCCGCTGACATGTGACAAAGACTGCCAGGCAGCGACTACAATAAAAGACAGCGTATCAAAATGGAAAACAAAACCACAGTCCTTTCTATGTGTAAAGGTTGCGTCATCTGACTTGAGCGGCTAAAGAAGAGACGACTGCTGTAACATTGCATGCTAATAAACCATACACACTGTAGACATCTTGTACTGCTCTGTGGCAAGGATCTGCTGAGCACCTGCCTGATGCAGTTACCATAGTTACCATGCTCCATTTTCTCCCCGCCACTCATTGAGAGATGGAGAGAGGGGGAAAGGGAGGGGCTGGAAGAGGGAGGGAGGGGGAAAGAGCTTTCCTTTGGGAACAGAGAGAGATTCATTTGCTCCGAATCTGGGGAATCAGCAGCACATAATGTGTCCCCACAACCCCACATATGAAGACAGCCTCTCCCTTTATTGTGCAGCACAAAGGGACAATGGCAGGTTTCACACGAGGCCAGTTAGTCGTCAAGAAAATTATAAAAACTATGTGTGTAAAGGGCTTAAACTGATAGTGTCTAGTTAGTTAGATAGTTAATTGATAGTGTCACATTATAAGCTCAGATTTGTCCAAATTTGAGTCTGATTTCTGACTGAAAGCTGCTAATTTCTGTTGCGCTGCTTGTTTACACTGGATGACATTTCAGTTGTTCACATTTAATTAAAACCATAACCTGATATTAATTTATAATAAGGCATGCACCAAATATAGAAAATCAATTTAGGTTTTTGACCGAAGCAAAAGCTGAACTGCTTGCGTGACAGTATAATCTAGGATAGGCAGAATCATAGTACAGAGGAGGCACAAATGCAGCCTGCCGAGCTCTGTTTGTTTATATGACTCTCTGATACTCAACACGTATACCGAGCAAAAACCAGAGCAAAGATTAACACCAGTGACAATAATATGAGCCCCCCTCCCCCTTTTTTATAGTGAAACTAGTTTAGCCTGACCTCATTAAATCACTGAAGACATCCTTGTGGCCTCAAACAAGCCATCAGTCGGAGTGAGCAAACATGCGAAGGGACTTCTGCTGCCAACAGCTTGATTCAGGACTTGAGTCTCAGACTTGGAACTTTGGGGATGATAACTTCAGATTCTTTGATATAAAATGGTATGAGTTACTTAATTTGGTAGAGCTATTGCAGACGGAGATATCTCAGCAATATGACCGCTTGTCCAACAGAAATGAACACCAGCAAATTGGACCAGTTAAGAAAAGCATTTCAAACCAAAACAGCACTAAAATGGAATGCTCCAGTACCACTAGCAGTGAGTAAATCGTACTGTGTTATGTCAAAAAAATCGGACCTGTAACTCTCTGTCTGAACAAAGTTTGATTCTTCTTCTGCCATATAGCAACCAAATAATTATTTAAAAACAACAGCTAATTTAATGCAAGTCTTCTTAAATGCACAAAGCTGTGTACACCACTAAATATGCAATGTACCACAGCAGGCAGTATCTAAGGTTTGACCAGAGTTCATGTATTTGAGAAACTACTAAAAAAAATGTGATGATCAAATATTGTCTAAAGCTGCCATATTAATAAAGCAAAACATCTGTTCTCCATCTTCTTATCTATGTGGGTTTGTGACACATTATGTCATATTTAAGAATGCAGATTTGATTAAGGCAGCCACATGATTGGTGTACACAGTAGTGCAGAAGTATGTTTTAACTATAGCATGCATTACAAAAAACCTATTGGCTGTGTGTCATCTTGAGTCCTGTAAGTGCATTACTGAATTTTGGATGTGTCTGCATCATTGTTTGGTCATTCTTGAGTAGCTTGGTGACAGTGACTCAGTACTGTGATGAGGATGACTAAACACAATGCCCACAGCTTCAAGGTGAAGTGGATATATTCAACTGCATAAAGTATATCTGCTCAATTTCATCCTTTGTTGCGCTAGATGTATCAGCTTAATTTGATACGTTCCTAATGTTGTAAACAGATCCCATCAGATATCATATTACACAGTTTCAGACTTTCATCTGGACCAAATTAAATGAATAATGACTCAGTAGAATAATGACCAATGGAGGAGAGGGGGGGGGTTATCAAGGTTATTTTTACAAGCACATCCACAATCAGTGACTGTTATGGTCTCTGTTGGGATACAGTAAGCACTTCATCCATCTTTTTATATTGCATTGTAACTGCTGAGCCTGAAAAGATGGCAGATAATGACCAGTGTGGAGGAAGGGGCGCCATTTTCTCTCTTGGCCCCGTGTACGAGCCCTTCATGCTATGGAAACAGACAGACGGAGGATGCTCTTCTCCGGCCCAGTCTCTGCAAGGTGCCATGGCAGCCGATGTAATAGGGCTGATGTAATCAGGATGGGTGCGCCCTGGTTACCATGGAAACAGTCTGTCAGATCTGTCGGGATGCTTGGACTGCCTCGTTACACAAAAACAGAGCATACGCCATATAAAACCAGCTCCCCTGCACGGCTGCGAAGTGGGGAGGGTGATAACAATGGCACCCCTTAGTCCACAACACAACACTGGCATCCATATTAACATGCACCCAAAACAGATGGCTTCCCAGCACGCTGGTATGTATACGCTTATTTTCCAAAACACCCACCAGCGTCCCCCCTCCTCTTTGGTTTTTATTTTCGGACGCACACACATGCAGCAGAAAGGATGTGTCATCAGGGCGTGTCCATGTGAAAGGAGGCGCAGGCAAAAAGCGCTGTTTGATTCCCCAACACTTGACAAATACAGTTAGATGACAAATGTACACATGCAAAGCACACATACACACATTCAAGGAGACACATCTGTCATGAATATTTAACCTACATGCAGAGATAAGTGTCACAGCCACAGACAAACAGCTGAGTAAATCACAGTAAACACATCAGTACCCTGGCCCTTCCAGCCGCTCCAGGAGCTTTCCTTCTTGGTCACGTCTGCAGTGGCCTGCATGCTGGTGATCAGTTATGTCCCTGTTCTCTTTCTCTCTTTGTCTTTATGGTCTCCGTTTTCTTCTTTGTCTCTCTCTTCGGTAGCACCGACTCACTCACTCATCCCAGAAAGGCATGAATGGTCGAAAAGGATGCGGAGATGACGGGGTGGGAGGGAGTAAAGGTTTCCAATGTGCTGCCGGCTCGCGGAGCACACAGACTGATGCTGTGGAGCAGCACTGGCTAGAACAGAAGGAGCTGGGAAAGTGCGTATGTGTATGTCTGTGTGCGTGTGTGCTGGGGGAGGGGGACGGGGGGACGGGGGGGGGGAGCAAATTGTAAACACCATACCACAGTTGCTGCAGCAGCAAACCATCCATGCAATGATTAAAAGCCTAGGGGGGTGAGAGGGTGGGTAGTGATCGTTGGGAGGCTTAGCTTTTGTCTTGAAAGGGAAGGTACACTAGCTTTCACAATAAAATCCCTAACAGAGCCTCAGAACACACTGGTAATAGAGTGGGGGTACAGGCAGTGGGAGGGTTATCCCACATACGCTTTGATGAGACACCAAAAGCATTGTCATATACTTTCTAGCATGGCTTCCCTCGTAGTTTGTTTGTAACAGAACCATATTTATTGGTGCAATAGTAATACAGGCTACAAATATGGCATGTTACTGCAGTCTGTGCAACCTGAAATTAGTCATTTTAACAGCCTGACGCCATGTTGCACACAAGACAAGGTGCAATAGCAATGTTTTCTAAAGGATGAAAATGGTTGGACTTGAGGCCATGTTGCTATGGAAATATATGGCAACCATCCATATCCACTGTTCTTGATTTGCACAGATCCATATTTAAGGTTGTAGCCAGAGATTCAAAGAGCTCTTTCCATTATGACTCACTGATGATTGAAGAGGCAAAGTGCTTGTACTTTAATAATTCATAATGCAAGACACCGGGCATTAAAGCACAATGCTCCTTGTTTAGCGCCCACTGGATGTGTTTGTGCTTTACGATTTCCTCCCTAGAATAGATTTGTAATGCAAATAGAGCTGTAAAGAGACCTGCGACTGAAAGGGCAGGATGCTTAAAAATAAAAAGCACTATCACTTAGCAGAAAACAATGACTTCATAGTTCGGGGCTAACATAATTTTTTTACCCTATCAAAGCTTTTAGACCTGTCCCCTTGGTCGCCCCCCCCCCCCCCCCTTTCGGAGTCAACCACACCTCACACCTGCTGCTCACTGCAGCTTTGACGGGCTTCATTGCCAATACCAAGAGGGAAAAAATGATTTCTCTGAACCAGACTGAACATGCGCCCTCATCACTGTTGCTATGGCAACTGATGTGGAAGTGCTCCAACTGATGAAAACAAAATCTGCTGGTCTTCAACAGAGCAGCAATGACAAAGGTACACTGCACCCTCTAGTGGTGGAATAAAACAAACATGTGACCTGCTTTTTTTTTTTTTTTTTTTTTAGCATTTCCAGAACCTTCTCACAGAGTAAACAAAACAAAGACAGTCTCTTTGATTTGCTATTTAATCACACTACTTTGAAATATTATAAATTTCTAATTTCTAACTATTTACCTGACTTACTGGAAGAGGGTTCACAAGTAACTGGGAGTTTCATGAAACCCATCTACCTGTCTCTTTGGAAGCTACAGAGGAGCCAAAGCCAAACAACATTTATTCAGATAAGACTTTTTCAGCTCTGTAACTATGTGAAATTCAAGAGGAAGCCTTCAAACCCTTAAGTAGGAGTGTGCCCCAGTTTTGACCACATAGGATTGCGTAAACCCACTTTTTACAAGGACAGAATGAACAGCCAATAGAAGTCAAAATACCCATCCAACATCAAATGTGGAGCTTAGACAGCATTAACATCTGTTGACTGTGGGTAGCATGTCTGACTTATCTAATCGCAGAATGATGTAAGGAGCCATATGACGTAAAGATTCAAATCAGTTTTTTCATTAACATCTGCAATTCCATAATTTGTGCTGTTTGAACTGAAAGCAGAGAGAGAAGTTTAACTGTTGAGTTTCAGTCGTCATGCATTGCCATAAATCTGAATCGCTGCATCCTCACTCTGGCTTTTTTTTCCCATCAAATATACCACCAGAGGGAAGCAGACCTTTAGGAAAGTACAACACAAGCACTTCCCACCCCTTGCATGCTAACATACACACACACACACACACACACACACACACACACACACACACACACACACACACACACACACACACACTCAACAGTGGAACATCCCACCTCTCTCAGCAATCCTGTTTACTTTCCCGGCCTTGTCAACAAAACAGTGTCAAAGCACACTATGCAGTAGCTATCAGGAGGTAAACAAACACTGCGTTAGTGATTTGATCAGAAATATGCTGTCAGTAATTTTCAAACAGCTTTTTAGCCCTAATATAGATATGATGGGGAAGGTTAGGAACACAAATGCACATGCACTAGCTCTTTCATTTGGGCATGAATACAAACAACACTACCTGTATCACAAGCTGACAGCGCTATTTCTGAAGAACCAGTACCCAAGATAGTAGCTTATAAGCCAAGGTGAAACCACTGCAGCAATGAAAAGATTACAGACATGTTTTGTGAAATCCTGTTACATCCACAAGGAGGCAGTAACAATATAAACTTTTACATTTTTGTTCAGAGGAGAAATATGTATTACTTAGATGTTCTGGTTAAAAAAAAAGGAAATCAAGATTTTTAAGACTGACCTTTTTGTTTACTGAAGCCCACCAGGAAGGCTGAGGCGGCGGGTTTTCCTAGGTCTCCTTTGCCCTCATTTGTGTGCATATCGTCCTGGTGGGGCCTCTCTGATCGCACCTCTGGGGGCACGGCCGCAGTGGGGGGCTTGGGCTTGCTGGGGCGATCCTCCTCTGTTTTCACTGGGGTCTTGACCTTGTCTGTGATCAGGGGCTCGGCTGGCACCGCCTCAGCCACGCTGCGGGGAGAGACGGCACTGGGAACCAGGGGAGAGGGAGGGCTGACTCCCTGTTTGGGGCCACTGAAGCCCTGCTCTCTCTTTGGGCTCTCTTCAGACGCAGACTCAATGAAGAGATCACTGTCAAGCTCTGCCTCTCTCTCCTCCCTCAGAATGCTGTAGGCTGTGGGTGGAGCGTGGTTGCCGGCCAGGCCGAAACCACCCTTGGCGACTGGGGGATTGTCAAAGGGGTTGTTAGGCTGGCTGAAAGTGCCCTTGCTTTTAGGCGGCTGGGCAAATGGGTTGCTGCTGGCCTTTGGAGGCTCCTCAGACACCAGCTCAATCTCTGAGTCTCCAGACTCGGCGCTGCTGCCGTCATGCTCCCTGCTGCCGGCTTTAGTGCTCGGAGTGCATTTGGAAGGTGCAGGCTTCACTGCGTCAGCCTTGAACATGTCATGGGAAGGGAATTCTTTTTCTGCTCACAAAGAAATGAAGAGAAAAGTGGGCATTAGAGTCTTCATGCACATCACAAATTCAGACAAACAGTATCTGCATGCTTAAAGCTGGACTGTGTAACTTTTGAACAAAGAAATAACACAGTCCTCCTCTTACAAAGGAAATATTGACTTCATAAGCAATAAAACATCCTCGCTCAATTAACTTTTCAATTGTTTTTACTTGGTCTGATGAGCAGTAACTTATAGTGGTTAATATAAGCTAATGGTAACACACGTTAGATAGTTATTAATGTATAACTGAGTCAGTTTGCTCTACTTTTGCCACTGCTACGTAGTCTCACTTTTAAACCTCAGAAGTCGAATCCATTTTTACCAATTTTAGATTCGCCTGGTCTCCTTGTATGCTAATGCTTGTATAACATCAACCCTGTAGTGCACAATAAAGTTATATATATGTTTTCAGGACAGCTTAGGCTATTAGAGTCTGTATACTGCAGTGACGTCACATGAATGTATTCATGTTATATGACCATAAAGACAAAAAAAAGAAAATTGGAAATTGAATCTCACGAAACTGTATTCAAATCACTGTCAGACAAATGCTGAAGTAGCTCTGACTTAATGACATTCATTATCTGACATAGGGGTGGCCATTTTGACAATATTTGTGTTTTTGTGTGATTTTTCTGCAGTAATGTGATGAGGTTTTTTGATTTGTCAGTTATTTAATTCACTTGATTAGATAAAATCTCAGTTGATTTTCCAGAAAATTTATAATACTATGATATATACTCATTGCAGTATGAAATTACATATACCATGATTCAGTACTTTTTCACCCACTTGAATATATGAGTACAGGTGTTTCTGTGTGTGTGCTGTGCCTACGTGTTGGTGAAGTATTGGGAGTGGAAGCAGGGCTGTCGTCCTCGGGCTCCGATAGCGTCACAGTGGGAACCCCCTGTAAGCCCACACTGAGGACATTTTCACGCTCAGACACAGTGACTGGAGGGGGTTGTTGCTGCAGCTCAGACTTGGCAGTTGGTGGCTTGGACTCGGTCAAGGTGATCTTCACTGGGCTGGCCGTCTGCGGGGTGCCACCCAGGTTTCGGTAGGAGCGGTAGTCTGACAGCTCTTCATCAGATGGCTCCTCCACGTAGGGGAAAGAGTGGGAGCCCAGTGCTGGACCTAGGTTTTCTTCTTCCTCTTCATCATCCTCATCTCTTCCTGGGTGTTTATCTAAATAGCTGCCCATTGAGTCACGACCAGTTGAGCCTTTGTCCAGCAGGCTGTGCAGAGCATCCTGGTGCTGGTCACGGCGCTCATCCCCATGGCTGATGTCCATGTAGTTGTAGGATTCTGTCTTATCTGAACCCAACAGAGATTTTGGCATGTCGTCAGCCAGGTTGGAAGTCATCTTGGTGTTTGAGCTAAAGCTATAGGAGTCGCTGGAGAAGTGGTCCATGGCAGAGGAGCCAGAGGAGGGCTTGGAGGGTTTCAGGTCATCCGACAGATAGGAGGCCTCTCGTCCCGACGTGAAGCTCTGATTTGACATCAGGGAAGTGTAGATATCACCATCATCATCATCATCATCATTCATAGGCTTCCTGAACAGGCAAGACGTGGGGTCATCTACAGAGAGAGAAGTGAAACTCAGTGAGGTTATACACACAAAAAAACGATAACGATGAATGACAGCACTCTCTATGTTGCACTGTGTCAATCAGCCTGTGCCTGAGCTGTGTGATTAATGAAAACATCCAGTTAAACAAGGCTATGCTTCTGCTGGCGCTACTGTCAGGGAAAGGGGCCGTGGCACTGTGAGAGCAGCACAGTCAGACTGGGTGCTCGGCTGTGAGGATCAGTGAGGCAGCAGTAACAGAGGGTACTTGTACCCGGTGCAGGACAAAGGGGGATTGTTCAGACCCCCCAAAAAACACAGTGCCACAACCAGAGTCTGTTCTAAATCATGCAGGCAAAGGGCTTTCTCTAGTCACATCTCGGCTCTATGATCACTAATCCAGCGCCTCTCCTGATAAATTAGAGTCATGAGAACGAACACACAAATACAATATGAACAACATATTGTATGTGCAAACTAGCATCTACCTCTCCAAAGCTTAAATGGCTTCAGCTAGGCTAGGCTATGCATAAAATATATCGATAAACACTTCACGCTCACTGCATCCTGGTATTCAACACATGCAAAGCTAAAATAACAATAACCACAGCGATTTTTAGTGTTACCAAGAGTAAGAATTCAAAACAGACAATAGTGTTGGTGTTAGCAGTGCCTTTATGTGTGCTCTGCTGTAAAATATCACTCAACATCTCATTGAATAGTTTGCTACAGGAAAACGTTAAGGATGCTCATGTTACATATGACTTGCAAAACAGGAAGAGGCGGACTTGAAAGAGATGTTATTTAAAATCGTCAGAAGTCAAGGTCAAGTCAAGTATTCAGATTTGTTGACTTAATGTCCAACTCGGCCAACAAACACACTGCCTCCTTTTCATACACAAATACACAAGCATAAACACAGTACCCACACACAAACACATACTATATGCTCATATTTTTGCTGTACTGTGTATAACTCAGTTTATACTTCCACAAACTGAGCTCCTCCTCCTGGTCTCGAGCCCTGCTACTCCCAGGGCAGAGGTGGTGCTATAAATAGGCTGGGTCCAACTGCTGGGCTGGATGAGGGGGGACAATTTAAAAAAGCAGCCTTAGGGTTAGCTCTGGAGGATGCGGACTGACAGAAGACCCAACAGGTCAGGACGTCCCGTCCCTCCCTTTGCTTCCTCTGAAAAGCCCCACCACCCTTCCCTTCTGCTGTCCTTCCTACTGCTGCTCCCTTAGTCATTAACAATACATCATACCGCAGTACAATGGCATAAACACTACACACCATGCTGGGACACAGCTGGAGGGGTTACGTGACATGGAGGAACAGCAAAGCAGGCCCAGACACTCTTGAGCTTCAGATTATTTTGCATTTAATAGACTCAAATGTCTTATCAACATCTGAACTGCCCGCAGATCCAAACAATATGCAACATAAATGGGCACAGCTGTTGAGCCAAGTTCATTTCGGTGACGTGAATGCCCTTGATGTACTGCTAAAGCCAACGTATAATCCTCTTAGTGTACTACCAATCGTATAGGTCCCATTAGCAATCACCCTGGCAACAACATCATAATCTAACACTCACTGATTCACTGTACAAATATATACTGTGCAGATGTGGGAAGCACTCAGGGCCACTACAAACTGGTGAGGAGAGGTGATCTCTGGAGCTGTGAGCTGCCAGTTATCCTGGTGACTGTGGGCAACACACACCCCCTCTCTCTACCAACCCATTCAACATAACAACACAGATAAACTCACCAGCAGTTGCATAAGGCAAGTGGCTGGATGCGTTTCTTTAAAAGCCATGAGGGCAGTCACTCTGAGCAGGTACTTGACAAAGTCAGGCTACTTGGTGTGTTAAGATTGAGGACATATTGAATCTGCTGATATGGCGTAGCAGCCAGACACCAGGGGGCAAAAAAACCCCACAAGGCTGAAGCAAATGCTTTGCTTCGCTTTCAGATGGGATTGGACGTGACAACAGAGGAATTCTCAGCTCACACTGCAGCCACACAACATAATCATGTCACTGAAAGGATGGTGCAGTTACATAAATAGGTCCTGGTGGATGTGCTGTGAAGGGGCAGTCCTTTTGTTGTCCCCCGTGCAGCCAGTGCAGCTCCGTAACTAAAGCAGCCTTACAATCTGTGCAATGCAAAAGCATGGGCTCTGTATTATCAGGCTACAGACAAAACTTGTGACCATAGACAATATCAAAAGACCCAGAGTTGCAAAATGAAAATATTACCACTTTGAAATTAAGGGTTTCCCAAGTTGCACGTGGAACTCACTGTGCAGCAGTGTTTATTCCCTTACTGATGGACTGCCATTATTCAATGTGGAATAAAATTGATAAAGAAATGTCATACAAGTTTCCTCACAAACAGCTATGTTTGCTATTCTCAAGAACAGATTGTTGTCTCAGTTCTTGCAGCCACGAATCAAGTGTAGACAGAAGCAATGCTGCTGGTTCCACAACCCACTACAACAACAGGCTCCACTGACTTTCGAAGGAACAATCCCTGTCGGTCTGTGATGTCCAAGCACACACCATCCCAGCAGGTATTCAGCTTCACTTTTAAACATCTGTTAATCTCTAGTGCACTGTAACAACTCCATTACTCCATCCGTGACCCTCTCGACTGTGGTGTTACCTTTCAGGAGCTCTCTTTCACTCCATGACCTTGTGGAAACCAATCCAACAAAGTGTGCTCCTCTTTCAAAGACATCTGTGTCTTTGACCTTAAATAATGTTCCGTAGCTTTATTATTTTAGGTATAAACTGCGCTTTGTTTAAGAAGATAAAAACAGAAATTGATTGTGTAAACATGGATGACGCGAGACTGGGTCGGCTGTGCACATATTATGAAACATTCAAATGAGTTACTTGGAGAAAGCCAGGGAGAAGAGAAAACACACTCTTTATCAGCGTAAAGTTAGGTTTGCCTGGTAGCATTTCTTTCTTGTGTTATTTGGTGAATATATTTTAAAATAGATTGTACTGGGTAGCAGGAAGAATGTATAGTGAAAGTGAGGCTTATAGGGAACCAATCTAAATGCAGATGGTGTCATTACTCTATAGCCATCACAGTGTGCAATCCACATTTACCTGTCTATTGCCACTTTAACTGAAGCGCCACTCTCACTCTTTAAAAGCTTTGGTTGTGACGTTTATGTTCATGTATCGATTGCAATATCCCTGGATGAACAAATACATGAATACTAGTCTCTAACTACTATCCCACTTCAATGTTAGTAAAGAAGAAGAAAACAGAGAGCACAATGACAGTCTATACTACGAGCTGAGGTACAACAAAACTACTTGCAGAGGTCGATAGGGGAACAGCTGTGCTGAGGGATTCAACTGCTCTGAGCTGCATTGATCCAAGACAATGAGGACATACAATTACTGTAAGAAACAGTGGATCCACCACTCAAGGCCACACAGGACAAATGTTGTTCCATCAGCCTTTGTCAAAGTCAAAAATCAATGTAGAGACAGTTTAAATAAAAGATAATCTGTCCCCATTCAGATTCTGAAGCCATGCTAACGTACCGTACCTGTCTTCCACTGTATTGATCAAATGCTTGCTTGGATGGAGCTTTATGTGTGAATAGAGAGGATGTGGGAGGATCCAGACTGGGTGTATGCGAGCTGTCTGCTTTGGGTCAAAGCTTTCAATTTGGTGTGATTTTGGATTGGCATTTCACTTTCATTTTGCAGACAGAATATAGCTTTAACGAGTACAGACGCAGGATGGAAGACAGGCCTGCGTAGGCTACAATAACCAACACAAAAAAAATAGATGGACTACTTATAAGTGTCTCTGCTGATATTAGCTCGAATCCCAAGATTAGTTTTGCAATACTCTGCTCAGGGATTACTCTATGCCCACAGGCAATGAAGCTGGACTGAGGCAGTAAGATTGTAAGCATAGCATCATATTTCACATGCTGGCTTTTAATTGTTTTCAGGGTAAACACAGGGGACCAAAGCACATCAGAACGTATGATTTATTAATATAATGACAGCAGTAATGCCTTGTTATTGTCCCCTACAGTGGAGCTTTTTGGGTTTGGTCTGTCGCGCTTTCATCTTTCCTTTTATCCCTCGGCATTAGCTAATTGGTCCTGGAGCCAAATTAATGAGACTGGAAACCTGACAGGTATGACGTAGGATGAGCACTTGGGCCCAAATCATTGTTGAAAGCAGACACATGACTATATATTGTACACGCTTTAAGTCTTATTTAATTATGTAAGATACTGAATTAAAACATATCTACGAAGGAGAAGACAGCTCTTTGCATTTCCAGATTTTCCCAGACAGTCCGGCCATTTGAACAACTATCGGGTTTCTCATCACAGCCTCGCCTCTCTTGCCATTAAGCTGCTCCCCCCTCCTCCACCACTGTATTATCTTGCATCTTTATCATCTAGTCTGAAAAGACCGAGCACTGCTTGGCCCCCTGGGAACAGGAGCAGCGCTCTCACCAGCTAAAGACACAAATGCACTGTGTTGGCTTATGCAGTTCGGTGGAGTTGACTAAGTGCTTTCTCTATCTGAAAGATATGGGAAAGACTCAGCCAGACATATGCTGTCTCATCCTTGTCTCTGATGATATGCTGAAACGGAGAAAGCCTCGAGTCTAATCCACCTATCAGGGACTGGATTGTGGGAGAACGTTTCTCATGACTGATGCACTTTGTCAGAACATGATAAAGTTATACCGTTACAGAGAGCTTTGTGGAAAAGGAAGTTGTCACTGTTTGTGTACAATATGCACTTAGTTGTTTTCTTCTATGCCAGAGAGCAGTGGAGGCTAGCAGACACACCATGTGGTGAAAAACAAACTTGACTGTGGGATTTTCACAGAACACTTCATGGTCACCGGTCATGATGCGGCAATATCTTCCACAACTTTCTTTCTCAAGCTTCTTGAAACCTTCATAGGATGGGAAACTTTGGAAGAGAAAAGAGGCTACACTGTTCTGTACTCTCTGTGATCCAAGGCTAAGGTTCTGTCCTGTGGTATTTGAATACTGCTGAAATCAGCATTATCGGCGTCCTGTGGGTAGATCACCGTTGTGAACAAGATTTAGAACAGGCATGGATCGATTACATAGCGAGGCAATTCTAGACATCTTGAAGAGATACTATTTCACAGTTGGTAGCCTACTGTTCAAAGGCCACAGTAAGACAGAATCTTTACATTTCCAAAATATGAAATATAATTTTGTGATTATCCACCAGCAAAGCAGAGAGGGAAAGTTTGTTTAAGAGGGGGTTGCTGGAAGTGAATGTGTTTGACAAAGATGTCATGTCTGGTCAAGAGGAAAATGTCCACTCTACCCTGCTAGATGTGATGAGATCTGCACTGTTCCCACCAAGAACATAAGTGACAGAGTAGATTACTTCACTATTATGGACACGCCTCAGTGGGAGTTATAGCAATGAGAGACAGACAGTCTTCCTCTCTTAGGAATCAAAACATCATCTGTGTGTGTGTGTGTGTTTGTGTGTGTGCACCTACACAAGTTTGAGCTTGTCTGGCACACTATTATGAAAGCAGAGCATGTCTTTTGTTTGTTTATTAGTAGAAAAGTTAGGCCAAACATCACTAGCCATTATTCATTTCACATATTTTACGCTCATTCTACTTAAAGACAATCATTTTTAGCTTTAGTAGGTTATGTAAATTTTGCAATGCCTTTTTTTTTCCATTTAACACTTTTAGCTTTGGATGTTAAAGTTGCCTCAATGCATTGTCCAATTATGCTCTTACTTAACGGATTTACAAAAAGGACTTGTTTTTTTCTTCTTTTTCTTGTTTTGAACCAGCTGCAGCCAGCTAAAAGAGAAAGGCCTGAACTGGGCGAGAGAGGGAGGAAACTAGGCGTCTTTTTAAAAAAAACATCATCTCATGAATTTTTCAGTGAATCCCTGAATGAAAGTGCAGGGTTCTAGTTTTGCTCACAGAGCAAATAGTGAGCGTTGCTACTTCGGGATTAAAAATAGCAGCATGAGCAGAGCTGTGATGAAGAGAGTGACGGACTTAGAACTGAGGTCTGCATGATGTTCCCACAAAAACACTGCCTCCAGCATCCAATAATATCACTATATCATCAACAACACTGAAACAGGCATGAAGGAATCCTGTCATCATGCAGGCTACTTAGCAGGACAAATAAAATATTTTGTTCAGGCTTTTACCCAGTCACTGCCTATGAAAGCTCGGGAGCTTAGGCCTGTTATCTATTTATTTTTCCCTCTACCCCACCATCTCAAGAATGCAGGTCTTTTGTCATAGATATAGGCCTACATGTGGGAGCTAGTAGATCAGTTTTGCCAGTGAACGCACATAAGCCATTCAAAGTTCAACAGGCTATTTGTTAATGCATGCTGCTTCCTATCTAAATTCTCCCTACAGACACAAATGTCATCAACTAAAGAACTGTGTAGACTACTGGGCAAAACACTGGAAAATATTTGATGTTTCATAACAATTACAGGCTAAAGCTCAAACCAGTTCAGTTTTTAAGATGTCTAATACCATTACCTTCAGCATCACTGATGTGACATCTGATTTAGCCTACTATCATCCTATGGAAGTTACTCGCATGCACCTTTGTTTCTGTGTTTTCAAGCCCAGAACTTTTAACTCGGCTGACAAACAGGCCGAATGTCGTAACCTGGTCGTAACGCTGAATCTTTGACTAACGGGACGCGCTTCTCTCGCTGTATTTACACCTGAATACCGATGAGGGTTGAAATCAAACGTACTGTGGATGAAATACTATTTATTGATAAACATAAAAGACTTAACTGTTCGGTTTACCTGTAGATGCAGTTCCCATAGCAACGGGAGGCCTTTTCCCATCGTCCTGGAAAGGATGAAATTGTTGATCCAGGTCGGCCGTCACCTCGCCGCCTTTCGGCTTAAAATCTTCACGTAGCTCGTCGAACTGGGTCGGTGTGTTCCCAAACAGGCCGTTCCTCTCATAGTCATCCCCAAACCACCTCCCCTCCGAGCCTAGCTCCTCACCGGGCTGAGCAGACATGCTTTTTCCCCCTGTTATCTGACTTGGTATACTAGCTACTATAGGCTTCTTCTTCTCTACCGTACACCGGGGGTTTGCTGGATGAGCGGTGGCAGCCCTTTGCGCTAGAATGGGTGACGGAGACAAACACAAAACAATGCAGCTCCTGGCCGGCGTCTGTCAACTGCGCCCGGGGTTTGTAGAAGCCACAGAGGAGGCGGTGCGGTCGGTCGGGGAGCGAGAGGAGAGGAGTGAGCTTTATTGTTTTAGTTCACTGCTCCAACGGTGACGTCATGGTGTCCGCGAGGATCGGGGTTGGCACTTTTATTTGGGGCAGAGTCAAACGTATGAAAGGCGTTTATATATGAAGTGTTTGACAGTGACCGAGAGAATGGCAGCACAATGATCCTTGGCGTGGTGAAACAGGTAGCCTGTAGCACACACAGTGACTCCACAGATAAGTCAGTGAAATTGGACGCATGGCCCACAGGGGAGCATAAAGATAGCGGCATTACAGGTCAATAAAACGAAATTAAAAACGACAAAAATAGCTAGAATTTCAAGTGTAATGTTTTATGAACGTGTGCCGATAAAATACAGCAACATTTCATGATACTGTGGTGTGAAAAAAGTATCTTGCAGTGTGGCGCCGTCATGTGGCAGCTCAAAATATCATTAGGACCGCAAAGGTTTCAACATGGCTCCTTAGCAACCAGACGCTCCTGATGCCAAACATTGCTGAAGTCAGATGGGTCACAGGGTTAGTGTTTGAGCTGATGCATTTCGACGTGGAAAGTAGTGTTAATACCGAGGTATTTATAACTGAGGTGAGCTAACAGTTCCAGTATCTGCACCTAACGTTAGCTAGCTGGTAGCATAACTTTAAGGGGAAGTTAGCGTCAGTGTGTATGCTTACTAACCTCAGTTATTTAGTTACTGTGCTTACACTATCTGGTAGACTAATTGCGGACCTTTTCTTTACTTTCCCAATAAATCATCAGTATAAAACAGAATGTGTGCATTTTAAGGGCACCTTATTTAACTATTTAACTTTAGCTTTAGTATATTTCACAGTTATGATACAGCGTGAGAAACAAAAGTGCCGTGGTGATGAGGAGGTGGTCAAAGAGCTGGTGAGTATATGAAATTCACATTCATTTGATCAAAATGATAGATGGTGTCTAGGTTAAAATCCAGTTTACTGCTTCCAACAATTGAATGCAATGTATAAGCTATATGGAGGCCTATTTCATTTAATTATCATTTTAATTTATCAATGTTCACTGCATAATAATTTGTCCTGACAAATAATGATTAGGCCTAGCTAAATGTAAGTTATTCTGTCACATTAGCTTTTTTTTCAACAGTGCATGGCCAATGGAGTGTCCTATGAAAAAATTGCACAAGAAGGAAGTAACATCAGCTGCCTGGAGATCTTCTTCTCTGGTTTTCCCCGTATGGTTGGGCTTTCCTTCTTCCCAAGGCTTTGCCAGATTACCATAGTGGGCCAGAACATAAAACACATTGAAGGATTGGAGGGCTGTCCTCTGCTTCGGGAGCTCTGGGTAGTCCAGTGCAATTTGACAGTAAGTTTGTTGTGCCGGTAATATCTCTGATCTAATTTCTAATCAATACTAGCCCTGCTGATAACAATAATATACTATGCCTTGAATCATTACAGTCCACTGTGTTTTATTTTGCAAGTGACTGCAACTGTTCTTAAACCTTACACACTGTAATCACAATTTTACCCTCTGTGTCATGTGATTACAGGAAATCATGCATAGTTTAAGCAAAACAGAATCCTGTATTAGTGAATTTTACAGCATATGTCATATACAGTATATATATAAACAATAATTTCTCCCACCTTCTCTTTTTTTGCAGGGAATATCTGGATTACAGAATTGTCTACAACTAGAGAAACTCTACCTTTATGATAATCAAATCTGTGAAATAAAGAATTTAGAATTGCAGATCAACCTAGAAGTCTTGTGGCTCAACAATAACTGCATAACTCAGATACAGGTTTGAATTGTAACTTGAATTAATGAATTAATCTATCTGTTTACATGTTTATTATAAAACATTATACAATATGTGTTAAACTGTGAATTTTATTTCAGAATTTCAATTGATTTTTCTTACCACAACTGCATATTTAGACAATTTATCATATCAGTAAATAAAATATGACTGTTCATGTTTTATCAAAGAAGCACACTCCCTTTTTTGATCAGTTGTTTTTGTTATGTGTGGTGGGATTTTTTCTAAAGGGCTTGAACACACTTCATAACCTCAAAGAGCTAAACCTTGCTGACAACAATATTGAAAAGATTGGTAGGTTTTTAGAATTATCTGTATTTTCTGTGTCTAGTTTGAGAGTTATTAGAAAAAAATAATAATCAAATAATTTTCAACTTCTTCTAAGGGCATTGCCTTGATCCTAATGTCAGCCTTCAGAGTCTTAATCTATCCGGGAACAAGATCAGCTCCTTTAAGGTAAGATTAAAAACATAAATATGCTTTTCAAATTCCTTCTGTAAAAAAGTTTTCCTACGCATTTTGTAAAATCTTGATTAAAATCCTTGGTCTGAAGAAAGGGCATTTCCAAATTCTTGTGAAATGTTGCGGTCTAGGCCAGTTCAGATTTTCAATCAATTCTACAATGGGCTGGCTGCATGAGACCTTCACTGAGGTATTGAGCAGCATAATTTCACTGTTTGTCCTTCTGGATTCAATGATATACAGTCATGATTACATCTATTTAAAAAATGATCTTAAAAGACTCCAAGAAGATGTTTTTATTAATATGTAGGTTTGTGTTAGTCAATTATGCATTTTCGACATAGCTGTTAAGCTAATTCAAAGCATTTGAGCTGAGTAAGAAACTGAGAAAGTTTTCTGGCTCCAGCTTTGATTGGTCACCTCAGATCATATTCCTGTCATCCACCTTTTTCAGCTTGGCTTTAAAGAATGCAACTATTGTCATTCAATGCACAAAGCGCCCTAGCATATTGAAACAAATGTGGAATCAAAGAAAAAGTCTTTGGTCCTTTGTCATTAAAATGTGACATTTCTTTCAGTGAGTATGTAGGGGGGGGGGAAGAAGAAGTTACAAAAGAAGTGTTTGATATTTAATGGAGTTTGTCTCATATTGACACTTCCTTTTCAGTGGGCAGTCAGTAAGACTTGCTGCAGAGGCTAGGCACAAATTTCATTTTTCTTTTCATCACCAAGTTGAAGTTGCCATAATACATCTGATTTGTATATATAATATAAGCTGTACTAGCTCTTTATAATTAGTGATAAGCAAAAATTACTGCAGCATCAATTTGAATTATGAAAAGAAATGTCTTGTCTCTCTAGTGGTTTTCAAATTGTTCTGGATTTCTGGAAATAGTGTTGTTTTTTGGGCACAACCTGAGCCTTAGTATTATAAGAAGCCCTATTAATGAACTAACCTGTGTGTTCTGTAACAGGAGTTGACCCTTCTTGAATGCATACCCCATCTGAGAGAACTAGCACTGAAAGACCCAACGTCAACGCCAAACCCAGTGTGTCTGCTGTGTAACTATGCTACACACGTTCTTTACCACATGCCAGGCCTCCAGCGACTTGACACCTATGACGTCTCAAGCAAGCAAGTCAAGGAAGCAGCTGAGGTATTGAGAAGGCCAGCAGGACCACTAATTAAGCTCACCTGAATTCTCTTGATTTACGTCCGTTGTTAATGATTTTGTTGAATTCCTAACTCATTAAATTTCCCATATCTCATACATATTTCTTCTGCATTTAGTTTTTCCAGTGCTTCAGTTGAGTTACAAATCATATTCATAATGAGTGAGAAATTTATTCCAAGACATGATTTCTTAATACATTACCTAAATTCAAAGTTCTAGATATCTTATGCATTGCATACGCACATTTCTTTTTTATTTAGCTTGACACATTTAAAATCTTTGGAAATCTTATTTAGGTATTTATTAACAAAAATGAGATTCTGTAGGTTTGAACTGTTCCTATCAAACATTTTTCCTTTTAGTCCACAGTAATGAAGAAAATGATGTACTACAACATGCGTGTACGTAGTGCTCAGAGGAACCTGGCAGAGATCCAGCTCAGTCTGATAGAGAGGAAGAAAACTATGCTACAGTTACCTGAAGAATGCATCAGAACTCTCAATCACACCTTCAAGAATGTATGTACAATCCTTGAAACATTTTTAAAAATATTTTAGCAGCTGTAAAACAAGAATACAATATAAATTGTTTAGCTGTAATCTCCAGCTGCAGGTTGCTGTTATTGTACACAGTTATGAGAGATGTTTTCATTTGCATGCATACCTAGCTTGAACGTGAGCTTTCCAAGGTGCCAGCTAGTTGTAAGAAGTCTTCCTGTACTTTGGACGATGGATCGACCCACCTGGTTGAAGGGTCAGCCGTCAGAAGAGACCCAACCGCTGACATCAGTCGTGATCTAGCCATGGAGCGCAAAATACTCAGCAAGATTGAAGCACTGAGGGAGAGGCTGGGGCTATGGATGAGGAGGCTGGATGAGTCTGTATTTTTGAAGATACAGAGATATTTTATAGTGCTTTATACAATTCAGTCTCATACTGTACAGTACATCTTTCTACATTCAAGCATCTGATTAAATAAACCAGTCCTAATGTGAAAAATGAATGTTCTTTCTTCTATATTCAGGATTGAAGCCTGGTATGAGTGTGATTTGGCCCAAGCCACAAACATGATGGAATATACTGTCCAGTTCCTGTTGATGGAGCTAGAAAGTGTTGGAAATATTCGTTTGGAAGAGGGTTTCTCCACAGACCCTTGGTGCGTACTTGGTATTATTAGTACAACTACAACCTTCATGAAATTTACAGCTACAGAGGACAAATCAAAAGCACACTTCCCTTAACTCATATTTTCTATGTTATGTACCCTACAGGTTTACTTCCTGTTGCGACCTCCTGCTTTCCAGATTCTCTCATTCAGACTTTAAGGTTTACAGTATTACTGGCATTAAGATCAATAGAGTTATTCGCATCCACAACAGGGCTTTGAGGCTTCGGTTTGAGGACAAACTTCACACCCTTCTAGCCAACGAAGAGTCTGGTGTCTGTTCACAGTAAGTTAAACTAAAGTGATATGAAAAGTGATAATAATCGTGTTTTTACCAATGATTTACAGACATTTTAACATTACTATTGTCATCATTGTAATAGTAGAAGGGTTGTTAATTTAGTTTGGAACTAATATAAACCTTTCAAGCAGGAATTACAGACGTCGGCTGGAGCACTTGTTCTACATAGCTGACTCTGAAAAAAACAGTGAGAAGGAAGACATTTTGTGCATCGTAGAGGAAGGCTTCAAAACAGCCCAACAATATAAGGTGTGTACACTGCTGATTTTGTTTGTTCCATAATTCCACCACCCCTCAACCATCAATCCCATCACCAAGAATTCCATTGAGCATTAAGAGAAAAAATTAAGCTAGTAAGTCACAGTTTAGTCACGTCACTACTTTATAACTGTATGTGTAAAATAATGAACAGCAATTGCAAGAATTTCTACAAATTGTGTTTGTTTATTAAGCAGAATGCTTTGTATAATAGAAGGAAGTAAACGTTCTGTTACTCTGAAATTGTAACTTGTTAGAAGTCTTAGTTGGGAATACTGTGGTCCTCCTTTTGTATACAGAAATAACTACACATGGGTGCTAACAGAACAGAATCTCATCATGTTGACTTTAACTATGGTGATTTTGAACTAGGCCTTGGACAGAGAGTGTGCTATACCTTTATCCAATAGCCTGAGTGTAACCGAACAGCCCAGAATAGAACATGCTCTGCGTCAGGCCAGCCAAGGCGAATCCAAGCACAGTAGAGATACGATACCCTTCAGGCATGGTGAGTTTTAAGAAAAAAACTCCCCTCAGCTGTGACTATTGTTTTTTTTCTTAATAGCTAAAATAAATTTTTTTTGCCTATAGGTCAGATTATTGTTTCCAAAGTATTCGTGGGCAACAGCATGCCTATCCGAGAGGGCGAACCAGTGGACAGAAGCATCTATCCCAGAGCCCACTCTGTGTATCGCAATGTGGACACTAAGCACAGAACTAAAATAAGTGAAGGTATGCAGTATATCAAGAGGCATGCAAACAATTATTTTTCAGTCAGTATTTATGCAATGTCATTGCATCTCTATGTGTTTTTCATTCAGAGAGACCCCGCTCCCCCAAAACTCACACTGGTCCCGAGTGCAGTTCCCTACGAAGACAGTGGTTTGTGTTTGACCATGAGCTTGTCCTGCCTGAGTACATCATATATTTTGAATACATCACTGGGGTAATTAATTCATTGGTTTTGTTATTTTATATCCCAGAACTCCACAGTCCATTTCTATAAAGCTTTAAATTTGGCACAAATCAAAGTAAATAAAAATTCAGCCAGTCATGCTGAGCTCTGATGCAATCAAAATTTAGTAGCATGGCTTTTAATCAATACTCAGATATGATAAAACATTTTGATTTTTGTGTCTCTTTTGTAGTTGCGCACTTGTTTTACAATTTAGTTTTATTTTACTTTATTTTAACACCCACTACAAGTCAGTAATTATATAACTACCAGCCAATTCTTTGCTTTAAACCTTTTGACATGTTGTTACTAGGGTCAAGAACATCCTGCATTGCTGGGCCAGAACACAGTCAAAGATGATACTCCCTCCAATGATATCAACCTGGACAAGGAAGTCCTCGATATGGAACCTGTGCTGAAACCACAGCCCAAGTTGTTGAGCCTGGATGACAAAATTCTGCTCAATGTGGCCAGAGCCAACATTCTCAGTCAGATTACTGTAAGTATTCTGGCTTTTCAAATGACAGCTTCATACACTTACAAAGAACTAGCTGCATTGTATTGAATCTGCAGGTGCTGAACCTTCATGGCAACAGTCTGAGTAAAATAAAGGAGATTTCCAGCCTCACAGCTCTGCGGCATCTTACTATCAGCTTCAATGAGTTCACACGCCTGGATGACCTTTCTCACATGGTAAAAGAGACAAAAATACAATAATTGAGCTTAAACTAAAAACTGCCTCTGTAGTATTGAATGAAATTCTGTAGTGGGGTGACACATAATATGGAGAGACTGAAACTGTATGGACCATATTATAAAGTGGAAACATTTAACATCTATTGTCTGTTAACAAAATCACAGCCCCACCTTGAGTTTTTGGATGCTAGCTATAACCGCCTAGTGACCCTAGAAGGGCTGAGGGGGTTGGGACAGCTCAAACAGCTCGATGTGCGCTGGAACAACTTGACCAAGGCCAGAGAGGATACGGCTGTGCTGAGAAAACACACACCTGCTCTGCTAAAGCTTGACACCCGATACAACCCCTGGAACAGGGTGTGTGCTGTTATCAAATAAAATCAAATAAGGTGCAGTACAAGTCACAATGTGGACGCATACAGTGAAGCTGTTTTCCTTTTTCCAGCCTGAAGCAGTCAAAATGACAATACTGGGTCGTCTAACAACCCTCACACACCTGGACGATATGATGGTAGCAGAAGAGGAGGCTGCTGATGCTGTTCAGATGGCTGCCAGATCCAAAATTAACCAGGTGAAGATCTTAAAGATACTGTTGCTTTGCTATATAGTCTGGATGAATGAATGCAGTGATCAGTAAATCTAAATTTGAATTAAAACAAAACAGTATGAAATAAATGGAACATCCCATTTAATTAATAAATCATTTTTGTTTGTGAGAACCAGTTTCAGTCCTCGGCCCATTTCATGTTTAATTATGAAAATTATAATTGGGATATTTACAGCATGTCATGTTTTCTTGGAGATGGATCAAGTTTGCATTTAAATGTAGATTTATTATGTAAAAATAAGTAGTAAGTCACTCCCACAAAGAACGCAGTACATTATGTGAACATCTACCTGTATATTTCAGGACATACTGTAATTAAATCAGACCCGTTGACACTCTTGCTTGTAGGCATCTCTTCTGGCTCACTCGCGTTATAACAGTGACCGTCCCCGCCGTCTCAGCCTGCTTTCAACAGCCCAGCTCCTATGTCTTCTCAGTCCTGCACAATGGGGCCTTAATCTAGAGCTTGACTGGACTGCAAAGGTGAGCTACATCCATGTGTGTTTCATCGTAAAGGAGTAATTTCTTTAAATGTTTTGTGAAGTGTTCGGAAGAGTGTAATTGTAATTTAAATTGTAATACATGTTTAAAGGTCATTTATACTTTTTTTAATACATTTGTCACCTTAAATTATGACTAGATCACCGCTCTGAACCTTGACAGCCAGAGGATTTCCAAACTGATCAATCTGAATAAGCTGGTCAACCTTCGCTGGGCCTCCTTTAATGATAATGACATTTCTAAAGTGGAGGGTCTTGACAGCTGTTTGAAACTGGAAGAACTTTCCCTCAACAACAACAGCATCAGCACACTCAGTGGTTAGTCACGCTGTCAGCTTGACAATGACGTTGGAAAATCAACATTAAGATCTATCAGAGACCTCATTGTTGCTGTGCCTGTCTTCAATCTCTGTTTCTCCAGGCCTACCAAAACTGCATTGCCTGAACAAACTGAGTGTAGATGGGAATCAGCTGTCTAGTCTGGATGCCTCAGTCCTCGATCAGCTGCCCAACCTGTCCTTTTTGTCTGTGGAGAAAAACTGTATCAGTTCCCTGCATGGCATCCAGAGAGTTCGCTCCCTTCTTGAGTTCTACATCGGCAATAACCACATTTCTACATCACAAGACATCTACTATCTGAAGGTCAGTGGGAGAGAAATTATAGTAGGTTTCAGATTTTGTTGTCTGAGCTTATATACTCCCCTTTGTTTTCAGGGATTGACAAACCTCATCATTCTGGATCTTTATGGGAATCCTTTATTGGAGAAACTGGAAAACTATCGGATTTATGTTGTGTTCCACCTCCCCTCCCTAAAAGCTCTGGATGGCATTGCAGTGGTATGTACCAACAACGGCAACCAGTCAAACTTTTCATATTATATTGATATTGTAGTGATGATTATATCCAGTGTTTTGTATTTGCTGTTGTTTTCTTTCTAGGAGGTAACTGAGTGTGAAAGTGCGAAAGATATGTTTGGAGGAAGACTAACCCCTGACATGGTGGCAGAGAAGCTGGGCCACTCAAACTACACAGACATCACCTATCTCACCATGCAGTCCTTGTCCATTAGGTAATAGCCTGGCTTTGCAGACAGATGAACACAATGAGCATGGTTATAGTGATTTACAATGCACAAAAATTAGGTGTTGAAAAACAAGCCTAATTGAAAGTGTGTTTTTTTCCGCCACAGGATGGTTGATCTGTCTCCAGCAGACCTGTTCTGTAGCCTACGCAGTGTCAACTTAGACCACAACAACCTCACTTCGTTCACGGGCCTCATCTATCTGCCCAACATAAAAGTACTAAGTACACTTAATTTTTAAAATCAACAGGCTGGCTTGAAATGCACCTCAGCCATTATTATTTCCTGTGACTTCTTTACAGGCTCTGTGTCTGAACTACAACCACATTGAGTCCATCCTGCCCAGACAGAAGACTCAGGCTCATCTGACAAACAGACAGATACTGTACAGCAAAGTTCACTCCAGTGGTTACGGCCAACAGACCCCATACAAAGGCAAAGGGTAGCTCTTATCTCAGTAATTGATTGTTTTTACATTTTACAATGTTAGACTGTTGCCAAGTGTCAAGTATGAACTTCAACTGAATGTTTAACCATTAGGGGGCAGCACTGACCAGCCAATGTATGAATTCTGTTGTGGTGTCTCTTGACACTTGTCACAGTTGTTTCCTATAAGCCCTTATAAAATCTAGTTGTAAACACAATTTCAAAATATTGTAATTTGGTTCAAAATAAGTTATTAATATTAGTAACTTTAAAAGATATTAATATTAAGTCATTTTATTTTATTTTCTAGATATATTATCACTAAATAAACTGAATATTGAAATATTGGTCTATCTATAAGTTTCCGCATTGTCAGTATATTGTGAGAACAATGATATAATCTTCCAATCATATCTTCCTTTTATAGAAACCAGTGCTGGGAAAACCATGCTTTTGTTTACCCTGACTGATGTGAGGTCTGATCAGTTAAATGAGGCAGTGCATGGGAGAAAGATATGCTTATTTAAGTACAGAGGTTTCAAACTGTCAATCTGTGACTGTGTGTTTAAGGGAAACTGGGCCCACTGGCAGTCTGGAGCCACTGATGGGCAGCCTGGAGGTGCTGCATTTGAGTCACAATGGCATCTCCAATATGGCCAATCTGCAGCTCAGCAGGCTCACCAATCTTAAAGCACTCTTCCTTCAAGGTATGTATGGTTGACACACAACTGCTCCTTCACAAAGCCTATTAAATGTGCAGTGTATAGAGCCTGTGAAAAGGCAAGCACTGAGAGCAAAGTCTCCCAGAGACCTTAGGCCAGGTGGGAGATGAGACTTGAAGAAAAGAACGGCTGACTTTCTTTTCAACAGCTTTTGATGGCTTTTGATTGAGTTTTGCTTTGTCAGGGTGATTTGTCCCACAAAGCCAACCTTACTTGTCCTTTCTTCCTTTTTGCTTAGAAACCTTTCGAAGCTTTCTCTGTAATTTCAGTGTCTTTTACAACAGGGCCAAACAACAAATACCTGGCAAATGTTTTTATATATTTTATATTGTGCAATTTACTATCTTATTTTGTTTATAGAAATATTAGACTTTTGTTTGATATATATTTCCATTGTTTTGATAAGGTTTTTTTTTTATCCCTAGGTAATGATATCAGCCTGGTGGAAGGACTGGAGGGGCTTCACCAGCTCAGAGAGCTTGTGCTAGACAGGAACCGGATCAAAGCTCTGGCCGAAAACTCTTTCATAGCCCAGAAGGTCCTGCTAGAACTGCACCTAGCAGAGAACCGGATCCGGGAGCTCAACCATCTAGATCCTTTGACTGAACTCCACAAGCTCTTTCTTGGCATGAACAAGCTGCAGGTATTGTCCTCCAGCAGCACTAGTCTCCTCACATGATGGATTATATTAATGTTTATATTCAGATTTTTAATAAAACTGCATATTCAGAGTTTCAATTAAACTGCATTAATGTTTCACACCACAGTGATTTCCTGAGGTGACTGCCAAGGTCACAGTAAGCTTTTGTGCAGTTTTTGATTTACCTCCAAATTTTACTGATTGGTTCATATGCAAAATGTGTCAGATGTTTAAGAATGTATTTTATTCAGTGTGCAGCAGTATTATTTTTCCCTGCATTTGCAAAGTAAGACATGAAGTATAGTAATCATGAGTCATTAGCACCCCGCTGTGGCATGCGAGGGGTAGCATTAAGGAGAATCAAGTTTGATTGAAGGTCAGGGCCGTGTGTATAAAGAAAGAGGTGAACAATCAGGACAACGTGTAATCAGCTTCTCAGTCTGCATCTCCTTCTCACCCATGGCGAGTGATTTGCACTTTTGTTGCCAGTTCCTTCTTCCCTTCACTTCCTTAATGTTTTCATGCATTCAATTAAGACATAAAGTACAGCAATCATCCCAGAACAACAGTTGTCACTGTGGGGGTGTCTTTGAATCACAGCCAAGTGCAACCATAAACCTGGGAACGACAGAAAACACCCTCATTCCCTGTTGCGTGCCCAAACTCTCTCATGAGATTAATGAGAGCTCACACATGTAATCTCTCCCATCAGCTGCTTTCATCTTCCCTACACCAAAATTATGAAAGGTTCAGTCATGATGTCATGCGTATGTCTCCATTATCAACACACAGCAGGCTACAACCAGTGGGAAAGAAAAGTTAAATGTCGGGGGGGTGAATGAAAAAGAATTTAAGGTAATCTTTGTTTCTTTACTTTTTGTAGGACATCGCAGAGCTTGACAAACTAGAAGTTCTTCCTTCGCTGACAGAGCTTTCTGTTGTTGGCAATCCTGTGAGTGTTATAAGTATTATGTTGTGTAACGTTGCATTGAAAACAATGAGTTTGTTTTGCTATATCACAGGACACTCGCAAATGATCAAAAGCATGCTCACAGGCTTAATTTCTCACCTGCACAATCCAAAACACCATCCCAGTGTAACTGTGGTTCCAAATTAAGTGATTACATGATGGGCCATCTGCTGTCCCTTAAACTGGCCGGCATCAGAGACAAATCCGTTGACCAAATGGCAGGGCGCTATTGGCCCGGTTGCATCACCCATCTGGAGCTCATGGATCAGGCCTGAGCAGAGCCTGCAGCCCAGGGCCTCCCAATGCTCAGCTGTGGTAGCCTCTGTAGTGCTCGACCCCATCCCCCTTCTCTTCCCATAGGAGAGGTTAATCTTGCCAGGGGGGTAGAGGCCAACAGCCACCCTGGAGACAATACCTCCTGCTGTTGACAGCATGAGATCACTACATCACCCATGTTCCCTAGCTAAAGTCTGTCTCCTCCTCTCCACTGGACATCCATTGGCATTCACTCACAACTTAATCACAGCAGCAGTGTCCTATAGGAACATCAAGTTCTGTGAGTGGACAGGCTGAATTTGTATCCTATCCAGAGGGTGCCCTCAGCTGGGCACCAAGCTATCGGCTGCTGTCAGCTGGGTCACTGGAATAGCTGTTAACTACGTTGGGACCCACATAGCATCATATTTATCCCAGATGTCTCAAGGCAGGCTTCACTGAGGCTCCACAGTTAAAATAGCTGGATGCTAGTTAGGGTCAGGATATTTTATCACCGGGTTGTTTTTTATCAGTTGTTTTTTTTTTCTTCCAGGTGGCCAGACATTCTCTCCACAGACCAGCAGTAGTGCTTCGTCTGTCCCGGCTGCAGGTCCTGGATGGAGTGATGGTCACCCTTGAAGAAAGGACCAGGGCTGAACTCCTCAGTGCTGATCCCTCAGTGAGAAGTGCACACAACACATTCACTCAGAAATCGTCACTGCCATTGAGTCATGTCAGGCTGAAAATGTCTGCATTTAAAACGTGGATAATTTAAAATGTGATTTAAGTATTTTTAGACATAATAATGTTTCGACTAGTTTAAGGGCAACAAAATAATAATAAATCATGGCGTCAGCATTTATCCACCATTCTTTTCTTCCTGGCAGTGTAGAGAAGGCTTTTAAACACCATTTAGACACTTCAGGTTGGGACACAAAATTGTGCTGAGGAGAGCGCTGGGGAGGGACAAATAACCTCAATTTCTCTAGTGTCCTGGCTACAGCCTTGCATAAATTTAGTACATATAAAAAATTAAGATACTTATAACACATTTGTTAGGAAAAAGGTTAGTTTGCAAGAAAGGGATCTTTCATTCCCACGCTCGCTTACTCTACTTCAGTATTTCAGTATGAAACTGTCAACATTGTCAACAACAATTTAACAAAAATCTTGTGTGTGTAAAAGTTCATAATGGATTTTATTGTGTTAAGATGAAGTCCAACTGAAAGAAACTAAATAACAACAACCAAACTGTAGCCACCAAAAAAAGTGAAAAGCCTGGATCAAACTCTTTCAGTCTGACTGATTTGATGTTCACGTAATGAGAGAGCAGGGCAGTAATTCTCCTGTAGCTCTGAATTAAAAGCAGCCTAAGCCTGCTGGCATCATCCTGCTGATTAGATGAAATGTGCCCGGCCGATAATGCACCAGTGGATTTACTCCCTATTAGCCAGGTCAACACGACCCCCTCTGCTTATTAATCGTAGATGTGGAAATTGCAGAGCAGAGATCCTGGGTTTTCTCATTAAAAACACAAACACAAACCTCCCCCTATCTGCCATCTCAGTTGTCACTCTCAATTTATGCCTGTGCCTACTTTTGTTTGAATTTAAACATGTTATTGATGAGAAGTAATTACTATTCCCCTATAAGATGCTTATGTATGTGGAACAACAGGCAATTTAATCACCAATCCTCTGCCAAGTGTGTGGGTGGAGTAGATACACTGCAGTGACAGTAGCAGCCATAAGAATGTAGAGAAAAAAGTAACAGTAACAGGGTTAGGATGCGTATGTCCGTGAGGTCAGACATTAAGTTGGCCCTGGAGGCACTGAAGGGATCGTTTTTACACATTATCTGAATATCTGCTTATGTTTTTCAAACTAATCCTGTCCTGAAGTATTACTTCTACCTTCCTCATGTTCCCTATTTATTATTTCTCATAAAGCCATGCTCCCAATGCCCTGGAGCTTCTTTTCCTACCACTGAAATAAACATACCTGGACTGCTACCCCTCATGCCTCGAAACAACCCTCTAAGAGGAATGAGTATAAGTGGAGGACTGCAGAACTTTATCCATGGGCACGATATCCTGCAGGGTAACATGGATGAGGTCCAATCTCATTACACATACAAGCGTAAGTGTGACATTTCTCCTCTCAAAAATCATTAAATTTGATAAATGTGATGTGCATAACAAGAAGTTTTGGATTGACACGAACAATCTTTTCTTCGAGTTCTAATACCCTAATAACGAATACTTTTTTCATATAACAATGTACCAGAAGACTGTTGGGTATTATGATGTCTAATGGTTCGACACTCGTATACTTATTCCTGCTCTCAAACCCACATCTTTGTATTAATTCCCAATTCAGAAAAGAAGCCCAAACACGGTAATGGTTCTCGAGGCGGCCAAACTGACATTACATTTAGACACATTCGTAGAACAGGAAGCAACCTGGGAACCACAGGTCTCCTTCCTGATGGGAACAGAGTCATCGTCATAAATCCCAACCAGGAGCAAGACAGCAGGTTGGTAAATTCAAAATTCAAGACATGTAATTGCCTTTAAAATGTGAGCGATCTGATATTATTATGAATACACTTTGACTATTTCCTCATACTTATATTCCAGGTTTCCAAATGGTGGCAAACCCCCACCCATGTAGCAGCCAGAAGAGGTGGAGCATACACTGATACTGGTGAATCAATACAAGATCCAGAGGTGAACACATGCGACAACCATGACTGTGGTGTGGTCATACATCATAGTACTTTAGGACATATTTTGAAAGTGTTTTTTGTAAGTGGGCCTTGATGTATATGGGCGTCTGTATACGTCTGTAAATTTAGATTTTTGACATAGCAAGAAATAACTTTCTGTTGCTGTTTACATATCAATAAATCAACTTTGCATCTCTTTGAATTTTAGTGTAAACTAAAACATGTTTGGGGGTTAAAGAAAATTAGGCTACTTGAAGGTTGTATGTAGTGTGTCCCTTTCAAATGCATTTATAATGACTGTGACCTTATTTTCTATCCACATATGTGGATCACTAACCATGGTAATCTGAGGATGAGAGGTTTTGGTGTCATTTCTACTGCTATCCCATCCTTGGCCTCAAACAAGTGAAAAAACACCCACAGATGTAATGGCGTGTGAGGGTGGCATGCTGTGTCTATTGGGTCAAATGCATCCCCAACAAGTGGATAATCCAGCTTTAGCACACCTCTCTGTGGACAATAATCTGCAGTCACTCAGATAAAGATGTAATCTTGAATGAGGTCCAAATGGATTTCAGAGATTGTCAGTTTCATCACGTTAGCCTCTTTTCAAAAACCCCACTGCAGTTTCAACTAATAGGCAAATCTTGTGTGTTGTAACTGAAAATGAACCTACTCCACTTGATATTTGTGATGTTAGTTCTGCTGAACATGAAATTATAATCCTTCCTGTCTTCCTGGCAGTTTAGTCTAGTAGTCCTGCGGTTAACAAAAACACCAGTGTGAGCCTCAAATGTGGAGGGTACAGCCTGTAGTATGTGATCTAAACCCTTTTTTATTCTGGCATCTCTAAACTGATTATTGTGAGATGAAAACCTACATGTGAAAAGATTTAAATATGACACATATTCCTATCCATCATCCTAGGCTTAAATAGCTAGAAAGAAAGTCATTTTCACTGTCATTGTGCATACTGTTATCTATCTCAACAACTTGTCGTAAAGTAAATTATTGTTTTATTTAACTTGATACCTGTAGTGTTCATAATACGTACTTCTTAAAAAGACACAACATAAACAATTAAGTTGGGACAGTTCTGGGAAATATATTTCTAAATTGTAAACAGCAGCAAAAGCAGAGAGTTTATTTTTGACCGGGAACACGCATTCCAAAGGACATCACTCTGAATCCATTGAAGCCAGAAGCAGCAACATTTTCTTTCGTAATGTCCACCAACCTGAACTATGAACTTTGCGGATCAGTGGTGTGAATGTGACCACTAGGTGTCCTTAGAGCTCCATTAGCTCTCCAACACTGCTAATCAGTCCTCAATGAATTTACCACCTGCCCTGTAGGTAGCAATTTACCAGTTGAGGCGGATATGTGTGTGTCTGCGGTCATTTTGTATTTCCTGCCAGTGTAGCCTTTTTTGAACACGTGAGGCAACAGCCAGCTTGAGGCAGCAAAAGTGAAAAGCTCTCCCCAAACAAGCTCCTCTAATGCATGTACTTAACTTCACTTAATTTGTGTTAATTCCCAGCATTAAGCGGGGCTAATGACTGTGCAAGTGAGTGCACTGTCATTACCTTGCTCTGCCTGACAACGAATGGCAGCTGATGAACTCACATAAAAAAACCACTCTAATGCACAGATTTGGGGGCTCAGTGAGAGCTCTCTAATGCATTAGGTATTGCAAAGGATAATTACACTTTTTATATTTGTGTACGTTATCTGCAGTATGGATGTGCTAGAAGTATAACTGTCTTTATTGCATTTGTTTTCCTGTGTGTAGTGTAAACTTCTTGTTAGCATACTACTTCATACAGTATCTATCTCTTTGCATATCTGTCAGTATTTTTCACATTAAAATGAAATCAGCATAAAGACTGTGAATAATTCATCAGTTCTGAGTGAACCCAGATGCACTGCTCGTTCTGTCTTTCTCTCTCCGTCTCTTCGCTACTTCATGTGAGTAGACCACATGGTCCGTAGCTGGTTTAATGGGATGGAATGTGACAGGTTATGTTTTCATCTGCCTGATATGGAGCCCGGCTCAGGCGGGAGGGAACGAGGGGTTGAAAGAGAGACCGAGAGGGTGGAGAGGGGGGAAAATGAGTTGGTCTCTACAGTTGCAGTCTGGATTCATAATTAGACATGTTTGTGCTTGTTGTGAATCAGTTATAGATGATGCTCTTTCCCCCATCCCCACCAACACACACACATGCACACACACACACACACAGAAAAACACATGCTCTGTATGGGGCCATTACTGCTGGTCCACTAACTCCCTACATTTGCTGTGTGTGTGCATTCAGAGCGCCATTAGTCCAAGACTCTGTGAATAATTGCTGAATAGACCATGTTTTCACTGCTATCTACTCAGGTTCTAGTGTCGGTTGATGTTGTGGGTCAAATGAGAGGGATGAGGACATTGATTGATGTATGATGCCAAAGACAACTCTTGTGCAATACTTATCAACACATTATGTGCAGTATGTGTAATGGGTGAACAGCATTAATCTCTACATGCATTACACATTTACCAGCTCGTATTAAGTTTAGAAGTGCTTTGGTAGAGGTTACAATTACATCAAAATCATCACTTGACATGGAATTGCTGTTGTAAAAATGAAATGTTCTCTCCACATTTGGCTGCTGATGGCAACCAACTGCAGGTCATCATCAAAATATAAATTATTTTGTTTTCTAAAGGTACATATTTAGTCCCGAGTTCATTTTCCATCCCTGTGAATCCTGTATTCTAAAACAATCTTGCCATATTGCCTCTCTTGAAATCTGTCAAGTGAGTTATTGTTGTCGTTTGTCATTTTCCTGTAATTTGTTTCCTGTGAGGCTCCCTAGAATAAAGAGTGAATGAAGAAAGTGATTGGGAAAATACAGATAAAAGAATGTAGTGAGAGTGACAATTAGAATGAAAGGAAAATGCTTTTATTTTGTGTAGACATTTTGGAAGAGTGCACGCCTCACATTAAATCTTAACTGCTATTCATTGCTGGACTTGCATGTGATTTATCACATTATTCCTATCGCACAAAGCATGTTGCGTGGTTAAAATGCCAAAATCAAGGTAACAATATCCAAACAACAGATAAATACCCAATTTTCTTGTAAATTTAATGGGAATCAATTTTCAGAGCACCTTCAGATAGTCTGCTTTTTTGTTTGATGATATGTGCATTTGTGTTTCTCCTTTAATGACTGTCAAATCTTAATTCAAGTTGATATTCTTCATCAGGAACCTATAACAAAAACGAAGCAATGAAGGGAGTATTACAGGGTGCAACACATGTTGTCGAGAGTGACGGGCTTTTCTGTTGTTATGGTTTATTGTGTCCTACACAGAGCAGAAATTGCTTTTTCAAGATGACAAGGAAACACAACCTCCTGCCCACCCATATCCCCAGTGAAGAATAACAACAACAATTTAATCTCCTTGGCTCCAGATTATTATTGTTCTTTGTGTTTATATTGTGGCCTTTTTAGTTGATCACTTCATGATCCTCCTTTTTGCCCTCCTTTTCTCTAAGTAAATCAACATTTTGGAGAGGCAGACACTTGACCACAATCACTTTCATTATATTGAAATAATAAAATACTTGTAGGATTTGCTCTTTTGGTATTAAGAACACGATAACAAGGATTTAGAATGTAATATTAATATTTCTAATCCTATGTCAGTTTATGGGGTCAACTAAACTCATTAGATTTGGGATTTAAAGATACTGGCAAGAAAGAGGTTGAAAATTTATTCAGGTTATGGAGGATAAACAACCCATTGGGATGTGTCTTTTGATGTAATTATAATTGCAAAGAGGGATGGTCTTTTCATTGATCAGTGAAAAGCATGTTGGAGTGGTAAATCCTTTGTTATTTATTGAGGGCAGGCATTTACATTTTTCTGTTGACTCTGTAGTAATGTAGTTTTGTTAAGTTTTCATACAGTTTCTAATGATGTGAGTCCCACTCATACAAAAACTGACAATACAGTCTCAGGATGTAGGCCTACATGGGGCTGACAGAACTGGTTTATATGTCTATAAAATATCAAATATTGTGAGGGGAGGTGGCTCAAAAATACGCTGGATGTTCACAACACCTCATGCTTCATGTTGGTTTAAACCAGCAACAGTGAACACAAAAGCTGTGCGCGTCGCTCCTGAGCGCGTGCCAAAGTTTTTGGCCTCTTTCCGCGCGCCATGCGCAGTTGGGTCACTCACAGGTCTGTAGGCCTACTACACAGGTGAAGCAGTCTGTCTAAATCGCAGCATCATAACATATGCACATGTTGAATATAAACCAGTGTGTTACTGCCGCTGTTGTCGTCGTTTTTACAAAACGTCTATGAAGATTCTCAGTCATCCAGGTCATAGTTATCCAACGAAGGTTAAAATCAAGGGCAACTGGACTTGGTTGAAGATACTGGAAGACGTTTCGTCCCTCATCCAAAGGACTTCTTCAGTTCTGACTGACTGGCAGGGAAACTCAGCTATTTAACCTCAGTGGGGTCGTTATCCCGGGTCATCGATACCGCTGGTTCGTTAGTGTTCCTTGTTGCTGTGACGACAGTCGTTACAGTCTTTAAGACTACCTGTGGCCAAGACTGAACGACCATCGTTGGTATCTTCACCTGAGGTCAATAGGTTACGTTTGTTGAGTTTCCTGGGAAGTGATGAAAGGACAGCATTGTAAGTGGGGGATAAGTGGTGGCGTAGACCCCCTCCCCTGTTCAATGACGGCTTCTCAACCCTGGTGTAGATGGCTTCCTTGACACCTCTTTCAAACCATCCATCTTCTCTGTCTAAAATGTGCACCTGGTGGTCCTCAAACGAGTGTCCTCTGTCCTTCAGATGTAAGTAGACTGCAGAGTCTTGACCTGAGGAGTTGGCCCTTCTGTGTTGAGCCATGCGTTTGTGTAGTGGTTGTTTTAGTCTCCCCAATATACAGGTCTGTGCATTCCTCACTGCATTGGACCGCATACACTAGATTGCTTTTCTTGTGTTTGGGTGTGCGGTCTTTGGGGTGTACCAGCATCTGTCTTAGTGTGTTCTTGGGTTTAAAAAACACAGGGATGTTATGTTTGTTGAAAATCCTCCTGAGTTTTTCTGATACTCCAGACACGTATGGAATCACAATGTTGTTGCGTTTGACCTTCTTTTCCTCCTCCCCTGTAGTTTTGTTCTTCTTGGATCTTGTGGCTGTCTTCACAAAGGTCCATTTAGGGTATCCACAGGCTGTAAGTGTCCCCTTCAGGTGGTTCTGTTCCTTCTCTCTGGCTTGGGCGCTTGTTGGTATGTTTTCCGCTCTGTGGTGCAGTGTTCTCATGACCCCTAGCTTGTGCTCCAGTGGGTGGTGTGAATCGAAGAGTAGGTATTGGTCTGTGTGTGTGGGTTTTCTGTACACCAATTTGCAGGCTCCTGTCCTCTTCAATGTGTACAGCGCAGTCCAGGAAGGCCAAACTGTTGTTGTGAACATCTTCTCGTGTGAACTTGATGTTACTGTCCACAGAGTTGATGTGTTCTGTGAAGGCTTGCACTTCCTGGCTTTTAATTTTGACCCAGGTGTCGTCCACATATCTGTACCAGTGGCTCGGTGCTATTCCTCTGAAGGAGTTGAGGGCTTTATTCTCCACTTCTTCCATGTAGATGTTTTTACAAAACATACTCTTCACATTATGCAAACTGTATGTCAGGTGTGCGCATTTGATTTGGATACAAATTGAAGCTTGTACAGTCTCCCAGATCAGCAACATTGACCTTATAATCATTTTAATGTAGCCTATTGATGATAGCTGTTCATTTCGTTAAGCTTTTGCAAATAATTATATACATAAAAATATGTAGAAAGCCTATATTTTGTTTTTGTTTGGGTTTCACCAACCCACCACAATTTCTGAGAGATTTCGCACTTGTAACATATCTAACATGGGTTTGTGTTGTTCTCTTTTGTATTAATAATGGTGAGTGTGTGTGTGCGCGCGCGTGTGTGTGCGTGTGCGTGCGCAGTGTTTGAAGGGGCGAGGTGGGTAGTGTTGGGGCGGGATATGTACGTTTCAAGCCAATCAGTGGACGCGCTCTCCTCTTGTCTTGACTCCTATTGGTTACAATCTGTCTGTGTATCATGCCGAGGTTGCTTGGCTTTCAAGCTGTTAGCTTGCAGCTAATATTAATGCTGGCTATTTGCTTTTTGCGGCTGTTTCACCATAATACAACCTACATTGTCAAATACTACACAAGGCGTATCTGCACTCGGCTTTTCTTCTGTTAACGGTAAGTTTGTCTTACACCAGTGACAGCGCAGGTTGCCAACCTGCTGTTATTTACCTGTAATAGCAAGCTAACGTTAAGTTAGTCAAGCTGAAAAGACTTGCTGGCATCGCTAGCTAACAATAATATAGCTAGCTAAGGGAAAGAGACAAGAACAGTTTCAGAGAGGTCCAGTAAAGAATTTACGTTTCGCTAAGTACCTGGTTTGATTACATTAGGTGTGACATGAAATGTCCGGTTAGCAGCTTGAACAGGTTAGCCCGCGTTAGCTCATCCACAAGCTACTGCTGTTGTGTTTTCATGGCAACTCAGCTGTTGCTCATGTCTTGTATCTCATTTTGCCGTAGTACGAAAATTCGTGACTCTGTTATTAACACGTCCCATTTTAATAGAGACTCGTTTTATAAGGTGCTAACGACAATTTCAAAATAGTTAACTCACTGAGAGTTTCAGGGATGCGCTGACAACGTTATGTATCACATTGTTGAAGAGCTTAGGAGATGCCAAAGGAGTTAGGCTTTTCCAGACATGTCTGGAAGTGTCTGTAGTAGCCAAGTTGATTTAAAAAATATAATTTGTTTTATTTAGGAGTAAAATTAGATTAACAATACAATTTTAGATATAGGAAGAGTTGCTCATTAAATTGAACCCCAAATTGCAGTGGTCCAAGTATTCTGTTTATAGTATGACAGCTGTAAGAAAAATTATATTCTCCTGTGTTTGAAGAGTTCTTAGGAATTCCAAAGTTATCAAAATGCAGGCAGCAAATATATATTGCTGACTGTATATTGCAGTTCAAAACTTGTATTATTCACTACTGATTTAACTCCAATTTGTGTATTGTTACAACACGAGAGGCACAGACAGGGGCTACAACAATGAGAATGACGTACTGTATGAGTGCATCTCGAGTTTGTTTGGTAATAATTATTCCTCCATTACAGATAGCTTTGTTGTGTATGGGATGATGAATGGACACCCTCCTTCAGCTGTGTGGAGATGACCTGCCACCCCTTTGGGAATGGTCAGAATGGGGCCAGATGTGCCCCTTCTTAATGAGTACAAGCAGGAGTTCTTCTGGAAGCGTTTCCCACAGACAGTGTTGGGGGGTCCACGCTTCAAGTTGGGCTACTGTGCCCCACCATATGTGTATGTCAATCAGGCAGTCTTGTTCTTGACACCATGGCTTTTTGGGGGCATTGGTACTCTACTCTGCCAGCTGCAGCTGCTTCAGGAGCTCCACGCCACAGTGCTGTCTGGTATGCTGATGTTCGGGGCTGCAGTGGGTGTCCAGGCCCTGGCATTGTATGCTGCTCGAAGGAGTGGAACAGTGGAGAGACTTGGTGCACCCAACATCCTGGTTGATGAAGAGGAAGTGGAATTCACCCAGTGTGTCAGCCCAGAGACAGTCCGATTTATTGCCCCTGGAAAGAGGTTTGGGCTGAATGTGGTGCTGCATACAGTGCTAGCTGGAGTGCTCTGTGGCTTTGGGACATGGTATGTATTCCTTGGCAGACTGACTGCTCTCTACGGCAACATTGGTGTATCCCTGGTCGTCTTTGTGCTGAGTTGGGTGACACTGTGTATAGCTGAGTATTCCCTCATTGTGAATACCGCCACAGAGACGGCCACTTTCCATGCACAGGATACTTATGAGATCACCCCACTCACCCGGCCCCTCTACATTTTTATTTTCATTGCTGTGGACTTGGCTGTTAGGTGAGCATCACCACTGTCTGATTAATTGAGAAATCCTCTTATAGAATGCTACTGTATTTTACAATGCTTGCTGCCATAATAAATCTCAATGTCTTACTCCGGTTTAGGTTCTCAGGCCCAGTCCCTGATCTCCAACTGGCCAGCCAGGTTCTCCATGTGCTGTTCCTCTTCCTACCTCTGTTGTGGGCGCTAGGTATACTGCCTCCCTTGGATGCCCTGCTCCTCTGGGGCATGGAGCAGGTGCTCGTGTTTGGCTTAGGAGGCTCGCCCATGTCCAGCAACCTCAGGTACATATTTAAAGGACATGCTTGGTGTCAATCAAAGGTTTTACACTGATATTTACAAATGTTAATTTTTGATGTCTAGATGTCATAAACTACATAAACAACCACAACATCTTTGTAAATTACACTGGTGGACCAGTCTATGCCTTGAGATTTGAATTTGTATTACTATTACAATTTTAACACTCGATCACATTTACTAATTTATAAAATGAATTTATGGGGATCATTTCACCACAAATTTGAGCTCTGATTTCCAACATAGTATTTTATTAATATATACCTTGTTTCCATGCACATAATTAAAAATGCGTCCAAACTACATATAAATCCAATTGTAATGTGAGTCACTTGGAAATCAAGTTTTAAAGCAGTAGCATTGACAGCAGTTTTTGTTCATTCACATCCTCGTGAATATACACTCACCTAAAGGATTATTAGGAACACCTGTTCAATTTCTCATTAATGCAATTATCTAATCAACCAATCACATGGCAGTTGCTTCAATGCATTTAGGGGTGTGGTCCTGGTCAAGACAATCTCCTGAACTCCAAACTAAATGTCAGAATGGGAAAGAAAGGTGATTTAAGCAATTTTGAGCGTGGCATGGTTGTTGGTGCCAGACGGGCCGTCTGAGTATTTCACAATCTGCTCAGTTACTGGGATTTTCACGCACAACCATTTCTAGGGTTTACAAAGAATGGTGTGAAAAGGCAAAAACATCCAGTATGCGGCAGTCCTGTGGGCGAAAATGCCTTGTTGATGCTAGAGGTCAGAGGAGAATGGGCCGACTGATTCAAGCTGATAGAAGAGCAACTTTGACTGAAATAACCGCTCGTTACAACCGAGGTATGCAGCAAAGCATTTGTGAAGCCACAACACGCACAACCTTGAGGCGGATGGGCTACAACAGCAGAAGACCCCACCGGGTACCACTCATCTCCACTACAAATAGGAAAAAGAGGCTACAATTTGCAAGAGCTCAACAAAATTGGACAGTTGAAGACTGGAAAAATGTTGCCTGGTCTGATGAGTCTCGATTTCCGTTGAGACATTCAGATGGTAGAGTCAGAATTTGGCGTAAACAGAATGAGAACATGGATCCATCATGCCTTGTTACCACTGTGCAGGCCGGTGGTGTTGGTGGTGTAATGGTGTGGGGGATGTTTTCTTGGCACCCTTTAGGCCCCTTAGTGCCAATTGGGTATCGTTTAAATGCCACGGCCCACCTGAGCATTGTTTCTGACCATGTCCATCCCTTTATGGCCACCATGTACCCATCCTCTGATGGCTACTTCCAGCAGGATAATGCACCATGTCACAAAGCTTGAATCATTTCAAATTGGTTTCTTGAACATGACAATGAGTTCACTGTACTAAAATGGCCCCCACAGTCACCAGATCTCAACCCAATAGAGAATCTTTGGGATATGGTGTAACGGGAGCTTTGTGCCCTGGATGTGCATCCCACAAATCTCCATCAACTGCAAGAAGATGCTATCCTATCAATATGGGCCAACATTTCTAAAGAATGCTTTCAGCACCTTGTTGAATCAATGCCACGTAGAATTAAGGCAGTTCTGAAGGTGAAAGGGGGTCAAACACAGTATTAGTATGGTGTTCCTAATTATCCTTTAGGTGAGTGTACATTGTGTTATGTGGGAAACCAGTCCTCATCTGATTCTAATAGTCCCACTGAAAGTGTGAGAGTAGCCTGTGTATCATTAGCCCTGACTTTTTGTGTGTACACTGCCCCACAGACTGCTGTCAATGTTTGGTGCATCTGCCTGCGTAGCTGTTTGTAATTACTTCATCCCGTCAACGCTGGGTGTGGTTTTCTTCTCCATCTCTATGGGATTTCTGATGAGTCTGGACCTGGGCCAGATTGGCACACTCTGTAGAGGTCCCAGGGCATCCTTTGGGGACCGTGGATTTCGCAGAGGGGGGTCACCACCTCCTCCTCCTAGTTCCTTTGGCTGGAATCTGGGCTGCAGGGAGCTGCTGTTATATTTGAGCCTGCTGCTGGTGGCGATGACAGAGGCAGGGCTGTTGCATCACTTCCTTGGTTCAGCTCAGTCCCAGAGCTGGGTTATGGGACCCCAGGCTCCTGTCAGCTACCTCCTCCTCGTACTCTTCTGCCTCTGCTGGGCCCTCAGAGAGATCCAGGGGGCCTATGTATTTGGAGGGGTGCTCCTCAATCCCCTGTACCCTAAAGGCATGTCCAGTGTGCAGACTTTCAATCAGAGGAACAGAGGATTATACGTTGCTGCAGCAATCAGAAGAGTCCTTCTTTATCTTGGTGAGCTTTTTATAATGTGTTTAAGTCTGATGTTCTCCAATCTTAACATCTCTCTCAGGTGTGAAAACAACAGTACTATGTGTAAGAATGTGTTTTTGACCTGTACTTACTGTGTTTTACTTCACAGTGTCTCCATTTGCAATGATTGCTTTCCTGTCTATGGACAAATCTCTGCAGCTGCTCCACAGTGCTTCTCTCAGTGTGGGATTCACACGTGCTTTTAGAGTGGTATGCTCACACTCACTCTTGCTTGCAATCTAAGTAGCAATGTGAACATAACATCCTGTAAATAATTATTACAGTGAAGCCCTTCTTTTTAAAGTAACTCCAAGCAGATTGTTCTCGTGACCAAAAATAATAGACCATAGGTCTTTGATAAAATAAAACTAAAAAGTATGACTTTGAAAAATATGCCTTTGCACAATTTCCTTTGTTTTCTGGGATGTCCGTCCCATTTCTGTGAACGCAATATCGCAGGAACGCCTTGAAGGAATTTCTTCAAATTTGGCGCAAATGTCCACTTGGACTCAAGGATGAACTGGTGAGAATTTGGCCATTTGGCCACTATTCAACCCCATAACTCAGGACCTGAAGGGGAGATTGTGACAATATTTTACAGTTGGTCGGACACTGAATAGGTGACACTTTTGACTCAAAGGTCATTGTGACCTCAAAATAGGTTTTTAGCCATAATTTTAGGATGAATTGGGCAATTCCAGATTTCACACAAGTGTTGACAGGGACGACACAATGAGTAAACAGTAACTAACAAAGTACAGGCTTTCCATCTCTGCCTTTCACTTCCTGCCTCATTTTGAATTTTGTGCGTCATCGGAATCACGTGCCTGCAAACAGCGAATTGGAGTGTGCCTAGCTAATCGTGATCCAGTGAGTTTTATCTACACTTCATAGAGAGGATTCGCATCTAAAAATGCCAGGAGAGAACAAACCTAACCCTTTGTGTAGCTATACTCTATAAGAATCTGTCTTTACATAGAAATCAAGTACATGCGTACCTGTAGCCAATACATCTATGATAATCCTTCATTAATCTGTTAAAAAATGTGTATTAACTGGATCCATACATGTGTATCATCAATGTATTGGTAATTTCAATTGGTAATTCTTGTTTTTAAAATGAAATGTGATCCCAGAGTGTGTTCTGCTTTATATTATGCCTGTCATGCTCAGTACACTGGTTGCTTTTTGTTGCTGTGCAGGTGTGGCAGAGTTCAGAGGATGCTCTGCTACAAATGGTGGTGGTGGTCTTAGTGCGGTTTGCAGCTGGAAACAACATGCTGCCAGGGTGGGACAACCTGGGCACTGGAGTTCAGCTTCTTCTGGTGACATTCCTTTTCCCTTTATTTTCACCCCATATTAGATCTTTCTACATTGTATGTCATATCTGCTGAGGCTTAAAGGTACAATATGTAATTCCTGGCTACATACTCAAAACAAATAGGGGGCAGTATTTCACCTTGTGGAAGAGTTGCATTATTTACTAATCAGCGATGGCGCTGTTCAAGATTGTGTAGATGCGTAATAAACTTTCCAATCTTGCCTCATCTCATACCAGTAGTGCCAAGTGCTTACCAACTACTAATTGTAACTAACAGCAGGGAAAGAATACACATCTTATAATCTTCAGCTGTGATGTCAGCCTATAGTTTACATTATATCTTGCTTAGCTTTTTAGCAAGACCACAGTAACAAGAAAACAGCCACGTCAAATCCATATATTTCCATTTGGAATGTTTTTCAGTTGTCATCATTAGTTGCACTAAAGATATGTTTCTTTAAGTATTCAATGTTCGATGTTACGTAGCAGAGTTCAACATCAAAACGCATCTCTTTACTCGTCAAGAGTTAGCCACCCCAATATTTACTCATTGTACTTCTTTTTATATTGCTTCTTTTCTTTCTCGTGGAACGTGGGCTGTAAGTAAACTTGAAAGCGATCGATAAGCCTTCGGGTCAGCTCTACGTCTTCGTCCTCTCATGTTGGACAGTGGACAGACTGGACGCAACAGTGACTCACTGTCACCTCGCAAAGGCACAAGTTGTATTTTAACTTAGGACAGGTCTGCTTTAAAGCTGCAGAGCTGCAGTCTCTACACTGTACATACTTACACTGTACATTTACAGCTAAACTGAGGCCTGAAGGGTTAGGGTTACAATTTTGGATTTATTCACATACTTATACTTACTATAAAAAGACCATACTTTAAAAAGATTTATTAAGTTAATTCTTTTGCCATTTTTATTTTCAGCGTTTGATGTTGACATTTATATCATAATAGACTGTATTATGATAGCACCCCCATATAGCCAAAATGGCATGATCCTTGTTAACACCTATGCGAAGATTTGACTGTGAGATTGGCAGTCGAATCTGGCCGCCTATTGAAGCATCAAATCTTTGACAATTCGATTACACTCAATTTTACAAATCAAATCATTCGATATCGATAATCATCAAGATAATTGTCAAATCATTATTTCTTTATATCTTATTTATATCTTCAGTATGCATGAGTAAATTGAGTGAAATCTTTTTTCAGTCCCATTTCCTTAACTATATAAATATCTTAATAGAAAAATGAAGTGTAAGTAAGTAAATTTGTTTGTGATTCAAATGAATTAAATGAAACCTTTATTGAACATTTGTTATATTGGGATAACTATCATTGTTGTTTTATTGCTCAGCCCTAGGTTATCGCATAATAAAATAAATAAAATCAAGTCAAATAAAAAGAGTGAATGAGGCACACAAATCACTCCATAAACACACTATTTATTACACAGACGTCAGCTGATAAAACCTGATGGAGGTGCATTGGGTTAGTGCTCTTCATGTTGGCCTGTGTGTTTCTGATCCAGGTGGGCCTCCTAATTGACAGACTGACCCAGTTCCTTGCCAAGCTAAAGTTCACCCTGACTGTGTTGGTGACATCTTGGACAGAGAAGAAGCAGCGCCGTCAGTCAGCTGGAACTCTCTTGGCTGTGAACGCCACCCTATGCCCACTGCTGCTGGCGGTGGTAACCCTGTCTGCCCTTCTCTCTGCCCCTCTGCTGCCCCTTTTCACCCTGCCTATCTTCCTGGTGGGGTTCCCCAGGCCTCAGCGCAGTTGGCCAGGCCCCGTAGGTACTGCCTGTCCCTGCCCGGACTCAATATTCTACCAGCAGATGAGCGGAAGTCTGGCCTCTGCTCTGAGGACAGCCTTTGCAAGAGGGTCACTGGGTTAGTTGTTCACGCTTGATATCTCCTCTGTCTATGGTGTCTTCAATTTTAATCTTTCTCAAATGTTACAAGTAAACAGTGTTTACTGTTTTAGCATTCATAAGATCTGGAAATCTATCTGAATATTGGATTGTAGTGTTAATTGAGAGCTCAGTGTAAGTAAACTTAAGATAATCTAAATAATGCTGAAAGGATTTATTTTTATTATGAAGACGATCTCTTTTTGTTTGTTCAGTCAATTAATAGCTTGCAAATGTTTATTAATATTAAATACTTGAAATTATTAATTGATTTTCAAAATATTTTGGAACATCTTTAATTAATTAACTAGTCAATTGGATTAATCAAACATTTCAGAACTATATCTAAGGTTAAAGGTGATATTACTCAAAATCTTTTTAAGTCAGTTGCATACAGTATTTAATTTTGCTGATTTTGCTATTTATAGCCCACAGCAGTACACTCCAGTCTACAGAGCTCCAACAGGATTAGAAATAAATAGATAAAATAATATAGTTTTTTACTACAATGTGTTTTGACTTGTGCGATAATTGCAGTGACGGAACTTTCCTATAGGTCAAGTAGGGATAGTATGAAGATCAGAGAGAATTGCACCATCACCTCATATGGTTTAATAGTAAGAGGAATGTTGTTGTGAGCAGCTCTTCCGAATTGCTGGCAGTAATGTGAGCTTGCATGATCCAGTTAAGCTTCCTGTGAAGTGACCCAAAAAAAAAAGCTCTGATCTGTATTCATTACATCCAAATGTTTCCGCACCATTAACCATGTAATACTCTTAGGCCAAATGGAGCTGCTGCAAGGATTTTGTTCTGTGCTCGATCAGGAGGGAGCAAGAGAAAAAATGGTGCAAATAGAGAATCATTATTTATGGATTGATGACTCAAAACTGAATAAAATTGCTGAGGTGATGTCATCACTCAATCTTGTTGTTTTTGTGAGCTTGGGATGCTGTGGCTGTGATGTATAATTCAGAATAAGAGCTTGTTAGGTTGATGCTCGCAGTCTAACGATGGTTTGAAGTGTTCTTTTGCTTTGCTCACACTGGGGGCCGTGTAGCAGGAAAAGGGAGTCTGCCCAGCGTGTCACTTCCCATCATGAGGTAGCGGCAGAGACTATTCTGAGATGTCGTTACGGGGCATGACATTATTTAGGAGCCAACTCAACTTAAAACAACAGCCTCCATCACCTTGCCATTTCTGTTCATCTGTGTTGAAATAAGTGTAAACAATATCCACAAGAAGAGTTTTTAAGACACTAATGGAAGGCTAAGGCCAAGAACATATTTAATATTTAGATATCTGTTCAGTCAGCCAGCTTAAACCATATCATGACCTTCTTGTACAACTGTGATGGTACACGTATCCTTCGAGCTCATCCTGTAGCCATGTTATCCACATCGTCATGCAAAATAAAAAGGTGCACTAAGAATCCCTTGCCTGTCTTTGTTACATGATGTACATACATTGTGTGTTTCCCTTACTTATTACAACATCCCATCTCTTCACATTTTTCATGCATGAATGACTGATGATTTTCTCCCTCCTTTGTAGGTTCTTTAGCCCCAGGCTCTCATTTTCTTGGCCGCTTTCAGGACCGTATGGTTTGGATAATGATCCTGGAGAGAGGATATGGCTACTGTACAGTCAACATTAAGGTACTGTATCTTTCTGTTTGTCTATTATGAATCAATGCAGTCATTGACAGCACGATTACATAATGTGGTGTCGTTTGCCACAGGGTCTGGAGCTACAGGAGACGTCTTGCCACACAGTGGAGGCACGGAGGGTGGACGAGGTGTTCGAGGCCGCCTTTGAGCGCCCTGAGAGGCTTGGCTTCACCCAGGGCTTTAACATGCACTGGGGGAATGCCCTCACACCTTGTGCTGCTCTTTCAGTGCGAGTCTACTCGGATGCCCGAAATGTGCTTTCTGGCATCATCGACTCTCATGACAACTTGAGGAAACTTCAGGATGACTTTTTGAAAGCACTGGTCTGGTTGCTCCTCCGATATTGTGTGCAGAAGCATAAAGGATTTCTATGGAGCAGTGAAGAGGGGTCAGGGGTTGGAGGCAGGAAGTCTCAGTCTTCGCAGTTGGCCCAGACCACTTGTAACCAGCCACCGGAGGCTGTCATAGTGGAATCCAATGTGTCTTCTCTAAGGTTCAGACAGGACAGCTCCAGTTTGACCTCCTTTGGTGATTGGTCAGATGAGGATGACTTATTTGGACCACAACCAGCCAGGCGGACAGTGGCATTAGTAACTGCAGAGGCCCAGCCTGGACATACAGCGCTGCAGACAGGGGCCTCTCTGCCGGGTTCTGTGGAGATGGACAGTCTTTTTGAAAATATGGCGCTCTCGGCCCTGCAGCCACTCCAGCCTCTGGGTCTGGGCATCGGGATGCCAGCAGTGGACAAAGGCCGTAACCCAGAGGTCTTCAGAGAGAGTCCCGGCTCTCTCCCGCAGCTCAACTTCAGCTGCCCCCAGTCGGAGTTATTCAACCTACCAACAGGCTGGAGGACAGCACCTTTGTTACCAACACGCTTGCTGCAGCTCAGGCCTTTGTTTCCTGAGGACTGGTTTCGGTTCGCCTTGGGGCGCTTTGGGCCTGCTGTGCAGGGCGAGACCTCAGAGGACATGACCAAGGCCCTGAAGGAGGATGAAGCCTTGAAAGAATTGTACGCACAGGTTTCACTTTCATGTCTCATCTCACTGGGGGCAGAGACCGCCTTCACGAGTCCCAGTTACGTCTACAGACTCTATTGTGGAGATATACCATGGACGGAAGGACTTGACTGGCTCTCCTCAAGTAAAGAACTTTACCAGCTCGCGCTTCGTGCTTTCAGGTAAAACTGGCAGTTACAGAGTTTCTAGGTTTTGTATTTCTGGTCGTAGAGGGTATTTATAGCAGGAAAATAAGATTTATATTTAATTGAATTCTGCCTCTATGGTTTTGTTCACCTTCAGGTTCAGTTTCAAGCTGCTGTTTGATCAAGCAAGCCTAGGGCCCATTGAGTCCCCTGAGGAATTGTTCGGCACCTTGGAGGAATATGAAAGGAATTGGTACATTGGCCTAGTGACAGAAAAAGGTTGGCACGACAGTGTCCTTCAGGAGAAACCCTTCCTATTCTCTCTAGGGCATGACCTCGCTATGGTAATTCTCACAGTCTACAAAATATAAAAGTACATCTGTTGTTACCGTACCCACAGGTTATTCCAGTCACTGGAATAAAATGAGAGATATTTTAAAAATAGCATTTTAGAGCCAATCTCAGTGAAATGTATGTATTGCATTTGTATGATTGACTGTCCTTGTCTGCAGGGTACCTACACAGGGCGGGTCCTGTCCCTGCAGGAACAGCTGGTGCAAGTGGGCCGTCTAAATGGAGAGGGGGTGCGAGGCCAGTGGGCAAACCTTTCCTGGGAGCTCCTCTATGCTACTAATGATGACGAGGAGCGTTACAGCATCCAGGCTCACCCCTTCATGCTAAGGAACCTAACTGTTCAGGCAGCTGATCCCCCTCTAGGATACCCAATCTACTCCTCAGCCCCCCTTCACTTCCCCTGCCTCTGACCTGTGGCTTCTTCTGCCCTTTCTGCTGAACATACTCTGGAGAGGGAAGAGGATGCTTTTCAGTCGGTACCACCACAGCAAAATGTCAATTCCCGAAGTTACTGGTTTCTTGGAAATTCACAGGGAAAATATAGCAAAGTCAAGAGAAAACATTTGAAAAAACAATTCAGGAGTTTTGTTTTTGAAAGCACTGACTCGCATGATTTCAGAAGAGAGTACTTTGTTTTTCACATTAATTTGACTTTTTTTGTGCTTCATTTCCTGCAGCACAGAGGAAGAAGCAGTGGCATCACCACTGTACTATTGTACATGTTATATCTTTTTAACAGATTTGAACTGACATTGTGGACTACCTCCTAGAACAGCACATTAAATAAAATTTCCCTTTGAACATTTGTATCTTGAAAGAGTCCCCGATCGGGTTCCAGCACACAAGTTTTGTGGGTTGTTTCTTAATGTTTGTGCTTAAAACAAAAGTGAATCAATTTGCCCGTCTCCCCTCTAGAAGACACTTGCTGCCTCTGGTTTTAATGTACCTTTTAGATAAGTTTCAGGCAATTCCCTTCCTTGTCCTCAAAAATAGGACAAGAATTTTAATGTTTTGTTAAGATATCAAGGATGTGCCTTGTGTATGTCTTGCTGTATGTGTAATGTGTTTAGTGCTGTTGTTTTGTTTACAATTCACTTGTTTACAATTTAGAATGAGTTAAATGAATTTTGTCCATAGTCTCTTGTACATATTGTTGACTTTCATATGTGTAACTGTATATACTTATAATAAAAAAAGCTTGGAAGAAGCAATTTTGTTATGTTTCACTAAACAAACAGAAGATTGATTTAAACTCAGTTTTATTAAACAATCAAAAGGTCAATGCAATTGCTTCATTCCTACATGGAATCCTTAACCTGACCAGAAGTTCACATAATCTTAAGCTGTTACACGACAGTAAAATATACAATTTACTTAGCCTCTGAGATGAAAACACAGCAAAATAGAAAGGTATGCATTTTTGTCACCCTGCCATGCCCTGGGAAGAAAGCTCTAAAGACCCCAAAATATTGCAGTAAAACCCCACATCATTTTCCAGGTCAATAATTAGAAATGCAATAAACGTTTCCTGTTGAGGATGTGACTTTCAGGAAGTCTTAGGCTTGGTGAAGTATCCAGAGTCTGCATCCTGCGAAAGAAAAGGCTAGCTGTTAGCACGGATGTTTGACTAATGTAAATGAAATCAAAATTTTAATATTTTTATTCAAACTTAAACTATCTACACGTACTGCATTCTGGTGAGATTTGTATATCTGGAGGAATTGTGTGGTGGTCAAACGCATGACCCTGACATTGCCTTAACTCCAGTGACTTCGCTGTTTAGGAATATTGAGTAGATTTTGTTAAGTTGTGTCGGCTCCAGATGCCTTTTTTTTTGTCTCTAAAGGATACGTCACAGATCTTACTGAAGCATGAGCATGTGACGTGCCAATGTTAGGCCAGTTGGAACATGACCTTTCTTTGTGGCCCTCAGCTGTCACCGTCCAGCAGAGGCCAACAGACACACTGGTCAGTCAGTCAGTCTGTCTGCACCGCGGGGAAGTACTCATGCTCACTGTCATACCCTGGCCACCGTCTTCTTATTAGGCTCAAGCAAGGTCAGTAACAGCTGAGCCCCCCCCAGCTGTTAAGAGACAGCTCTGCATAGTGTCTGCCACGTTCTGCTTTATTCAAGTATTTTCAGGCTTTTGACACATGAGAATCCCCCGGTCCCAGGTCTTACGGCGCAAGGTCAACCGAACACAATACTAAGGCAAGACCAAACAAACCGGTCCAATCAAATGCGAGCGCGTTCTGATGGGTTCAGAGAAGAGTGAGCCTTTTTATCTGAATGATCAGGCACACATCTTATCAGTGGGACAGGGAATGGTTTTAAAAGGTCCTATACTACACCTTGCCCAAACAGGTGTAGCCACTTTTTTGGCTAATTTATTCTCTACATGGGACGGTGTGAATGGCATTTCTCTGACACTCTCTTGTTGCAGCTGTGAAGGTGGGACAACTTTATGAGTACATTAAGCATGGAATTTGGTGACCTCAGCAAACTCGCAGCATAGCTCCACCCACCTTTAAAATAATAGTCTGACATTTTGGAAAATGCAATCATTTGATTTCATGCTCACTCATGTGTCTGTATAATAAATATGTAGCTGGAGCCAGCAGCCAGTTAGCTTAACGAAGAAACAGCTAGCCTGGCTCTGTCCAAAGGTAAAATTCATCTAATCCATGCAAAAACAAGATTTTGCTTTTGTATGTGCTGGACTATTTTTTGTCCAGGCTTGAGAGCAGATAACGGTGGGGTACATCCGTGACAATAAATCTAGCCTATGCTTAGGTTAAATGTGCACCATATTTACTTCCTAGGAGATTATACACCTACCAGGCCAGCTTTGAAATTCTGCACCCTTTTTCTGCCCAACATGTTTGTGATGAACCAGGCAACTGTAGGCGCGTACTGCCAGGCGTAGTAAAACAGGAGGAAGGGCTGCTGTGCGATCCACATTTCCTTGACACCATTGGCGATTCCCACCAGCATTAAATGCACACAGCGACTTGTTGGCATCTTGTATTCCTGATTACCAACTGTGGCCACAGGCTTAAATAATGGGGGGAAAACGGGTTACTGAAAACAAACTACTGAAAGAGCTACTGTGTCATATCACATCCCATGTGTCAAATAAAATGCATTACCTTGTTCAGTTCCTCTGTGAAGGCATTGTGGACAATCTGTGACTGCACAGGCCCCGGACACACTGTGCTGATAAGTATGTTTGGAAAGTCAGTCAGCTCAGTCCGGAGGGAATTAAAGAAACCCTGTATACAATACAGTAACAATCAGCAACAATATGCGCACAGGCCCACACAGCTGTTTTGTTTGTTTTTTTACATGATGATGTTTCTTTACAGGTGAAACTCGAAAAATTAGCACATCGTGCAGAAGTTGATTTATTTCAGTAATTCAACTTAAAAAAAAGGTGAAACTAATATATTATATAGACTCATTACATGCCAAGTGAGATATTTCAAGTCTTTATTTGATATAATTTCGATAATTATGGCTTACAGCTTATGAAAACCCCAAATTCAAAATCTCAGAAAATTAGAATATTACATGAAATCAATAATAAAAAGGGGATTTTAAATACAGAAATGTCAGCCCTCTGAAAAGTATAATCATGCATATGTACTCAGTACTTGTTTTGGGCCCCTTTTGCATGAATTAATGCCTCAATGCGGCATGACATGGATGCTATCAGCCTGTGGCACTGCTGAGGTGTTATGGAAGATCAGGATGCTTCAATAGCGGCCTTCAGCTCTTCTGCATTGTTCAGTCTCATGTCTTTCATCTTTCTCTTGGCAATGTCCCATAGAGAATCTCAGGTCAGGCGAGTTTGCTGAGCCAATCAAGCACAGTAATCCCATGGTCACTGAACCAGGTTTTGGTACTTTTGGCAGTGTGGGCAGGTGCCAAGTCAAAATGAAGTCAGCATCCCATAAAGCTCGTCTGCTGAAGGAAGCATAAAGTGCTCTAAAATGTCCTGGTAGACGTGCGCTGACTCTGGACTTAAAGCACAGTGGACCAACACCAGCAGATGACATGGCTCCCCAAACCAACACAGACTGTGGAAACTTCACACTGGACTTCAAGCATCTTGGATTTTGTGCCTCTCCATTCTTCCCCCAGACTCTGGGACCTTGGTTTCCAAATGAGATGCAAAATTTGCTCTCATCAGAAAAGAGGACTTTGGACCACTGAGAAACAGACCAGTTCTTTTTTTCTTTAGCCCAGGTAAGACGCTTCTGACGTGGTTTGTTGGTCAGGAGCGGCTTGACAAGAGGAATACAACATTTGAAGCTCATGTCCAGGACCCGTCTGTGTGTGGTGGCTCTTGATGCAGTCACTCCAGCCTCAGTCCACTCCTTGTGAAGCTCCCCCATACATTTGAATGGCCTTTTCCTGACAATCCTCTCCAGGCTACGGTCATCCGTGCTGCTTGTGCACCTTTTTCTTCCACACAACTTTATATTAATGTGCCTTGATACAGCACTTTGAGAACATCCAACTTCTTTTGCAATTACCTTTTGAGGCTTTGTCAATGATGGTTTTCTACACAACTGTCAGGTCAGCAGTCTTCCCCATGATTGTGAATTCCACTGAACCAGACTGAGAGACCAATTAAAGGCTCAGGAACCCTTTGCAGGTGTTTTGGATTAATTATCTGATTAGAGTGTGACACTTTGAGCCTACAATACTGAACCTTTTCACAATATTCTAATTTTCTGAGATTTTGAATTTGGGGTTTTCATAAGCTGTATGCAATAATCATCGAAATTATATCAAATAAAAGCTTGAAATACCTCACTTTGCATGTAATGAGTCTATATAATATATTAGTTACACCTTTTAAGTTGAATTACTGAAATAAATGAACTTTTGCATGATATGCTAATTTTTCGAGTTTCACCTGTAAACTAATAAAAAGTTAAAGAGAGATTAACAACTTATTGGCAATCACTGTCAGAGGACACTGGACAAATTAAAACAGAGAAAACAAACTACTTCACTTAAACTCTCTCTGGTCCAAACAGTTGCTATCTGTATTTCCTTCACCTGAAGAGCATGTTTGCTGGCAGAGTATCCTGTTGCCAGGGGAGCTCCAGCGAGGCCAACGACGCTGCTGACAGTCACAATGCTCCCAGTGCCTTGCCTCGTCATGTGAGGCAGCACCTGCTTGGTGATGGAGACCGTACCCAGGAAGTTGAGCTCCATCAAGGCCTGATACACATCAACACTGGTGTCCATGCACAGAGAGCGTTGGCTTCGGCCGCCATTGTTAATTAGGATATCAATCTGAAAAGGAACGAAAAAGTGGACAGAACTAGAGAATGGCAAATTTCTTTTCATACAATGCATGGACAGAATAGTTTGTAGGTAGTATAATAAAAAGAGAACAAAGTAAAAGTGAAAATGTTAAGAATTGAATACAAGGCTAAGAGGGTATGTATTGTGTAATCAAATAGAAATGTTCTTGTTGCAATAAAACAAGTGAGGAAAAAGCACTGCATTATAAAACAGCAATTGCAGTGGCCTTACATGTCCAAAGTACTGGACTGCAGCTTTTGTTCTTTCCTCATGCGACGTCCTCTCCAACAAATCAAGTGGAAGAACAAGAATATCTTTATCCTGGAGGTCGGAGCACTCTTGAGAAAAAATAATAATTCAGTTGGTCATATCTGAGTAAGGCTTATCGAAAATTAAACAAACGCAGGTGAAGTACTGAAACAGTTCCAACATTTACTGTGGGTCTGAGAAAGACGGCTGACAGCTAGAAAAAGGAAAAATTCCTAAGGCAAAGTATTAAAAATGTTATTACTGTGTTGTACTGCAGTGTTGCACCTGAACTCAGAGTTAAAGAGGTTATGTTAAAGTCTTGATGAATTTTAGCCAGGCCATACAACCTCTTACCAAAAAAAAGCATAAATAAAATATTTACCTAAACAGCAACGTTTCACCCTATTTAGCTCATCCTCACGTCGAGCAGACAGGATCAGACGTGACCCACACCTTGCCAGCTGATAAGCCAGCTCCTCCCCAATACCACTGGACGCTCCAGTGACCCACACCACCAGCCTTTTCAGCTTATTCTCTGGTTAACAAAAAAACAATTCATCTCATTTGATCAACTGTCAACATTTCATGTCATTTGCTAGGTCTGAGACTGATCCACATCAACATTTTCTTAAAAG